TGGTAAAACTGCTCTCTAACGATTTCGAGCATTTCCACAAAGGTAGTTCTGGAGTTCCAAGGTTCAATTATTGACAGGTTTACATCTTATTGTCAGCATTTATTCCAGAATCGCTTTCCATTACTCCAGCGATTATTTATAAATTTAAATTACCGAACTCGTAATTACTCTACAGTGGTAAGTTCTTGACCTATGTTCAGCAAATTGTTACATAGTTAGTCTCGCGGTTATTGTCCCTGATTTACAATTTTCGCTTTGTACTCATTCTATAGAATGGGGTCTAGGTCCATTTTCACAAATTCCGATCATATTCAAAATTTACATTACTGGCCCATACCATCCCAAATACCTTGTGTACACTAAAAAAAATATAAAGCACGGACGACTAAGTCGCTGGTGGCCATATGTTACTTTGTGTGGCAAACTATATGTCATGTTTATTCAAATCGTACGGTGCCTAATTTAGGTCATGCAAAAAAATAAATAATATCACGAGCGCTCGAGATACTAAGCCGAGCGCTCGAGATGCTAAGTCGAGTGCTCGAGATGCTAAGTCGAGTGCTCGAGATAATACAATCGAACACATCTCAACCAATGTTTTAAGCTGTATAATTTTGTGCATTATTTAATGATAAACTTGCAGAATACAGTTCGTTACAAATATAGAGTTAGCTGCCAGGACATAGTCCCCAGAGTGTGAGAACAATCTGTTGTGCTACTTGGCGTGGAATCAAAGTAACTCTGAACCTATTTATATTCGAGTTTTGAACGCAGAATCTGTCAAAAATGTCATTGGCGATCTCCGAACATAGGTTTTTCTCTTTTTTGTTGCCGGTGAATCGATGAACGTTGGTTTCTGTAGCCCTTAGACTATAATTATTTGATAATTGGGTGTGTATAATGTGTGTAATTTTTGTATACACAAATTACTTACGATATTTTAATTTTGGGTCAGCCGTGTTCGACGTTCGTTACTATGTCGTAACGTTACAACCTTTGCGGATATGACTAATATTAATAATAATAATTGATTTATATAGCGCCAACAATTCAAATCAGTGAGCTGCTCTCGGGCGTTTCACATAAGTACAACTAATATAAAATTACAACAATCACAACACATTAATCCATAAAAAAAGACATAAAGAAAAAACGGAGAACATTATTTAGTACACATGGTAAAAGTCTGACACAAACACAACTAGAACTGTATTCAATCAGTTGTGTATTTGATTAAAAAGTTCGGTTTTGAGATACGCTTTAAAACCTTTAATAGAATTTGCGTTTTTGTTTTCGTTTGATATTGAATTCCATAACTTTGGAACACGAACTGCGAAACATCTATCGCCGGAGTTGGTTTTTGAAAACGGATTAATTAAGAGGTTGTCTGATTGTGATCGAAGGGCTCTGCAAGGTTTACTGGTGTTGATCGAGAAGGTCTCTAAGGTATTGAGGTGAAGAATCGTCATTTAAAGCAGAATACGTAACAGACAGTATTTTAAAATTGATACGTTGACGGACAGGAAGCCAATGGAGATCTTTCAGAATTGGTGTCATATGTTCGTTTGGTTTAGTCTTGGTTATGATCCGGGCTGTTTTTTCATTTAATTTTATTTACCGGTAGATTGTACAAAAGTGAATTACAGTAGTCGAGTCTTGATGTAGCCATAGTGTTTACCAGCAGTTTAGTCGTGTCACTATCAATGAAAGGTCTAATTTTTTCAATGTAATAAATCTGAAAATTAATACTTTTACACATGGCCGAAATTTGTCTATTCATGTCCAGATTAGAGTTACAATAAACACCAAGATATTTTACAGAATCTGTTGGTGTAATAGAGATATTGCCTATTTGATAGTTTTCTGTTTTAGATTTTAGTAGTTGCTGCCTGCTGCCGACTTTCATTATTTCTGTTTTGTCATCGTTCAGTTTTAATAAATTTAAGTCCATCCATTTACGAATATCTGATAAACATATCATAAGAGAGCTTCGGGCATATTTTCGGGCATGCAGTGGACAAGAAAAAGACGGGAAAATACTTTTCGGGCAGTGTGGATCTCATAGAAATAAGTTAGTTATATTTTTTCTCTAAACGTTAATAGAAAAAAAAAGGTCGTCGAATTTTTCATTGCCCGAAAAAAAATTTTTTGCCCCCCCCCCGGGTCCTACGCGTATGAGTTTGCATATCTCAGATGGTTCAGAAGAAGGCTCAAAAACTATATAAATTTGAGTGTCGGCGTACAAATGGTAGTTAAGACCTTGTTTAAGAATAACATTTCCTAAAGATGTCGTGTATGTAGTAAATAATAAAGACCGAGAACGGAACCCTGTGGCGCGCAGGGGCGTAAATAGTCGGTCGCAAAATCAGTGCAGTCGGTCGCAAAATAAGAGCAGTCTGTATCAAAATAAGTGCTCACTGCACACGTCACGCTACTCACGCAAAACTTTAGTATAAAATAAACTTGTCAACTTATCATGTTTGAAAAAATAATGTGTTTTACTCTTATTCTGTTGTGAGTATGTAAGTCTTAAGAACAAAATTTCCCGCAGGGAGAAAAATAGTCGGTCTCAAAATAAGTGCAGTCACTGCAGTCGGTCTCAAAATTATGCATCGCCGTCTTAATGAATTAATGAGGTAAACAAATAATGCCAGAATAGATCTCAAAATCAGTGCAGTCGGTCGTAAGATATGAGCAGTCGGTATCAAAATAAGTGCTCACAACACACGTCACTCTACTCACGCAAAACATTAGTATAAAATAACCTTGTCAACTTATCATGTTTGAAAAAAATGTTTTTCATCCCATGGCAAAAAGATAATCGGTCTCAAAAAAAAAAGTGCTCACCACAGTCGGTCTCAGACTAAATGAATTAATGGGGTGTTTTCTGACCATCAGAATTCTGCAAAATCTCTCCCCAAAGTCCAGGGCATTTCAGAGACCAAGTAAGCGCCCCATTGAGGTAAAGTGCCCTCAGGCCCAGTCCTCAAAAATTAAAAGCTCAGTTACATATCGGCGCTCAATTCCATTATGCCATCATTCTTCAACTCATTCTCTGTCTTATACTATCTCATCACTATCATATTCACAGTTACAGTGAATCGCCCAGTTACTAGTACCACTAGTGAGTGAGTCGTGGGTCAGAAGACTGTAGAATTGTTAGTTCTACTCTCACAAAACAGGCGACATTGACAGATAGGCCTCAAGATTCTGTCCCATTTCTTATCCTCTCGTTAACGAGAATTTGGATCCATCTGCCATGACATTGACTAAAATTGGCAGGCCCAGTCCCAAAAATTAAAAGCTCGGTTACACATCTGAAATTCTTTCGAGCCTGCGGCGCTCGATTCCATTATAACATCATTCTTCCACTCCTCTGTTGTCTTATACTGTCTCAGCACTTTCATATTCACGGTTATACTGAACTGCCTAGTTATGTTAGTAGTACCACTGCCACTGTTGTGTGGGTCGTGAGGCGTCAGAATATACAAAAGTTCTGTCAACTTTTGCAAAACAGGCGGAATTGACAAGGGCAGATCTCGAGATTTTGTCTAATTGACTCACATTTCTGGTCCTCTCGTCCACAAGAATTTCTCCCAGCAATGACCTCAAATGCCAAGATATTGACTCAATTTTTCAAAATGTTCTCAGGTTGCTCAGTGTTATAGGCACAATCATATATGACATAAACTTTATGTCAACTTAAATAAAACTGCTTTCCAACGAGACAACGATCGGCAAACAACTATATAATTATACAATACCATCTATGTTCTACCGGGACGCTTAATGTTATAGCCTGTATTTTGTTGACATTCATTGTGGGGTGGGATTGTTGCTGGGGTGGCGCTCTAGATTTGGACCCCCCCACCCCTATCTAGATCCGCTACTGCACATGGCCCCTACAAAAGTCGCACCTGTGGTGCTCTGTGGTGCTCGGCTCCTGACTGCGCTCGTACTAGGGGTATGGGCATCAGTCGGTCGCATTTTGGCTAAACACCCCCCCCCCCCAAACAAAATCGTTATGTACGCCCCTGGTGGCGCGCCATACTTTAAAACCGTTGAGTTGGATGTACGGTTTTCAAGGTATGACTGGAACCATGTAAGGGATAGTCCACTTACACCAAAGTTGTTCAGCAATCTTTTAAAAAGAATTTGGTGGTCTATCGTGTCAAACGCAGCGCTTAGATCAAGCAGGACTAGTACTGCTGTTTGTTTCTTATCCATTTCGTATAGTAAGTCATTTTGAACACGTAATAAGTCAGTTCCAGTGCTGTGTTGTTTTCTATATGCAGATTGGAATACTTCGTTGAGGTTATTATTATACAAATGTCTTTCTCAATAATTTTTGAAAGAAAAGAAAGATTAGAAACCGGTTTGTAATTCTTTAGTAATTCTTTATCAAGGTTGGGCTTTTTTAGTTGCGGCAACACTAACGCCTCTTTCAGAAGCTCTGGCATACAGCTAGAAGCCAAAGAGGAATATCCGTGACAGCAAGGTCCTCCCTTATTTATCACTGACCGACTTCAAATTAGGTTTGATGTAGTTACATTCATGTGTGTGGAATAATACCGCCTAAGGTCTAGTCTACGAATATTAGTCTGGATGGGTTGTCAACATTTGAGAATAAAGTCTCGGTCACCCAGAACCTCATAGTACCTAGGTTCTAGTCAGTTGTGTTAGGTCGGGGGGCCCACATGCTCAAGGCCCTAGGGCCCCCACACTCCGGTGCTGCGTATTCCCTATAAAATCGCCTTTATTATATTACTCATTCCATATCTGGTGAATAACGAAAACAAAGCTCGTTATTCGGGTAGAAAGACAACTTGTTAGAATCTCATTCCCAAATAGGCTCATAAGAAAACACCCGATGTATGCACTATAACGGCGCCTTTATTATACATGTATTACTTCTTCGCGAACAACGAACCACAAGCTAACATCACGTCGCTGTCACTTTAAGAGTTTCATTTACATTCCTCTACTTGTATAAAGGTCAACAGCTATAAACATGTAAGTGGGTTAAATTATATTCTTATCACAGTAAATCAAAAACAAGTAAACTTTTACAGCGGAAAATGCACAACTAGTGTAAGCTGCAACCAAAACAGACAAATACACCTACTCGGTAAGACTTACACTTAGTTATTGTTGTCTATGGGATCAAAACATCTCAGCAGTTATTTTGTTGGAGGTAAAATACAAATAATTCTAGATGTCGGTCATTAATAAGAATATATATATATATATATATATATATATATATATATATATATATATATATATATATCTTGGAAGCCGGTAAGTCTTCGTGTAGTAATGCATTCTTTACATGAGATAGATGCCCTTGAAGTGTCAGAATCTTTTCGAAAATATTTTCGAGAGTTTTGGTGACATCCGAGGCAACCTCCATGACTGTGCGTGCTCCCAAGACTCCAGTAAGCCTCCAATATAAGGCCCAGTACTGAGAAATGTAAGAAAGGAAGAAGTCATTTCTTTTCAAATGAAATATAAATCAGCAACATTAATTTTTTTTTTAAAATTTCACTCTTTGTTTCCCAGCCACCGCACCCATCCCTGACTTTGATGCGGCCTTCTAAAAGAATCATTTGCTTAATAATAGTTCTAGTAAGATCTGGATTATGAAAAGGAGTTCATTATAGTCTGTGGGTTCACTAGTTAGCCTTTATCAAAAGTGTCATGAAGACTTTAGACGTTTTGTCAAGGTCAAAAGATAAAGAGAAGGTTGACCTAGCAATAACCCGGCCTAATCCTATCCCGCGGACCAGTGATCGTTCGTTGGCCTGCATGTAACAGAACCCTTCACAGTTGGAATAAGAGTATACACAATTTCCCTCATATGCCCGTCTTTATTTTCCCGGTTGGTGCAGAAAAGTAGGACATTAAACCCCGTTTCAATTCATGGCATACAATGTCATGTTCTTACAGCTGTATCCCCCTAGCAAATGTTTTTCTTACTAAACTATATCACTATTTAGCTATTGTTCAGGTATGTATACATTTGATGTCGCCGTCCCGTAATAACAATACTGATAACGGGCGTTTTTATCGACGATTTATTTTAGATAAATCGTCAAATCATTCTTCACTTCGATTTTGACCATTTTGTAAACTGAAATAACATGGGTGCGAAATAACAAAATCTGTTGTTGCACCAAAGAAGTAACTTAAGTATGAATACGCTCAGCCAGGGATTTCAATATTCCATTGAATTTATTTCGAGGGAATCTTTTAGAATTTTTAAGCACTTACAGATATCCAATGTTCACGTCATAAGATTATCTCAGATTGTAGAATCCTCAAGAATAGGTTTTTTATTTTGATCACCCTAATCAAAGCCCTTAAGGGTTGGATGGTTGGGCGGTTTAGGGGCTTAACGCGTGCGCATGAAACCATAAGGTCTGCCATCGAAGATTGTGAAGCACAACAAAATCATCATCATCAAGAAAAGAACAGTACTGATAGCATTCACAGACATAACGTTAAACCCCAGTCCATTTTGTTATTTTCAGAAATATGGATTCCAGAATGACGTTTGGATCATTGCTCTTGGTAGTAAATGTGGTCATCTTTGCTGTCTTCATCCAACAGAAGTTCTTTAGTGGGGATAAACTTGAATCCAAACTGGTGAAGCAAATCGACGCAACATACGATTATATAATAGGTCAATACACGACTTCTCATGAAATATTTTATGGAACAAATATGGTGACATTGGATTTTGCTTCTTCCATTCTAGAAGCCATTAAAGCGAGGGGCTTTCCGTTACGATCTTTCACGTCATTTTTTTTCCAGTGAATATAGATGTTTATAAAACCTAGAATATGCCTTCATTACAACAGTAACTCGCCTAAATTACAACGTAACCCGCGCATGTAACCAATAATCTGATTGGCTGTTTCCTTGCAACAAACTACATGATAGCTATTCGCACATTTCATTTTAAAGCAATAACTTTTGGCTAACCCACTCAGGTGTATCTTTACACCAATAGCTGATTGGTCGATCAATGACAACGCAATATCAGTACACATCTGCCAGATATATTAACAACGTCTTAAAATCAATCACCTCTACATATACCCAATTAGTCTTCTGCAAGATATCGGTCGCAATGTAACCGTAAGCCTCGCCTTTCTCATTTTTAGGAGTTGATGGAAATGGGACTTCCCATTTCCTCAAAGCCTTGACTATATTTAATTCCCGCCGTCGAGTACGCAAAGCGGAACATTTTGGAAAATTTTATCATTTTGTACCTCAGTCCTATCATTTACACCTTAGATGTGTGAGTCGATCCAGAAATAAGTTTTAATCATTTATTTAGGTTCCAAGTTGTTAAAATGTGTTGTTTTTGCACTCTATATTCATTCTTTTGTAGACTTCTTATTGTATCTCTTTCAGTGGGGTCTGGATCTGCGGGTTCCGTGTTAGCCAATCGCCTGTCGAAAGATCCTAATCTTAAAGTCCTTGTACTTGAAGCAGGAACTGATGACCAACAGCCATCTGCCGATATATTGAAAGTTCCTATGATGTGTTGCATGGCGCAAGATACAGAATATGATTGGAAATATTATTCGGTGCCTCAAAAGCATTGCTGCAAGGCTTTGGAGAGAGAAGTATGATCTTCACCTTCTAAAATATGAACCCTTTAAATTACATACTCTTCTCATTTTAACGATAAGCATTGGAGAGTGTTTATACAATTTAAGATATGATTACGTGGTTTAAGTAAAATCTGGTGTCAATTCAGATATTACCAAAACATTTTGCGTCTTCCAGGTAGTTTCATCTGCTGTAACCTAGTGCAAAATAATCTCTCCATTTACATGCGTAATTTGATAGAGACGCTAAAATGGTACATGCATTGTCTTAAACCAAATTGGTTCAACTTCGACAGGTATACTGTCTCACTCTCTCGGTTGAATAAGAATCCAATCCCTACTTTATATTACTGCGTATTCGGGTGCATTTTGTTTCGTTGAAACCAGACATCTATGGAACGTGTCAGATATTTCGGACTAGTATTTGTAGTGTATTTTTTATTTCTCTACAGAGGATGTTTATGCCGCGAGGTAAAGTAGTCGGTGGATCCAGTCAAATAAACTGTAACATTTACGTCCGAGGTCACAGAAAGGATTATGATGGGTGGGCAGAAGCTGGATGTGATGGGTGGAGCTATGCTGAAGTATTGCCATATTTTATGAGATCAGAAAGCATTGAACCATTCGATACTATGGATAAAGGTAAATGCAAAATTCTCAAATGATTTCAAATTTTAATTTAATATCCAATTCCAATCAGGCGGTGATTATTTTGATTTATGAAACTGAATTTAGAATTAGTATCATTTTTGACCTTCCTCATATTGGGACCTCCGATAAAACAGAAATTATTAATTCGAAGAGACGAACCGGAAGAGCCTTACCAAATATTGTAGTACAATTAAAATGTACACGAACATATCTTATACTATTAGAAATGGTGAAATTGTGCATGTTTAAATAATAGGTTACAATTATAAGCGATTCTGTTAATTTTACTCACCACGAGAAGATAAACTTTTCGTGGACCTTTAATACTTTCATGTTTATCTTCAATGTCGTCGTCATCGGCATGTCTCTGTACACACGCCAACATTTGAAGAGTACAGATATTGATTGTTTGTTGATGAAATAATTTAAAAGTGCCAAGGTTATGATTAACTTTAAGAAAGGCTTCGGTTAAAAGATTGATTACTTAAATCACGTCACATTTATCTGTGTTCTCTGTCGAAAGTAAGTCTGTTGTATTTGCATTGTGGTGTGTACCCTGTTTTTTACAATTTGAGCAATTGTTTTATCATTATTAAAGGATTTGTACATTGACTTTGCACTCAAACTTGCGCAGGTGAAAGTTGTCAAAAGATCAATCTTCAAAGTGGAGTCACTTCCCTTTATTCCCTTAAAATGAGATTACGTTTTCAAATATCGTCTCCCCGCAAAATGTTTTTTTATACCACACTGCACGACGTACGACCCCCAAACCCCACCACCACCACCACCGCCCGTTTTCTTATATTTACCTACGTGGTCTTCTTTAATAATGAATTCTATGTTCTAGATCATTCGAGATGACCGTATTGTCGCAGGTTTCTTCAGGTAATAACTACACATTTTATACTTTTAGATTATCATGGCAAAAGTGGTCCACTGGGTGTCATTAAAAATACCGTATCAAATGTGGCTGCTTTTTTGATAGAAGCTGGTAAAGAAATGGGGTATAGAACTGGCGATTATAATGGTAGAGAACAAAAAGGTACGGTAATTACTATGTACTCCATGGATGTAATATACCATGCATGGGTTTGAAGATACAATAAATACGATCATAAATAACATTGGGGTAAAATAAACAGTAAATACAATAGATAGCATATTATATTATAATTACTATTGGGCAATATACAATATATCATAATTACCATTGGGTAAAATATACAGTAAATACAACGGATCGTATATATCATACATACATGTACAATGAATGGATAGAGGCATAAATATCGTGGTTGGTATATCATACATACCACTGGATTGAGATAGGGTATATCATACATACCACTGGATGGCATATATTATACCATGAATTGGGTATATAATCCATGGATGGGGTATATCATGAATATCATCTATGGGTTGGGTATATCATAATATCATCCATAGATCAGGGTTGGGGCCATTACATTGCCCATTTGATTAATTACATTCCCATTACCATTACTTTTTAAATATAATCATTACAATTACTTTCTCATTTTTAACCATGCAATTCATTAGACCTTACATTGAAAGTATCCTAGATATCATCTTTAGGCCGGGTATATCATCCAATTATTTGTTATATCATAAATATCACCTGCGGATCGGGTATATCATTAATACCATGGATTGAGTATTGTTATCAAAAATACTGAAGACTGGAAGAGTGTATTCGACGGTTATATTTAGAGTATTACGAAGACTGGTCTCTTGTGTTATATTTCACAGAACGGACAAGAATATTCTTAGACACACAGACTGCACTTTTGGAGCAGAAAAGTAAGACGGTAAACCCCATTTCATATCATATCATTTCCATGAGTAAATGATTATGTTCTAATAAAAGGCTATTTATTAAGATCTGCCATGTTCTACTTTTATAATTTTGCACGCAGGATTCTTTAGTGTACAAACTACCGTCAAAGATGGTGAACGGTGTAGCACAGCTAGAGCTTTCTTATGGCCAGCGATTAAAAGTCGCAAAAATCTTCATGCAGTTACAGGCGCCCATGTTAAAAAGGTAATCATGACTATGCACATATTGTGCGTATTTTCAACCCGAACATAAGATAGAGTCTCTTTTTAATTGTGACGTTTCTTGCGTACATATGCTTTTGTTGACTACATTAGACTAGACTCTTGGAGAATTGTAGCTCTTATTGTTGTAGTTTTTGGCTATTTTATGAAAGATTTCTCTCTGTTAGTGTCTGTGGTCGCGATCAGTAGAGTAGATATGTAAGAGACACGATATATTTTTGACACTTGTCGAGCAATGTAACCGCATTGAAACTGCGTGGGTTTTTTCGGGGGGTGGGGGGGGGGGGGTAATTGAGTGTTGGTCACAAACTCTATGGCCTCCCCAGCCCTTTAGACGCAGGCATATTTCACGCCGTACCTAGTCGATATAGATTAATTTCACTTCAGGTAATTATAAAGAATAAGAAAGCGGTTGGTGTGGAATTCTATCATCAAGGAACCTTGAAATCCGTTTCTGTAAATAAAGAAATCATTTTATCAGCTGGTGCGTTATCGTCTCCTCAAATTCTAATGCTGTCAGGGGTTGGACCAAAAGGACACCTGAAAATTCACGGGGTAAGAGGCTTTATAATGAAATTTGATTTCTTAGTTTTGGTATATATTTTAAAACGTATAATATTCGTCGGACTTATTATTTGCAAAATTGAGGCCAGTAGTTCAATTCTAGCATAAAGAAGTGATATGGTATAACTCAAGGTTCAATGCTTATATTCTTCTTTTTATGATAATATGTTGAAAGTATCCTTAATAACCAATGATGTGGAATAATTATAATACCTATAATTAATGAATTTCAAACTGCATGCCCTCCAATAAAATGAAAGTTTCAATACAAAATAGTTGGTTGTTTATTTTAGATACCAGTCATAGCTGATTTACCAGTCGGTGATCACTTAGAGGATCATATTAGCTTTCTTTTCTACTATAAAACAAAAGAAAATTTCTTTAATTCTCCGAACAAAACACAATCCCTGTGGACATTGGCCCAATATATGACAACAAAATCAGGTAGTTATACATAAACCTATACCCTAATTAAACTAATTATGCTCGTTACGAGTTCTAGCTTTCCTCTGGTAAGGCTTGTGACCGATGTACACAATATACGTAGAATACTCATAGTCAGCGGTATGTCGAACTCTAATTGCACCCCTGACCTCGGATTTTCCTCCTGTCCGAACGACTAGACACTGTTTCATGCAAGAAACCTTATAGGCTAACGGGGGTCAAACCCGAAACTTCCTGGCTAGCGAGTCAGCGCGTTACTCATGGAACCACTGCAAGTCCCTTGGTTAATATTAAAAAATATACACTGTTCTGTATAGGTATGCTGATTTCACCTGGAGGTCTGGAATCATTGGGTTTTATATCGACTGACGGTAAAACACCCGATTATCCGGATTTACAAATACATGGTTTGAATATGCTGCTTGATGAAGGCATGATACGCCACATACTTCGAATAGACCCAAAGGTAAGAATTTATTCGGTAATCTGAGACAATGTTATATTATGGCAGTTGTGTTAAAATATAACCCCGGGGCCTTATTCACGAAAATTTAAACTACAATAATTTAATAATGTATCCTCTTCATTAGCTGATGAAAAGATTGCATTCTATTTTATATATTTTAAGTTTTGGTGAAAAAAGACCCTGTTCGATAATTATTTGCTTTCTCTTAATAAAAACAAACAGATGAAACCAGTTGGGTTGCTGGAAATCAGTGGTTATTTATACACGCTCTAGGCTGATAAACATTAAAAATTCCTGATAATTTTAAATATTATAGTTAATTACACATGCGCACATTCAGCAGAGTTGGTCGCTATTTATCGGTTAATATAAGCAGGTAAAATTAACTGATGTACATTTAAACACAATTTGAACGAGGGCGTTAACGGGGATTTTCAAAGTAAACACGAAACCTTTTCTTAAAATTTTTCAGTACATGGAATATTATTCTGGTATAAACGACATCAACGGTTTTGTGCTATATTATACTTTATTAAGACCAAAAAGTCACGGTACACTTCGTCTTAACACTACAGATGCCATGCAACACCCTGTCATTGATCCTAAATATTTAGAAAACAAGGAGGATGTGGAGACCTTGCTTCGAGGTTTGTATATTAATATTTAACGTCATTTGAGAATTGGAGAATCCTTTGAAAACCACAAATGGTTCGACTCCGTTCAGTGTCGCATGTAGTTTCGGCTGAAATCTTTTGGTGGGTCTCTTTTTGATTTTTTAGGATTGTATTCATCATATGTTATTTAAGCGGATTATATTTTGCAAAATATGCAAATTACGCAAAAATGTTTTAACTGTAAAAATAATCATCAAGATTTACATTTATAAGGGAGTCAGAATACACTCAAGTAACTCGTTTAAGGAATTCCATCGTTGAATTGTCCTAGCTGTAAGTATGTAGACATGGCTATCCAGGTATTTGGGAATATCGCGAAGGTTGGGGACTAAAAATGGCGGAGTCTTCCATGCAGAAAAAATTGTATTTACTACATGCCCCCCCCCCCCTCTGCATGTTACATATTCAATAATCTCAGTGCCAGGCCCGTTATGAGCGTGTGTTTCGTTACCTGGCAACGCATCTTTATGGTTATAAAGTCATATTGAGCCCTTTAATATATAAAATACGGAATACAGCGAAAATAAAAATACACTTATTTTAATCAGATTGAAAGCATTAAGCATGTTAAATACCAATTGCAGTATTAAAATGGCAGTGAGTCTTTAAACTGAGACCCAAAAAAGAAATTCTCCTTGTGGCACACAAGGCGTATGACCGTCTTCATTAGTGCCGTCGGTGCCAAAAAGTGGAACGTTAAACCCCATTTCATTTTATTTCCCTTTCCAACTTGCATTTATTACAGAACATAAATGGAATCATTCTTGTCCTCGAGGTAGAGTGCTCGTGTAGGTACAGACTCCACTATATAATCTAAAAATATATTTTAACCCTGGTCATTTCAGGTGTTCGCTTTTCACAAGAAATAGCTAAAACCAAGATCTTCAAATCTCACGGATCTGAATTTTTCCATAAACCATTTTCGCCATGTTTAAAAAATACTAAATTTGATAGTGATGAGTATTGGCGATGTTATATAGGATATTTCACCCTGGCTATATACCATCCAACTGGAACTTGTAAAATGGGGAGTACTACAGATCCTACAGCAGTAGTGGATCCGCAATTAAGGTACGTATTACCATACATGTCACCGGTACATGAATTGACAGAGCCTTGTTTTTTTTTAAAGGACATGGCCCAAGAATAAGGACAAAAAATTTAGGGCGAGGAGAACGGGAGCTAGGTGTGATACACTTCCACAAATCACGAAGCTGATAATATTACTATATTTGAGCTGCGGTTTTTTTATTACCATTTGTATCCAATCGGTGACATATTTTGCCCGGGGTTTCCAATTTTTTATAGACCTGGTCAACCAAACAATACCGTACAATTTAAAATTTTGACCACCCTTCCTCTTTCGTAAATCATACCATGACACCGTAACGAAGACATTTTATTATTAATATTTTGTTTATTTCAGAGTTAAAGGTATCAGTGGATTAAGAGTAGCCGATGCTTCAATCATGCCAAGCATAGTATCTGGCAACACTAACGCACCATCTATAATGATCGGCGAAAAAGCCGCGGATATGATTCTAGGTCTAAAACCACCAACACCCATATCACATTTATAGTTTTATTTAAACCGTTATAACTATTAAAATCTTTATAATCAGAATACAAAGTTTCCATTATACACTGTTATAATCAGAATAAACTGTTAAAACTACATGTATCCATTAAACACACTTATAATCATGATACCAATTCACAATTGTAATAAACCATTAAATAGAGAATCTCCTACCAGTCTTTTTTGATATCAAAAAATATCAACACAAGTTGATAAAGTAACAAAAAACGAGGCTCTGCCGATTTTTTTTTACTTTATCAACGAGTGTTGGTATTTTTTGATATCAAAAAAGACGAGTAGGAGATTTTATTTATCACCCAATCCCTTCTTACATGCACAAATAGATAAATATAATTCTTTGCTGTAGATTTCACTTTTACTGAACATTACGGCGTAGTGATACATCATTTTTTGACAGCAATTCAACCATTGCAAAGTCCTTTATATTGACCCAGTGTTTCCATCAAGGTCAATTGAATAATAATAGTTCATTTTTAATAAAAAAAAAAGTCACTTTTAATAATAAATGAACTGTTCTTTGAAAATAAAAAAAAGTAGTTCCTTTTCAACTGACCAATCAAATTCATGTAAAGCGATATCTCCTAAGGAGATATCGCAGTAGAATATGTAATATATCACACAAGCGATATCTACTGTAGAATGTATTATTGGGTGATAAAATCTGAATAATAAACAGCTATAAATATCATAGGGCTGTTTATATAAGTTAATGCTACACGCTGCTTGTGGTTTTGTAATACTTTATGTAACAAATTTACAGCTCAGTATTTCACCAAATACAGATGGTGAAAAGCGAGTATTTTTTAAGCTTAATATATTGATAATAATAATAATAATAATATTATACATTTATCATTGCACCCATTCCATCCATATTGCATGTATTTTTTATGTCATTTGTATATGTGAAAATGAGTGGAGCGATACGATAAACTTACTTACATAATAAATTATATTTTAGTCATCCTAAATTTGATCCACGTCGAGCGAGACGGACAATGTTCTGTTTTGGGGTTTCAGTTTCAAGACTCACTGCCATTTTAATACTGCAATTGGTATTTTAACATGTGTTATAGTACATATTTTGATATACATGTATTTACTTATCTTAATTGATTAATTGCTTTAAAGTGGATAAGTGATAAATGTATGTTTCTTTTATGCATAATATGATAATGTGAAATAGCTTACAATTGCACTTGATCACATAATATATGCTTACTTTATATATTCAACTATTCATTACTAGATAATTTGTAAATGATGTTTTAATTATGATTTCATATATCTTTATTTGTGTTATTCATGTTCATTCGTTAATAAACCCAGATCGACGTCAAATAATTAGTACTTATGTTTCTTATAGATTAAAGCTTCTTGAATAACAAGTATTGTGAGAGCGCTGTGTGCTTCGACGTATTAGAGCTACGCACCCCCCAACATAAGAAATCTTAAAATACGTCAAGCTAACACAAAAGAAGCACGCTCGCACATGCATAATGCTTTCGATCTGCTTAATGCTTTCAATCTGATTAAAATAAGTGTATTTTTATTTTCGCTGTATTCCGTATTTTATATATTAAAGGGCTCAATAAGACTTTATAACTATAAAGATGTGTTGCCAGGTAACGAAACACATGCTCATAGCGGTCCTGGCAGTCTATATATGCATTCAGATTATTGTATATGTAACATGCATGCAGACGTGGGGGGAGAGGCATAATAGTGAAAGCGATACATAATAACAGACAGCTTTATGGATAAAATTCATTAAGTTTATTAACTGCAACGTTCAATAATGATACCTTCACCGTTATCAAGCAATTTCAGTTAATAAACCTAGTGAATGTTATCCTGTAATAAGCTGTCTGTTATTGAGCACTAATTAAAGTGTTAAAACACCTTAAAAACACTCGCTCGAAGTGTGTAAGAAATTGAACCGAAGTGATAAAAACATTCTATAAACACTCGCTTGAAGTGTGGATACCATGAAGAAACCAATGACCACTACAGCTTAGAAGTGACAATGAAATGACACTTTACTTTCACTTCCACTTATTGAAGTGTTCAAAGTGTACATTTCATAGGAGGTCACGGTGGCTAAGTGGGTAAGACGCTTGCTTGCTACCCTGGAGGTCGGGTGTTCGATCCCTGGATTGGCCGAGAAAGTTCATCCAGATTTTCCGCCGTGGGTCTCACTTGACATTGTTTCAGGACGGAGGGCCTGACAAGGACAGCTGTCTAGTCGTTCGAATGGGACGAAAAACCGAGGTCCCGTGTACACATTGGCGTGCACGTAAAAGATCCCTTGACAGTTGGAATTCGATATACGAGGTACTAGTATCATTCGAGTATCCTTCAATATGGGGTAAAGTGGACAACTGACATAACTTCAGAATTCTAAACCATTATAATATTTCATCATGAACCCAACTTGAAGAGTGTAAAGGTTGAGAAGAACCTGACTTTGTAAATCAAAGTGACACCTTCAATTTTATACTCGGTAGAGGTTAATTGTTCATTAATTTTAACTTTGTGATACTTCCAATGTTTAATCTAGCCCAAAATTTGGGACCCTCGTGCGGCGTCTGGGGGATGGTTATGCAGATGAAAATTTGTCTAGCAAAGCCGGGTTTGTACTCAATGCCCCTGTTTATTTCAGTTTGTTTCCATATCCCTTTTTTGGTGCTCCAGGGGTCCCCCGCAGCATTCGAATCTGAATGTTAGGTTACGCAATGACCATTCACGTAGACGGATATTTGTACCTTGTTCGTTTGACCAAAATGCTCGGGGTTGCCGGTCGAAAACTGAATCGAGTGATGACAATGTTAGTTTGAGAACTTTAACTCTTTTGTCGAAAATATGTAGGATTAACGTTAGCAATGTGCACCGAAAGATGATATTTCAAGTGTGAATTATTCAATCAGTTTAAACAGAGGCCAAAGGTTATGTGTGGTGTTGGGTTATTTTGACCATTTCCCGTTTATATCGACACATTTTCAATCCATGATATCTTTGTAAATACTGAACGGATACACTAAACTTATAGTCATTTTAGAGATTCGCTTTCCATATTTAGTTTGTAAGGGATTAAAAATTCCCAAATTGATGGGGGCCACGGTGGCTAAGTGGGTAAGACGCTGGCTTACTAGCCTGGAGTTCGGGTGTTCGATCCCTGCATTGGCCGAGAAAGTTCGTACAGATTTTCTGGCGTGGTTCCGCCTTGTCTAATCGCTCGAAAGGGACGGAAAACCGAGGTCCTGTGTATACATTGGCAGTTGGAATTCGATATAAGACTAAGCCGTAGTGCCGCTACCCGGGCAAAAATTCCCTCATAGCACACTGTATGGCATATATCCGTCTTCATTAGCCCTTTTCGGAGCAGAACATATCATTTCATTTCATTTCCCAAATTGATGGCCAGAGATTTTAAGGAGGAACATATTGAGGAAAATTGTATTTTAGAATTTGTTTTATTATTATCACACAAAAACAGACTATTTTATCTTACATAAAGTTAATCATTAACTGTTAAATATAGGTTTTTTAAATTAAAATGTTTCATTAAAATCTGGTATTTGCTCTGTGTTTGGCTGTTTATCATAACTCAGATTCGATTTCGTAATGGTCGATCCTAGTGTAGAGGCGATCTATCTGTTATACCGTGTTAATATGTACAAGAATTTCTAGGATTATTGGGCCGGTGCTCCATACCGTCCCCAGTTTCTGTTCGCCATTCTTCTAAACGGTGAACCAGGACCTGCCCACTGATCAAATAGTCCACCGGGGGCTGCCCACTGGTCAAACAAACCTCCTGGCTGACTGAATTTAGCCATACGCTGCTGAAATCTAGCACTTCCGGGTCCCCAGCCACCTGGAAAATTAGACCATAAAAAAGTTTACGGACATGTAATCAATAGTCTAATTAATATTATTGTGTTATTAAACACATATACACCCAATAAGATTTAGATTTTCCTATAAATCACACTTTTCCAACATTTCGTGTTTTATCTTCCCGAACGAATTGTAACGAGCGATATCAACTTATTAGTATTTTGTGGGAGAATGTGTCCCTAGACAGCGGTGTTTCAACTTACTGTTAAAGATTCTTCTCCATGTACGCCCCTGACAAGTGGGAGTCGGGCTTGATAAATCATGAGATATTATTCGTCTCCGCCCACGCCGGTATTCGAATCCGGGGCCATCTAGTCCAGAGTCTAGTGCCTTTACTGCTATTATTTTGTAATGAATTAATAGTAGAGAAATATATAAAATAAAAAATCTGACCTTGACCTTGGGCCGATACAGCCGAGACAAGAAGAACAGTTAAACAGATAGCAACAAATGACGTCATTCTGGGAAAAAAATCAAGTGGTTAAACTACATTTATCGGTGAACGAATTGAAATGTCCTACTCGTGTGCACTATCGGGCCAAAACATACTCTTAGTTTGAATTCCAACTGCCAAGGTGTATTTTACGTGCACGCTTTTCGTACCATCCAACCGACTAGACGGTTAGCTTTCTCGCCCCCCCCCCCAGTCGTGCTCTACTGACGAGGGGAAACCACGTTTGTGTTTTGTCTGCATTCTAAACTGCAAATCACACGGGTTTTATTGTATTTTATTGTATTTGTATTCATTTCTAATTCAACATAATATAAAACAAGGTCAAATAACGTTTTGACGTCTTGGCAACATAGGTTCTAAAACCGTAACTCTAACCAGTTAGCTCCTATTAGCACCGTGACCTTAGTCCCACTAACTAGCATGTATTTGGATCAACCCGAGAGTTGGCCGAGAACGTCAGGTCTTCCTATTGTTTGTGGTGCCAAAGGGAGGGCCTGGGACGTCGTTCGGATGGAACGAAAAACAGAGGTCTCAACAATTGGAATTCGGTGAAGAGTAGGCCGAAACTCGCTGTCCACGCGCGTGTCCGTCCACTATTCTTGCTGGTCTAGAAAAGCATATTATTATGTGAGGCATTTTATTCAGTAATTCAAGTGTACACTTCTGTCTTTATCGTTTTACGACCAAATTAAAAATAAACATGAAGTAATAATAAATGAAATCAATCCGTTTTCAGCCGTCTCAGAATATAATCGATTACATGGATAAAGCTTGCTGGACGAGCGAGCGTGTCTGGTTTTAATGATACATGCATTAAAACTCCGTCGTTTCCTCAACCGCGTATTTCTAAAGAGCTAAAACTGCCTATTGCCGGTCTTTCTTTTGATAGGGTGACCCACCATAAATAAATATCTCCATATATCTCGAGAATTACGCCACAATATTTATATATATGCCAAGCCTCAAATCAGTTTCACACAATTATAGTCACTAAATAAACGATCATGTTGTACTTAATAAGCTATGACCATTAATCATGTATAAATAATAGAGTGAAAACTGGTTCCAAGAGTCGTCCATAACATCCAGACACTTTTGAGTAAAAGATTGGTTACGTGCCCTTGTTTTGAAATTAGTCTCGCTTAACCAGTCTATTGACCATTCTACGTCTGATTGACAGGTCGGGATAATCAAGACTACTTTTTTACGAAACATAACAGAAAGCTAGAACAAGAAATTGAATTTAGAAATAAGCACGTTAGGTAGCTCAACAATCGTTTTAAGAAGCTTGTAAAAGTAAAATGAAACTACTGCTAGTGTCATGTTCCTGCCTAACCCGAGTGATTCAGAGATACTATTTGTACTAAACCAAACGATGCCGCTCTTAACGGTACAGTTAATGATAAAGCGATTTAAAAAATGAAACGAACGTAATTTCTAAATCTGCTGTAATAACCAAGAAGCTTAATTTTACTGCTATTCAAAATCGTCAACAATAATTTTTTTTACGGCTGTAATAGTTGATAGATTTGTAGAGAATTGCACGTGCCATGGCTATTTATAGTATCATACTGTCAGAAAGTTGGTCTCGGCACGGCGAATGTGCACGCTTCAGTGGTAGTCTCGAACTATCAGCGGTGGACTGTATTTCTGTGTGTACATGGGTCACCCTACTTTTGACCTCAAATGTTATATAAATTATTAATTTGACATTTATTCACATGACAAGCCTATAATTAACTCTCTAGACAATCAGATGGTCGCGATTTATGAATCGATTGAAACGTGATCAACATTTAATAATTTAATTTAAAAATGGACTTTGATTATTATCGTAACAGTACTTGTCAATCGTGAATAAAAACTTTCAAAGACTGATAATGTCGCTCAGAATAATGTATATTGACGGGACTTCTTAATACAAGTTTGAATACATTTGTGAAGAACATACCTGGCTGATTGTTGAGTAGACTGTGAATGAGATTTAGATGAGAACGGTGTCCTATATATATATTTTTTATGTCGTGAGTTATATAACTTGGTGGTAAATAATAGGATGTGGAGACCATTCGTCAAATATAATTTATGATGCCTTAAATCTTCATCATCAACAACGACAGCTATTTATATTAAAGCGATACCCACTCATTTAAATAGAAAGATTTGTATTATAAAATAACTGTAACGAAACAGAAGAGAATAAGCATTAATGGACACTTAATTATATTTTAACGCTCGAAATCAAATCAAACTTCCTACATTTCTTTACCAAGACAGGTATAAGCAATGCTAAACAATAGTATTTTCGCCTACCCTTCGTCGGGTTACCAAAGTGTACACGGGCCCTCAATTTTTCGTCCGATCCTTCCTGTCCCTCTGACAAGGAAGTTATGACCCCCGAGCGAAGCCAACCCCGAACAGACCGGCTTCGCTCGGGGGTCATAACTCCGAAACCGGAAGTGGTAGACTAACGCCACCTGGCCTATGTTACTCACCGGTCCGAGCTACCCCTATACCCCAAATTTCAGACTCGAGGCAGATGTAGCCGCCAACCCCCAACAGACAGATTTCGCTCGGGGGTCATAACTCCAAAACCGGAAGTGGTAGACTAACGCTACCTGGCCTATGTTACTCCCCGGTCCGAGTTAGCCCTATACCCCAAATTTCAGACTCGGGGCAGACCTAGTGTAGCCGCCAACCCCAAACAGACCGGCGTCGCTCGGGGGTCATAACTCCGAAACCGGAAGTGGTAGACTAACGCCACCTGGCCTATGTTACTCCCCGATCCGAGTTACCCATATACCCCATATTTCAGACTCGGGGCAGACCTAGTGTAGCCGCCAACCCCGAACAGACAGACAGACAGACAGACAAACGACAGTCTCAAATATATATATAGATAAATAATTTACCACGTTATTTTCTATATTTGGTTTAATCTTCCTTTTGGGTCAGATTTTTGCTTGAAAATAAATCTGTCTGAAAATTATATAAGTTTTCTAGTTTGAAGATTGACATTAAAAACTAATCTGCTACCTGTCCAGTATATCAACTCGATGAGTGATAGATGTCACAATTAATCCTTATAAAAGTAAAAAAATAGTATAAATAACACGTGGCGATTATAATATAATTAAAGGAAAGCTGCCTGTTATATTATCGTTTTAAAACGGTACTCGGGTGTACATTTAATATGCCCTATTCCTCAAACAGATACCCCTAAAATTTGCACCTAAGACGGGCTCATGAAGACGGATAAACAACTAGCCGTTTGCAATGGGGTAAAGTTTGAGGGACAGAGGATTTGCACCTAAAGTCTCTGAACATAATTTAAAAAATTGCGGAGTACGATTAAATTCAAGCCGCGAGGTCATCTATCGGTGATATTTTGTTTATTAATCAATTTTGCATAATCAATTCGAATACATTTTCGCGTGGATTGGATGTTTTCCGAAGAAAACAAATGGCAGAGATGAGACTTCAACATTATAATCATACTAAAGGAGTTGGGCTCAGTTAGAATTGTGCTTGTTTCACTAACCAACAAATTTGGGGTCCGATCCCATTGATGGTCGAAAATGTTTCTCGGGAATTTTCAGTCTAACTTCTCCTTGTCAGAGGGACAGGAAGGATCGGACGAAAAATTGAGGGCCCGTGTACACTTTGGTAACCCGACGAAGGGTAGGCGAAAATACTATTGTTTAGCATTGCTTATACCTGTCTTGGTAAAGAAATGTAGGAAGTTTGATTTGATTTCGAGCGTTAAAATATAATTAAGTGTCCATTAATGCTTATTCTCTTCTGTTTCGTTACAGTTATTTTATAATACAAATCTTTCTATTTAAATGAGTGGGTATCGCTTTAATATAAATAGCTGTCGTTGTTGATGATGAAGATTTAAGGCATCATAAATTATATTTGACGAATGGTCTCCACATCCTATTATTTACCACCAAGTTATATAACTCACGACATAAAAAATATATATATAGGACACCGTTCTCATCTAAATCTCATTCACAGTCTACTCAACAATCAGCCAGGTATGTTCTTCACAAATGTATTCAAACTTGTATTAAGAAGTCCCGTCAATATACATTATTCTGAGCGACATTATCAGTCTTTGAAAGTTTTTATTCACGATTGACAAGTACTGTTACGATAATAATCAAAGTCCATTTTTAAATTAAATTATTAAATGTTGATCACGTTTCAATCGATTCATAAATCGCGACCATCTGATTGTCTAGAGAGTTAATTATAGGCTTGTCATGTGAATAAATGTCAAATTAATAATTTATATAACATTTGAGGTCAAAAGAAAGACCGGCAATAGGCAGTTTTAGCTCTTTAGAAATACGCGGTTGAGGAAACGACGGAGTTTTAATGCATGTATCATTAAAACCAGACACGCTCGCTCGTCCAGCAAGCTTTATCCATGTAATCGATTATATTCTGAGACGGCTGAAAACGGATTGATTTCATTTATTATTACTTCATGTTTATTTTTAATTTGGTCGTAAAACGATAAAGACAGAAGTGTACACTTGAATTACTGAATAAAATGCCTCACATAATAATATGCTTTTCTAGACCAGCAAGAATAGTGGACGGACACGCGCGTGGACAGCGAGTTTCGGCCTACTCTTCACCGAATTCCAATTGTTGCGACCTCTATTTTCGTTCCATCCGAACGACGTCCCAGGCCCTCCCTTTGGCACCACAAACAATAGGAAGACCTGACGTTCTCGGCCAACTCTCGGGTTGATCCAAATACATGCTAGTTAGTGGGACTAAGGTCACGGTGCTAATAGGAGCTAACGGGTTAGAGTTACGGTTTTAGAACCTATGTTGCCAAGACGTCAAAACGTTATTTGACCTTGTTTTATATTACGTTGAATTAGAAATGAATACAAATACAATAAAATACAATAAAACCCGTGTGATTTGCAGTTTAGAATGCAGACAAAACACAAACGTGGTTTCCCCTCGTCAGTAGAGCACGACTGGGGGGGGGGGGGGGGCGAGAAAGCTAACCGTCTAGTCGTTTGGATGGTACGAAAAGCGTGCACGTAGAATAAACCTTGGCAGTTGGAATTCAAACTAAGAGTATGTTTTGGCCCGATAGTGCACACGAGTAGGACATTTCAATTCGTTCACCGATAAATATAGTTTAACCACTTGATTTTTTTTTCCAGAATGAAGTCATTTGTTGCTATCTGTTTAACTGTTCTTCTCGTCTCGGCTGTATCGGCCCAAGGTCAAGGTCAGATTTTTTATTTTATATATTTCTCTACTATTAATTCATTACAAAATAATAGCAGTAAAGGCACTAGACTCTGGACTAGATGGCCCCGGATTCGAATACCGGCGTGGGCGGAGACGAATAATATCTCATGATTTATCAAGCCCGACGCCCACTTGTCAGGGGCGTACATGGAGAAGAATCTTTAACAGTAAGTTGAAACGCCGCTGTCTAGGGACACATTCTCCCACAAAATACTAATAAGTTGATATCGCTCGTTACAATTCGTTCGGGAAGATAAAACACGAAATGTTGGAAAAGTGTGATTTATAGGAAAATCTAAATCTTATTGGGTGTATATGTGTTTAATAACACAATAATATTAATTAGACTACTGATTACATGTCCGTAAACTTTTTTATGGTCTAATTTTCCAGGTGGCTGGGGACCCGGAAGTGCTAGATTTCAGCAGCGTATGGCTAAATTCAGTCAGCCAGGAGGTTTGTTTGACCAGTGGGCAGCCCCCGGTGGACTATTTGATCAGTGGGCAGGTCCTGGTTCACCGTTTAGAAGAATGGCGAACAGAAACTGGGGACAGTATGGAGCACCGGCCCAATAATCCTAGAAATTCTTGTACATATTAACACGGTATAACAGATAGATCGCCTCTACACTAGGATCGACCATTACGAAATCGAATCTGAGTTATGATAAACAGCCAAACACGGAGAAAATACCAGATTTTAATGAAACATTTTAATTTAAAAAACCTATATTTAACAGTTAATGATTAACTTTATGTAAGATAAAATAGTCTGTTTTTGTGTGATAATAATAAAACAAATTCTAAAATACAATTTTCCTCAATATGTTCCTCCTTAAAATCTCTGGCCATCAATTTGGGAAATGAAATGAAATGATATGTTCTGCTCCGAAAAGGGCTAATGAAGACGGATATATGCCATACAGTGTGCTATGAGGGAATTTTTGCCCGGGTAGCGGCACTACGGCTTAGTCTTATATCGAATTCCAACTGCCAATGTATACACAGGACCTCGGTTTTCCGTCCCTTCCGAGCGATTAGACAAGGCGGAACCACGCCAGAAAATCTGGACGAACTTTCTCGGCCAATGCAGGGATCGAACACCCGAACTCCAGGCTAGTAAGCCAGCGTCTTACCCACTTAGCCACCGTGGCCCCCATCAATTTGGGAATTTTTAATCCCTTACAAACTAAATATGGAAAGCGAATCTCTAAAATGACTATTAGTTTAGTGTATCCGTTCAGTATTTACAAAGATATCATGGATTGAAAATGTGTCGATATAAACGGGAAATGGTCAAAATAACCCAACACCACACATAACCTTTGGCCTCTGTTTAAACTGATTGAATAATTCACACTTGAAATATCATCTTTCGGTGCACATTGCTAACGTTAATCCTACATATTTTCGACAAAAGAGTTAAAGTTCTCAAACTAACATTGTCATCACTCGATTCAGTTTTCGACCGGCAACCCCGAGCATTTTGGTCAAACGAACAAGGTACAAATATCCGTCTACGTGAATGGTCATTGCGTAACCTAACATTCAGATTCGAATGCTGCGGGGGACCCCTGGAGCACCAAAAAAGGGATATGGAAACAAACTGAAATAAACAGGGGCATTGAGTACAAACCCGGCTTTGCTACACAAATTTTCATCTGCATAACCATCCCCCAGACGCCGCACGAGGGTCCCAAATTTTGGGCTAGATTAAACATTGGAAGTATCACAAAGTTAAAATTAATGAACAATTAACCTCTACCGAGTATAAAATTGAAGGTGTCACTTTGATTACAAAGTCGGGTTCTTCTCAACCTTTACACTCTTCAAGTTGGGTTCATGATGAAATATTATAATGGTTTAGAATTCTGAAGTTATGTCAGTTGTCCACTTTACCCCATATTGAAGGATACTCGAATGATACTAGTACCTTCATCTGACACAGTTTACATATCTGGCCTCACAGACATCCTTCGTCTTGCCCTTCAGACCACATAAGGGACAAATTAACTATTCTGTTTTATTCAGTTTTGGTTGATCTTCAGAGGCAAGTCCGCTAAGGTAATGGGTGAGTGTCCCATCTGCGTCTTCCTCGAGAACTTCAAGTGGTTTAATTTTCTCCTTCCAGTAAAACACAGTACTGAAGCCCGAGTAGCTAAATACATGAAATTCGATCCCGTTGTTAGTCCAGTCTGGTTATTAAAAAGCGTCTGATGGAACAAAGATCTAGGTCCAGCTGTGTACTCGCCGAAAAAGCGAAAATGTCGCTGCATTGATCAGGCCAGATTTTGTTCATCGCACATGGCATCTCGGTTGGTTCAAGAAAGTAAGACGTTTAACGCCATTTCGTTTTGATACAATTGCGTTTCTTTAAGTTTACCTCAATACGTTATTAATGTATGGTTAATAAGGTAGCTATTTGTATCGCGATATGCTCGTCATCTATTCGGCGATTAAAACTAATAATATATTGGGTTATGGAGGCAAGGATTCGATTGGGGCCTGAGAATAGTTAAATTTATCCGTGTTTAAATCTTTCGAACTATTCGAGCTTGACCAACGATAATGTTTGAAGAGATGACTAGAGAATATTTTCATTTGTTGAAATGTAACGAAGATTTATTATTTCTTGTAATCTAAAATCCCAATTGAACAAAAGATTTTATGTGGTTATGTCGGAGATCAATAGTATATCCAGTTGGATATTCCCTAGACTTATCTTCAGTTTATGGAAATACTAACGATCGAGATATTGTACTAATTTGATCGGTCTACGCCCCCTTCTTTTTCACAGACTGTGCAGAGTGAGTGAAATCAAATCTTCAGTAGAATTTTTCCAACACGACACTTACTGACGTGGCTCGCCATTTCAGGTCAGCAAAAAGAAACTATTTTCCTGAAAACAACTTGTAATAGCAACGTAGGCTTGCCTTCTGCCAGTACTATACACAATCATCCAACATCATAATTTCGACCATATCTGGACGATAAATCCCATCATAACGAAAAAGATACAGTCCTTATGGTAGTATTATAAAGTGAAAACAGAACAAAACGAATTATTAATAATATACGTAAGAACTGTATAGTCTACATCGACGGCTTGTGGTCAAAATACTTCTACCAACGGATTTATTTCCCGAACGATTAGATATCAAACTAGTTTTGGACACAAATTTTGAACATACATTTTTGTTACGCGTGTAATGTCTGCAAAGAAATTATAAGCATTCGAAGCGAAATATGTGTGTATGCGATTAAAGTGGCATCATCACTCCCGCCAAGAAAATAAAGGTAATATTAAAAATGGCATTAGATTTTCACAAATAGAGGTAAGACAACAACCTAACGGCTGTGGGTTTTGAACTGAGGTTTTGTTACGCGTGTAATGTCTGCAAAGAAATTATGAGCATTCGAAGCGAAATATGTGTGTATGCGATTAAAGTGGCATCATCACTTCCGCCAAGAAAATAAAGGTAATATTAAAAATGGCATTAGATTTTCACAAATAAAGGTAAGACAACAACCTAACGGCTGTGGGTTTTGAACTGAGGTAGACTGAGGATAGACGTGATCTTCTAATTCGGGTCAATCGGCATGTCTACTGGAATTTGGAATTATTATTGCGGTATATTGATTGACCCATAAAGCCTTTCTAAGGTTTCAGTTACAAATTGCAACCTCTGAACCCCCAAATTTGCCAATTCAACGAACACCAAATCGTTATGCCTGGATACGCTTTTATCTGTAATACCCCGATGACCGGCAATGGTTTCCTTTCGCAAATTTCCTATATCAAACCAACAGTAAATATTATATATACTTTTGTTTTATTTGAATATCCATAAAATATTAGAGGATAAATTAAATGGTGATATGTTACAATAATTATTACAAATATCAACTTACAACAATTATTACGTAATAAAGAGGAATTCCACTTACAAAACATCAAATATCCACATAATTTTCTTAAAGCTTAAGATGTCAGTGTTTTGACCTTAAAATCTTCCAAATGAACGATTTTAAAATCCCAATGACTAATACATTTTTAATCAATTGTTTTCTAGATTTTCTACCCACTGTTTCGGAAGAATATGAAAGTTATTTGATGTTTTCTAAGATGACCACTTGAAACGATCAACATAATATATACTGATAGGGTGCCCCATGCAGCGAAAATTTTCCCTACTGAAAGTTGAACACGACACGTTGAATGTGCACGCTTCAGTGGCTTGTGCGATAACACACGTACAGCCCAAGAGTCTATATGAGTCTATAAATAGCCATCGCACGTGAAATTCTCTACACATCTATCAACTATTACAGCCGTAAAAAATCTATTGTTGACGATTCTGAATAGCAGTAATATTTAGCTTTTTGGTTATTACAGCAGCTTTAGAAATTACGTTCGTTTTATTTTTAAAATTGCTTTATCATTAACTATACCGTTATAGGAGCGGCATCTTTTGGTTTAGTACAAATAATATCTCTGAAACACTTGGGTTAGGCAAGAACATGATACTAGCAATAGTTTCATTTTACTCTTACAAAGTTTTTAAAACAGTTACTGAGTTGCCTAAGGTGGTGTTTCTAAATTAAATTTCTTGTTCCAGCTTTCTGTTATGGTTCGTAAAAAAGTAGTCTTGATTATCCCGGCCTGTCAAAACAAGGGCATGTAACCTATTTGTTTTACTCAAATGAAATGAAATGATATGAAATGGGGTTCTGCTCCTAACTGGGCTAATGAAAACGGGCATACGCCATACAGTGTGCTATGAGGGAAATTTTGCCCGGGCAGCGGCACTATCGCCTACTCTTATATCGAATTCCAACTGTCAAGGGATCTTTTACGTGCATTCCAATGTATACACGGGACCTCGGTTTTACTCTCATCCGAAGGACTAGACAGCTGTCCTTGTCAGGCCCTCCGTTCTGCACCACTGACAAGGGGAAACCACGTCGGAAAATCCCGATGAACTCGGGATATTATGGCCGACACTCGTAACCATATTTCAGTCTATTATTTATCGATGGTTAAATGGTCATAGCTTATTAAGTACACAACCGTTTATTTAGTGACTATAAATAAATGTGCGAAACTGATTTAAGGCTTGGTATATATATAAATATTGTGGTGTAAATGTCAAGATATTTGGAGATATTTATTTATGGTGGGGCACCCTAATACTGAAAGCACTTTACAAATATTATTTGTTCTTAACGATAAATATACATAAATTATTTAATTTGTATATACAACATTATGCATAATGTATTTAATAACAATAAGATTTATGATAATAATAATAAACTTGGTCCCACATTTCAGTGAAGGAGCAATAAATTAATGACATTTAGGGAAGAATAGGGCTTACTGCAATAAAGATGAAAAACAAATATGTAGTAAAGAGATATCTCATCATAACCTACTAATTTGGTTGATTTTGTAATTATTTTTTCAATGTTCAGACAGGGGAAGAGAATCAATCAGACTGTTGACAAAATTCAAATCTCAACATTGGCTCTATCTATGGACTTAAAATTTTAAATGTAGACAGATATCAAAAACAAACGAGATCTAGTCACCTTAAAATATCAACAACAATAAATACATAATACTGAATATAGAATTAATGAGAACACTTTGAAGACTTAAGATCAAGCAAATCATAAAAATACAATATAAATAAAAATAATTACATTTTATGAAAGAGGAAATCAACTATATTTATGGACTTGTGCAGCCTTTAATAATAAAAAAGACCTGGGTTTGGATTCTGTAGGCAATATTGTTTTCTAAGCTTAAGAATTATTCAAGTTGTGAATCACCTTACCCCTTAAATGTAATAGACATCTCAAGAGACCAGGTGTTATGTTCATCCAATTGCAATCCCAGGAAACTCCATTCCTTCCTCATTTTAAATTGTCATCTAGTACTTTTTCACAATTATTATACTTTCACAGAGGTAAAACAATTTATGAAACTAAAATTCATTATTAATTGCAATCAAATGAAATAGTTTACTACTGACTAAAATTGGATTTAAAAATCCTTCTCTGGGAGCCAAATGCATCCCATGTGAGAATCACTGCCATGGGTCTTGAATATAATAAAGGTCCCACTTTTTTGGGACAAGGTTGGCGTATATCAAATATTGAAGCCACTTTTAATTACACCTTTCACCTTGAATGTTTGCAACAAGTGGTTGAAATTTGTGTAAAAATTAAGTTTAGCAAATGTGACTTTATTCTGCCATATTGTTCCCTTGAGATCAAATTTAGTATTTCATTATGCTTTTATACATAATTTGTGATAATCGAAAACAAAAATATTTAATTGGTCCATCAATAAAACATCACAGTTTAAAATATTAATAACAGAACAGAAAAAATAAATATAATTCAACATATCACATCACACCAATTAATATCAATACATAATATAAAATTAAATAGATAATAATGTATTTTAATGGAATATATGTTAACATAATATGTATATATTTTAACATAATATGTAATATATTTTAAATAATATGCATACATTTTAACATAGTATGTATATTTTAACATAATGTGTACATATTTTTTTTTGTAAACATATGTACATACTATAACATAGTGTGTTTATACTTTAACTTACTATGTATACATTTAATATAATATGTATATATTATAACATAATATGTATATATTTTAATTACATATGTATTTGAACATAATGCTTATATTATATTTTAACATATTTCATAATATATAAAATATAAAGATATGGATGTGTTTTAACATTATAAATTTAATTTGTAATATCCATATTATGAACCCTTATAAATCTTAAAATAATACAACTTACATAATTTCTAAATTGATAAACCTGTACATAATACTGCACAGTACATCACTATGGATGCTGATCCCCATTGCATTTTTGACAATATCTAATTTTCCACTGTATAATCCATGCTAAAATTTCTTCAACTGTATAATTTACTATTTAATTAAGAAAATGAGATTGTATATTTTGCTTTCGTAAGTGTAATTAATTGATTTATTAATATTTTTTATACATATATTTACTATTTCATTTTTATTCAGACTCCATGAACTGTATTTTATTTATCTTTTTGCCATTGTTAGATTAGCTATACTAGCTGGTGCATAATATCCTTAGGCTGGGATCAAGAGTTTAAGGAAGAGTAAGTACTAAGCAGGTGCTAAGCTTATATGTCTATATACATTAAGCCTGTCATCGAGTCGACTGGCGTGGTTTCGAATCCCCGGTTGTACATGACAAGGAGTAGGGTCGCCTGTCCAACCTCGTGGGTTTTCTCCGGGTCCTCCGGTTTCCTCCCACTGCTAAAGACCCCTATGCACAAGCGAATTATTGAAATAAAATTAGACCATATGTTAGTCCCAAAATGACCTAGTTTGTGTCGAGTGGACGTTAAACCTCATTTCTCTCTCTCTCTCTCTCTATATAAAAATATTGTATTATATACGACTACCTTCTATGTAGCCATGCCTACTTATGATCATATTCTTGTGTCGCCAGTGTATATTAAATTACACACTACCAGCACATGTATATAACATTGAAGTGTATCATGTATATAACAATTAGGACAATATATCACATATTATTTAATGTTATACTTAAAGTAGCCATCCCAGATATATTTTAGAGAATCAGATGTGTAGAAGATTCTAAGCAACATTTTTTTCATTGTTCTTTAGAACTAAATGTATATGAAATTGGGGTAGGCTACTTCTGTTTCAATATGCGATTGGAGATAAGTATTTAACTTCCATGCTATCGCCATGAGTAAGATTATCCATGTCTACATTTTCACTAGATTATAGAGGTAAGTGATCAACATTTCACTATAACATAAATTATTATACAGCAATTCTCAGTCTGATTTGATAACAAAAGAGATCTCATTCATTTGTCAAGATTTTGCAGTAACAGAGAAATGTTGAATTTTCAGTCTGGTAAAGAGTAAGAGCTCCTTCATTTTGGTTAAACTAAAGTGATGAGGTCAGTTGCTCTAAGATTTGCTATCCTGAGTCAAAAACATATATATATATCATTTTATAACAAAGTAATATGAAAAACATAACAAAAATATTGCACTGGAAATAAAAATTTTAAAAAAAAAGTTACTTGTTGGAGAAACAAAAAGAAATCTTAAAATCAGAATTCGATTTCATATTTTGACGGTGAAATCACAAATTTGTCATGGTTATTTACAATGGAATGAAATGAAGATCAATAACATAACAAATGGGTTTACAAAAATGTTGGGCCCTTCAACAGTTAAAACAATTGAAATTCTTAAAACATAAATGGTACCAAATAAAGCTTCTTTTTTGGGGGGAAACAATTTGGGGAATTAAATGAACTGATCAAAAAAGAAGTTTTTGTCTGGACAAAAAAAAAAGTGAAGAAAAATAATACAAAAATTTATTCTTTTTTTGCCAACTTCAGCTTGCAAATCTTCTTTGCCAGTTTTGATTTCAGACGATTTTCTGCAGCTTCACTTCAATTTGCAGAAAAGTAAACAAAGGATCAATTTGTATCATAGATAAACCATGAAATTCTTCCATTTCTGCAGATTCACCTCCTTAAATTAATGACGTAGACAGGAATTGAAGGAGTGATTTCTGATGAAAACGTTTCCAGTAAAAATGTCAGATTATCTTATAATACTCTGTATTTTATAACCAGTTCCACTTGTTTCTGTATCCATGGTAAAATATCAGCTTCAGGACTTTTGACCTCTTTCTCACTTCCACCAAATAAACTAACATGGCCATCATCCTGAAAAGATTAGGAATTTATTTATTTAAAGATACATTATGTAAGATTTAGATAAAGAACTAGCCATTCTTGATATAATAGTTCGAAAGTAGATGATGTAAAATGAATAATTTGAAAATTTTATTCAAATTACTCTATTGCAAGCGAAGATATTAGCCTTTGAAGGTTTGAAAGACGTGTGCAATAATTTCAACCACCGTACTGGTTGATCGAAGCTAAGTCTCGGTCCTCCATATTTGATTAAATCAAAGTATCGCTGAACCATTCTAATCTATTTAATATCGGAGAAATCTGATGCCATCGAGAGTTGATTAAGGCCTGGATCACTTAATTAATGTCTAATTAATACTTTAGAAAACATTTCAGGCCTAAAGAAAGACCTGCAATAGGCAGATTTAGCTCTTGCATAATGCATGTTTAATCAATTAACCCTCTGTACACGATAATAGTGTTTTTTGGATTCAATTTCAATAGACGTATTATACAACTGATATGTATGAGATTTAAGAGATCTTTAATAATGTCTTAGAAGACTGAAATGAAATGGGGTGTAACTTCTTACTGTTCGGCACCAAATAGGATAATGAAGGTGAACATGCACCACAACATTACGCTTACTCTTATTTAGATTTCCAACAGTCATTGGATCTTCACCATGCTGCCTATGGTACACATGGTTGAAAATTTCTCTTTTATAGTTCTTCTCCAACTGGGCTTATGAAGACGGGCATACGCCATATAGTGTGTTATGAGGGAAGTTTTGACAAGGGATCTTTTACACGTGCATGCCAATGTGTACACAGGCCCTCGTTTTTTGTCCCATCTCTCCGTGCTGCACCACTGACAAGGAGAAACCACGGTGGAATATATCCTGATAAACTTTCTCTGAAAACATTGGGAGTTAACCCACGACCTCCAGGTTAGCTAGCCAGGGTCTTACTCATTTAGCCATTGTGGCCCCAAGACGAATAAGTAGTTTAAATACCATTTAGGCATTGACGTCGCTGATAGTTGTTGACCAGCAATTCTAGGACAATAAAGAGTGGCTACATAAAATCAATGACTTAATCATTTCGAAATGTGGTACTGCTATGGTAACTGACCTGTCTTATTTTGAAAATGAGTTTATCTTCAACAATGGCAGGAACACCCAACAAGTCATCAATATTCACATGCCAACATACTTCCCAGCCACCCCAAAATCTACAACGCTCCACAATCATTAAATGTCTGAAAGAAAAAAAATTCATGTACATCCCTCCATTATAACATTTCATTTTTAGACCGAGAATGATAAATTTGGAATATACAAATAATACAATCTCACTGCAATAAACAATAGCACATAGTTATGAAAGAACATTTGCTGATTTATTCAGACATTTCCACAAGTATATTCTCAATGGTAATTCTTGTTAGAAGAAAAAAAAATGTCAATTCTTTCATAAATAAGTGTTATTGCTCTACTCAATTACTACAACACAGATCTCCCAAACATCAGAATTAATGTGAAACCCTACTGTATAAACAAATTACCTATCAGTTAGCATAAAAATATCAGCCTTTTCTTCTTTACTTAAAGGAGCATGAGACCAATATATATCTCCTTTCACAAACTCGGCCTTTCGTAGAGTCCCTAATAAACGTTTACCAGCTGCCCTATATGGCGAGTATGGTCGTAAGCCCTGAAAATAAATATCAACCAGTAAGTTAAAATTTACCAGTTCAAAGAATACTGAAATTCAGTAACTGAATTCATTGACTTTAGCAACGGATAGAACTGGTAATTCAACATATTAAGAGGCAAGTCAAATAATTGCTATAAAGAATCTTTCTAGGTAGGATCAAGAACAGAAAGCACAACACTCTACCCCTTTAACCTCCATGCATTGATAAGTAAAGATGGGTGTGTTGCACAGGAGAAAGTATGCTTACTCTTTCTAGAACACCCGATACCACTTCTTATTAAGATTTGAGGAAGTCACATAGCTAACCAATTATGCTGTACTTCTGGTATAGAAACATGTTTTGGGGGTGCTTTTACTACATGCAATTAAATAGAAACTATATTTTCCTGGGATATACTTGGCTGAACATATCAGAATTGAATTCTCTCAATCCTTCGAAAGGTATCAACCGAGCAAACACAAGAAATTCGGACGACAAGGCATCCTTCAACTGAATATGATACTATCTTGACCAATCACCACAGCTGCTCACACCACATTGGTTTTCAGTACTGACAGAACTATGACAGGACACAATTTCATGTCACTCCATTGTTATTCCATTAATTTCGAACAGAAAATCAAGAGCTCTCTCCTTAACCCACCCCCCCCCCCCCCACACCAGTTCGGAAGCTATTTTAATGAGAAAACTTACAATAGCTGGGTTTATAAATCGAGGTAATCTAGTTCTGGCTATTACACCCTCTTCAGATTCAGCTGCCCTGTAAATGTAAATGTATGCACAAATTAAAATCACTCTACTTGGGAATAATGTTACTGATACCGAAAGATGAATGAGTTTTAGTTGTGTTGTATTTATAAAAATAGACCATTTTCTTTATTTGCTCCACAAATCTAAAACTTTGAAACGAGAATTATAATATTTTATTATTTTTTTTAAAATTCCCAGTCCAGCCCCAATTGTACAGATATTTGTTAATTTATGACAAAATGATTCAAATTAGATAACACCCTGTAACTGAAATCTTTTCTGTTAATGAAATTTCAATGCAATTGTAGGAAAATTAAAATTTTTCAAAAACATTATAAGTCAATACTTATAATCATGTTCTTGTTACATACATTGCAAAATGAAAAGTATAATTACCTGCGAATTCCATCAAAAGCCATGCTGACCATATCAATAACACCTCCAGCAGGTTTAGTTAATAAACCTAAAATCCCTTTACCAACACCCTTAAAAAATCCTTCAACACCTTCCTCATTAGCACCTGTAAATATTATATTACATTCAATCATTTGTGAGTGAGAGAGAGAGAGAAATGGGGTTTAACGTCCACTCGACACAAACTTGGTCATTTCGGGACTAACATATGGTTTAATTTTATTTACATAATTCGCTTGCGCGTAGGGCTCTTTAGCAGTGGGAGGAAACCGGAGGACTCGGAGAAAACCCACGAGGTTGGACAGGCGACCCTACTCCTTGCCATGTACAACCGGGGATTCGAAACCACGCCAGTCGACTCAATGGCAGACTTTATGATACAGCGCGCGCACGCTAACCATTCAGCCATCCAACCCCCATTTGTGAGTAAATCAAAATGCATTGAAAAACAAGGACTGGAAAAATCATTATACTCAAATTTATGCATACACTCTTCAATGTAGTGGAGGATTTCTGTGGGGTTTTTTTTCCCCTTGTTATTGAAGAGAACTAAGGAGTGTAAGAAATGTGGTTTATAATGGAATTTGTGATTAGTTGATTGTAAAAAAATTATATGATATTTGTAAGAGTTAGCTATGGAGGTTTTTTGCCATATCTCTCCTCAACCCTGCATACAAATGTGAGAATAAAATGACTCTCATATTGGTAGCTGAGCCCAAAACAGTAAACACAATAAATAAAATATAAGTTTATTTACCTTTAACAGGGTCAAGAATAATGCCGGAGAATCCTACTCCTAATCCTATAACTAGTGATCTAGCTGCTACAACTAAACTAGCTGGTAGATGCTTTGGCTGTTGCTGCATCCTTGCTCTTCTTTTCTGTAAAATCAATAATAAATAAAAAATATGTATCGAAATATATTTACACATTATTTATTAGTTTCTAAAGAATCTTCATTTTAATTTTGGCTGGAATAGTTTCGAAAATTCATTTTTTGATGAGCAATTCTGTGGAAATAACAAATCTTAAGGTAACTGAGAAATTTATTCAGCTTTTTAAAAATAGAATATCTGTATGACTCACTCTTCTGTAATCATCATCGAAAGATAAGACAGCTAAAGCATTTCCAACAGAACCAGTTACCATGGCAACTGAACCAGCAGCTCCACCTGAAAAGTATATGTGGTAAAAATTGACATATTCTTATGTTCATCTAGAAATTATGAATGTGTTTTATTATTTTCAAAAATCTATTGCTGAATGCTTCATCATATCAAAAGTCTCCATAAGATTTCATTTAATGAATTTAATTTAGTCTAAGTCGAAACAGACACATCAATATGACAAAACAGAAATTTGAAGAAATATGAAAATTTAACGACAGAAGTATAAATTGATGGTATGATGTAATGAATAATTTGCTTGAGGATATCCAATGCAAACCAGCTAAAAATATTAAACAAAACCTATGGTATATTCATTTCTTTATCATGCTGTGACATGCAAGTGGTTAAATGATCCATTGGCATTAAGATGTGCTTGACCTTTAGACCATTTTTTTTGGAATATCTGGATACTACTTTGGATGCATTTGGAAATGTCTAATAGCTAACTACTTCAGTTGTACGTATGGCATATTGTATATATAATATCTTATAAAAATACAGGACCAAAGATTTGAGTAAACAGCTTACCAACTGTATTGCCAACTAGACTTTGAACCCCTCGTGCTAAACTTTCAGCAAAATCATCAGAACCTTGAACAGTACCCTAGAATAATGGTGAAAAGACATGTTACTTGATCTTTCTAAAAATAAGTCTGATAATAAATGGATATTGATGAATCTTTCAGTTTGTGTGGTAATTTTGTTTAAGAATTAAAGATAGGTTGCCAGGCAACGAAACATACGCCCACAGCAACTAAGTCGTCCGGGGAGTCAACAAGGGTTGTTGCATACTTTTTTTCTTGTCAGAAATGAAAACGTTTAGAACACACTCAAATCTGATCATGAGTAACAACACATCTGGCTTCTAGTTCTGCCCTATTCTAACATTTAGCATACAAAACATTTAAGACCAATTGCCATAATCATCGGAAGTCGTTGAAAGTCGATAGGCTTCTAATATTAACTTTAGCCTCTAAAGTGTCCACAAGATGGCGGTAATTATCAGAAATCGTTGAAAATCAATAGGATTCTTTGTTTTATGACATAAAACACTGTGTCAGTCAGATATTAACTTTAGCCTCTACAAGATTTTTTCAAAGAGATCAAGGGCCATAACTCTGGCAGTAATTATCGGAAATTGTTGAAAATAAATATACTTCTTTGTCTCATGATCTGAAACACTGTGTATCAATCTAAATTCAATTGGATATTAACTGTAGCCTCTAGAGCATCGACAAGATAGTTTAAAGTGATCAAGGGCCATAACTCAATAGGAAATCGTTGAAAATCAATAGAATTCTTTGTCTCATGACCATAAACAATGTGTACAAATTTAAAGTCAATCGGATATTAACTTTAGTATCTAGAGTGTCCACAAGCAGTTTTGGATGCCAGTCAACAGACCTATGGACCTATGGATGGGGGTGATGAGAATATACACGACCACATGAAAATGTGGGCGTTTAAAAAATGTAGAGTTAATTAAGTGGTTTTACTAATGTTTAGATTGGTTATTACCGGTACATATTGTTGTATTGATTCGACATACATTATATTATACATATATCAACTGTTAATTAAGGTGTTTCACTAATGTTTCGATTGTACAATAGCATGTTTTAGTATTTTGCTTGAAAACGACGAGAGTCATTGTAGAAACATAGCTCAGATTAAAATTACAGTAATTGCTTTCCATACAACTGTTGCGTTTATTTCAAATGAAATAGGTTTTAACGTTCTACTGTTCAGCTCCAACTGGGCGAATGAAGAAGGGCATATGTCATACAGTGTGCTATGAGGGAAATTATGCCTGCAAAGCAGAACTACTGGTACCTTTAATTTGCTCGTACCATTCGAATGACTAGACATTTTGTTTGTCAGATCCTCCATCCTGCACCACTATCAAGGGGAAACCAGGCCAGAAAATTCCAAGGAAATTTCCCAGCTAACACTACTAGCACCCCCGAGACGTCCTGGTGAGCAAGTCAGCGTCTTACTGACTGGAACTTTCAACTTACCAAGAAAGGTTCATAAAAGAAATCTCCAAAACCTTGAGTAAAATCTCTAACTAGACCATATGGATTACCCAATACATCTAAACCCAATATGAGAACATAGGCTTGTTGTAGAGCTTGCTGGGTATAGTGAGACTGTATCTGTGCTAGAAGCTGATCACTGGATAACAATGCACCTTTACGCTGGAAATATGCCATCCTGTAATAAAGGTCACAAATCAAATCATAATGTCATAAATGAAAATCTATTTAGTTAAATGTTAACAAAACAAAAATTGAAGTTTTTGAAATTGAGCAATTACTTTTATTAGGTTTCAAAGCAAATTTTACATAATTCAGGAAGTGTCCAATTTAGCAAAGTATTGCGAAGCCTGAATCTGTCAATGTAGTATCTATTTTTATATCTGAAGACTTCTTGAAAGTCAATTCAGATTTTGTATATAAAATTTAAATTAGCCCCATAGTAAAATTTCATGATATCAAGCACTCCATGTTTTCCAACTTAAATAGTTACCTTAATTCAACTGCTTTCATTTCTGTAAAAGTGGCGCCAACTGAGTTCAGGAAGAAGTCTACTATATCCGATTTCAGACTAGAGGGTTTGGTATTAATTAGATGAGGAGTTCCATTCAATGAAAAACTAACATGTAACTAAAATATAATATAAAATAACAAATGAAGAAACAGTGTTCCTGACAATAGAATTTCAGGAACATACACAATAAAAAGTGTATGTTTTAAACACACAGTGGTCCAAAAATTATTCATATCCATAAACACTTATGGAATTTATGGCCATCTAAAGTTCACAATACTTTCTATTAATTTCATTCTGTCATTTTGTTTTTTCTTAGATCATAGTCATGCCTATTCCATTTCAATTCATAAACACCAACCTTTAGACGACATTCAACCTTTTTTTTAACCATTTAGATTACTCTCTATAGAACACTTTAAAGACCCTTCTAGCTGGGACATTAAAACATAAGACCAATCAATATTCAGAAGGTTATTAATTTTTTTTGACACAATAATTAAAACAAAACATCTGTTTACCTTCAATGGAGAAAGATGTAGATATTCATAATATGTTCTATGTGGTCTTGTGGATAGCTGAAATAAAATGTTAAGAATGTGAAATATAATATTACAACATATATAATGGGACAAACTTATTGTCATGTGTCTTTACTAATAGCTGAATTTAGATAGCGGTATATAATGTCTCCGCATTTGGTCCAGTACTCTTACCAGATAACTAACGTGAAAGTATGAAAAATTGCTTGCTTACCATGACAGAGGCTACCTCTTGTAGTGATCTTTGAGCTAGTAATAAATCAGAATTCAGCTGGGTACTCTAAAATAACAAAGCAAACAAAATCAAAATATACATTCTATAAAATTTCCCTTGCATTATTGTATGTTACTAGTTTCTCAAATTTCTATATTTCGGCTGCCCTTATCGACAGACATCCAACATATTACATTAGGACTTCCAATGCTTGCATGGAAGATGTTTCTTATCTGAAGCAGAACTATATCAGTGCTGGTTTTCCATGTGGGCGATGTTTTCTAATTTGACAAAAACTAGAGACTCCTTACCTCCTCTTCTACTTTTTGCAGTTGAGCAAAAACATCATAAACTGACAACATAAAGCCTTTATCTATTCTAATGTTAAACTCTTGAACCAAAATCTTCATGTACCTACAGCATAAAACATATTCTCATTACTAATAAACCATTTAAGGGAAGGAAAAAATCATGAGTATTGTTTTTATTAATATTGGCAAGAATTAATACTTCTTATCTGAACCAGAAAAAAAAACATAGAACAGAATTAAAGGATTATGTGAACAAATTATTTTAAAGATACATTATGGGAGATTTGGTAACGAGTTGGCAGTTCTCACTATCATAGTTAAAAGCTAGATAATGTAAAGGCAATTTGCTGAAAATTTCATTCAAATTGATCAACTATGAACCGAGAACTAAGCGGTTGAAATTTCCGGCTAGCCTCGATCATCATTACTAAAAGTCAGTACGATAAACAGCATAGTCTTGATTATCTATTTAATCGTTAAATCGTGAAGGAAAGTTATGCAGTAAATCAGCTCACAATGCCATCTAGAGTTGATTATGGTCTTGGATAGGTTAATCAATGTTTAATTAATAATTTAGATAACATTTCAGGCCTAAAGAAAGACCTGCAATAGACAGATTTAGCTCTTGCATAATGTATGTTTAATGTAACATTCCTTCTTTATTACTAATTAGCCTGGTTGGTGCAGACTGTATGATAGGACTTTCAACCCCATATCATTTCACTGAATCTAACTGGGGGTTTTTGTCATCCAACAGTTCCTGAGTTTCATTTCATTTTCAATACTGTGATATTTGTAACTAACTTCTAATTATCTAGGAAATGATAAGAAACACACCTGATTGTATCCACTTGTTTTTCAGGTACTGATCGTCTCATTATACCAACTTCTATAAAAGGTTTAGGACCTGTTTTTTTCATGATATATGGTGGTAAAGGTGATGGATAAAGAACAGTAGGAAAATATGCATCAGATAACTGATTATCTATCTGAAATCATATTTTAAAAATCAACTCATTATCTATCTGAAATTATATTTTTAAAATCAAATATACGTGTCATGTTCATGTAGCAGATATGGCAATGAAAATGTTTTTAATCCATTTTTGTACAAATGGTAAGTCTAGGGGGAGAGAGAGAGAAATGGGCCCCCCCCCTCCCCGTCAGTCTAAGGATATGTGATGAATGGTTGCTTGAACTACATTAATGTACCTGTAATCTTTGTATTTTAGCGTGTACAGCTTGATGATGTTCTGATTGTCGATACTGTAACCATACACCAGGATTATATGTTCGTCTTAATGATCCCATAAATGGTTTTGACATCTGCATCTTGACTAAATCAGCCTAAAATATGAGCAAGATTTAAAATACTGCTAAATTAACTGTTTCAATTTACACATTAATTTTTTTATGATGTTTCATTTAAAATGACAGATTAGTAAATTTCTGTGTTGATGGATTTTATTGCTAGGTATTCAGAACTGACAAAATTTAAGCAGAACAATTCATTTAACCATGACTGAAGTGGTATTTTTTACCTCTATTTGATCTTGCAAACTTGCCATAACCTGTTGATTTTTCCACTGGTCCTCCAACCATGTCGCTAATTCGATACTCAACATCTTCCATCGACCGTTAACCTCAACTTCCCACATTGCGGGACTCGAACATATGCCTAATAATGCCACCTCGTCATAATTACCATTAATTATAGATACCAGCAGTCCATCGAATGAAGCAAATAAAACCATGGATGTTTGTTCACCTTCATTCATCTGTTTAAAGAAATAAATTGTTCATAGATTTTTGTATTTTTACATATATATATATATGACTACCCTGGCTGTACTATTTTCCTGCACCAACTGGGCTAATGGGGAATTTTGCCCCGACAGTGTTGTTTCCTCCTACTCTTTATCATTAAATTCCAACTGTCAAGTTTCTTTTATGTGCAAATCACCTAGTACACAGGTGGACCTCGGTTTTCCATACAATCTGAACAAATAGACATTTTTCTTTACTAATAAATTAGCATGTGGATTAGGGTAAGGATTACCTACCCCTAGAACTAACTACTTAGATGTATAACTAATAAGTGTGTGGGGATTTCCAACCTCCCGAACTAGCCTGATAAAAGACTCTTTTCCAATTTTGTTAATTCTGTGAATACCTCAAACTAAGTGGATGTCTGTTACATCAGGTTGTTAATAAAAAATACTGGTCTTTCACAAAAATACCTGCAGCTTACAAGGATCCAATATCGACTAGTTCTTTACTTATTCGATTTTGAGAAATGAAATGGGGTTTAATGTCCTACTGTTCTGCTCCGACTGGGCTATTGAAGGCAGTCGATTTTGGCAATATTATCGAAATAAATTTGCAGATTACTTAGAATTTTATACATTTCTAAGGTCTTATTCAAGCAAAGTGAAACTAAAATAGTTTAAGAATGCTGCTTTTTCACTGGCTAGATTTATGCTATGCTTTTAGTGCCCAGGCAATGTTAGTATTCTTCAAACATTTTGGTTTAACTTACAAATTTTCATGAATAGGGCCCCAGGAGATGTTTCAAAATTACAAAAAGGAAAGAAGCCATGCAAAAATTACTCAAATGAATAGAACTCTCATTTAAAAAACATAAAAATTATGATCAATTATTTTAATATATACCGGTATATATATATATATTTCATTAAAACTTTTCCTCCCCTTGTCCTCTCTGACAATTTCTATAAAAACATGTGCAGGGGAAAAAGCAGATAATATAACAAATTGTCTGTCTGAGATTTTGGCAAGGAAAAGAAGCAGATGGTGTTTTGGATATAAAAACATTCATACAAAATTGTAAATATTATGGTACATATCGCCAGCAACGAGAATGAGAAGTGGAAATATGGTGTATATATAAGTTCCATCGAATTTTGAAAGTTTAAAGACCAACATAATTTCAATCATAATCTCATTACAGGAAAGTCTTTCCATGATGTCAGCTTTATCTCTTCCAATGGTACAAATTCCTACTGACACAGTATATCTTAATGACTACAGATTATCAAGTCAACTATACTTGTCTCTCAAAACAGTTTACATGTATATGTCACTTACAGGCTGAAAGTGATTTGCTCAGCTGAGAGAGAACTGTGGTCTAACTCAACACAAACAAGGCTATTTCAATAATTAACTTTAACACAGAGCTCTTTAGCAGCGTGAGGATACTGATGAACTATAGTGTGTTCAAGCAAAAAGTCTCAAGTGTAGCTGTAAATATTAACTGCTATATGTTATGTCTTACATAAAGGTAAGGTTTTCGTTGTTCACCCGAGTCACTCGAGTCGACACCAGACCGTTCGCGTTTTGAATCGAGTTGGTCACATGACTGACTCGAGTCGCATCACGTGACTAACCCATTTACTCCCCGTTGAGCGGAGAGTAAAAGGGTTTGTCACGTGACAAAATGGCGTCCTATACGCAAAAAAGCCTGTCTCTCGATCACATACTGACGTCGTAACTGTTTTGATGTCATGTGACTACTCGGACCGTTCGGGATGTTTCACCCGGGTAAACTCGGCAATGGAGTCGACTCGAGTGACGAGAGTAAACGACAAAAACCTTACCAAAAGGTGCAAGTTATTGAATGTATAAAGCTGCTGTTTTATATAAAAAGTGGAAGCTACTGAATGTGTAAAGCTGCTATATCATATACATGTATAACTTTAGAAGTGGGAGCTGGAGCTATTGAATACAAGCCACCCAAAATAAAAAGATGACACATTAATTAATTGCACATTTATCTTTTTCAAAAGTATTGAGTAACCAACTGATTATCTATGCTTAGTCTAAGCAAAAAATGTTCACGCTCAAACTTAGTCAGGTTTTGAAGAAAGTGGTAGTGAAACTATACACTAAGTTTCATCACTCTCCATCAGTTAGAATTAAAGTTATCTTGTCCCAAAGCATTGACCAATAAATATTGCTTAGCTCTGCTTAGCTTTAATGGGAAATATTAATCACTGAACTCAATCAAGACATTCACCTAATGAATATCTATACCTCAATTAAAAACAGTGTTGTTATGTTCCGAAGTCTTGACCAATCAAATCACTTATCGCTACTTAGTCTAAGCAGAAAATTCTCATCATCCAACTTAGTCAATGTATATCGCTCTCGCCCAATTAGAACCAAAGTTATTGTGTTCCAAAGTCTCAACCAATCAAATTGCTTATCTCTGCTTAGCCTTTGTGGAAAATGTGCATGATCGAACTCTGTCAAGGCATTCTCCTGATAGATACCTACACAAATTTTGAACATTCTACCTCAATTAGAAGGAGAGTTACTGTGTTCCAAAGTCTCGACCAATCAGATTGAAGTATCTACTTTGCCTAAGCAGAAAATGCTCAGCATCTCCATCAAGGCATTCACCTACACCAAGTTTGAACATTCTATCTCAGTTAGAAGTTAATGTGTCCCAAAGAGTGTGACAAACAGACAGACAGTTGGACAGACAGTGTCCCAAAGAGTGTGACGGACAGACAGACGGACAGTTGGACTGACCCATTTTAATAGTCTTCGAAAAGTGGGGGACAATAATAAAAGTGAAGAAAAAAACATAAATACAACATTTAAATAATAGATTATCAACTTGATAATCTAGGTACGCAAAAGATATTTTTATTTACAATAACCATGATTATCACATGGGGAAGAAAATATAAACTGAAACAAGCCAACAGTGAGGCTGATGTCCCCCGCCAAAATACCAAAATAAATAGATGACACATTAATTTATCGCACATTTATTTTTTTTAAAGTATCAAGCAATCAAACTGATTATCAACTATACACTTAAGTTTCATCACTCTCTATCAAAGTTATCTTGTCCTAAAGCATCAACCAACAAGGCATTGACCTAATCAACACATACACCAAGTTTGAACATTCTAGCTCAATTAGGAAGAGAGTTATCGTGCCCCATAGTATCAACCAATCAAATTGCTTATCTCTGCTTACCCTAAGCGGAAAATGCTCATCTAATCAAATTGCTTATCTCTGCTTACCCTAAGCGGAAAATGCTCATCTTCCAACTCCATCAAGGCATTGACCTAATCAACACATACACCAAGTTTGAACATTCTAGCTCAATTAGGAAGAGAGTTATCGTGCCCCAAAGTATCAACCAATCAAATTGCTTATCTCTGCTTACCCTAAGCGGAAAATGCTCATCTTCGAACTCCATCAAGGCATTGGCCTAATAAACACATACACCAAGTTTGAACATTCTAGCTCAATTAAAAGTTATCGTGTCCCAAAGCATCAACCAATCAAATTGCTTATCTCTGCTTACCCTAAGCGGAAAATGCTCATCTTCGAACTCCATCAAGGCATTGACCTAATCAACACATACACCAAGTTTGAACATTCTAGCCCAATTAGGAAGAGAGTTATCGTGTCCCAAAGCATCAACCAATCAAATTGCTTATCTCTGCTTACCCTAAGCAGAAAATGCTCATCTTCGAACTCCATCAAGGCATTGACCTAATAAACACATACACCAAGTTTGAACATTCTAGCTCAATTAGGAAGAGAGTTATTGTGTCCCAAAAAGTGTGACGGACAGACAGACGGACAGACAGACAGACGGACAGACAGACGGACGAACCCATTTTAATAGTCCCCTGCTTTCTTCGAAAGGCGGGGGACAAATATGTCTTTCAAGGCTTGGATGAATAATCACATAGTCTTTCATAATAAGTATCCAGATTCATCAATATGTATATTAAGGTAGGACCCGCTCTATTGACTTAACCAGAATAGTTTAAACAATAATGTCAATATGTACAGCTTCCCTTAGAACAAGAACATGATTAAGCTTATTTTATTTAAGAATTTTTTCCCTAACACACAGACTCGATGAATGACAAAGACTTAACCCTGGTGACCACTTCTTATAAATGTTTTATACATAAAGCAAATGTCAAAGTTATCTAATAAAATTATTGGGAAAACTTGGCACTTGTCTTCGGATTTTGAGAAGTCTGGATTTATTATTCAAGCTGGACTACGTAACTCAAAGACCGACCTAAAGAGTACAAGTTAGACCATTCGGACTATTCAACAATCGATTATTGTTGATAAAAGGCTGGATTGATTAGGTAATTAAGTGATCAACATATGTATCGTGTTATACAGTCTATACATAATCTGCCTTAATTGATTGACTTAATCCTTTGTCGGACTATTCATCAATGCAATCTGCAAAAGAAGTCGCTGTTTCTCCTTTGTTGGACTATTTATCAATCCAATAAGATTCATTAAAAACTTAATCCATGTAATTACCCCATGATTTCTCCATTGTCAGACATTTTAATCTCCTCGATGTCAGCCGACAACATGCAGAGACTAGTCATAGATGCCACATATCCTAATAATATATGGATAGTTATTACAAATCTACCAAGCGTTAATGTGACAATGCTGACTTGTTAAGGTGATACAGTAAATAGAGCGGGCCCCCTAGTGTATTTAACTACAAATGAAAGGTCTATATTATTAGTATTATTATTAAAGTACATTTTATTTTTTACAAACTATTAAATTTCAAATCCAATTAAACTATGCAACATAAAAATATAAAAATTCAAATTCAACATAATAAACTCAAATAAGAAATTTCAGAAATATTTCACTCATTTTTTTGTAATTCAGGGTACTATAGATAACTTGAAACTTGAAATTTTCTCAATTTTAATTCTATATGATTGCTTATATAAATATTTTTAAAAATTAAATATTTTTGACATTTTAGTAATTATCTAAAAGCTTATAATGTATTTTTGCCATTCATAAATTATCTAGAAGATTTTTTTTTCAATTTGCTTCTGATGCAAGTGGATGGAGTGCTTAAATATCAGTCAACCTGCATGCCATAATAGTAAAATTTCAAAGAATTTAACTTTAAAACATGATAAATACAGTTACCGGTGACTGTAAATTAATAGTTTTTATGTGTAAAATATATACAAAATTAATATAGGCAGAAATTGTAATATTTTTGGAGAAAAAGAAATATCTTGCTAATCTGAAATTCTGAATAGATACTCATTTCAATAAAACATATAATTAACTAAAGTAATCAAGGCACATATTGCCCTAAGTGAACGATAGTATTTATATTAAATTTGTGAATTTCGATTAAAGCTAAATTTAGGTTTTCTGTTACAATAATTTACATAAAGTGAAAGATTTTCTGAATTATTCCTTAATACAGCAAAAAAGAATGCAAATTATATATATGAAATGCCAAATAGGACAGGATCAAAAATTAAAGGTGAAAGGTTACCTGTATGATCCCTTTCCTACAATGAAGGTCAATGCTCTGGACATTTGCCTAGAGATAGAGGATACTCATTTAATTCAAGCAGCATTTTGAATTCCCATCCAATCTAAATAGTTTTCATGCAGTAGAAGATTGTTATGCTTACTATCTAGAACACCTACCACCAATTATAATCAGATCTACATCTGTATTTATCACATCTGAATCGGATGTCAATTAAAAGTTCACATTTAAATGTGAATTTATTAAAGGACAATGTTGATGTCCACCAATTTGAAATACTGGTTGAACACATTCCAAAATTAAATTTAACATAGAGATCTTTGCTACAGATTCTTCAAATTGTTGGACCAAATGCAGCAAAGTTCTCTGTTAAAATTATATTTGGAATGTGTCTCTGCAGGGGTTGAAAGACATGTGATATGAAGACAACTATCTAGGGTCTTATTCCTGAAAACTCAAAGGTTTTAAGACTGCAGCCTTTTTTAATGGCTATAGCTAAATGTTGTACCAAGATTCTAATCCATAACCAGTGAAAAGGTCACATCCTTCAAATGTTTTGGTTTAAAGGCACCATTTGGGCTTTATGTCCACTCATCTCAACTAAGTTATTAAAGGACTAATAACTCCAGTAAAAGTATGGATAATCCTAACTTAACAAGATTATATACAGGACTAAATACTGCTTATTGACATGCAAACATATGAGCCCTCAATTTGATAGATGCCTTGAATAGAGGATATTAAAAATTGACATTTATGCTTATACACCCTAAAAACATTCCTTGTTAAAGCAAAGCATTAAAAAAGGGTGCTTAACTTTACTCAATAAATATAAATACATGTAAGGAAAATAAGAGTTCTAGAAATTTTAATTCAAAACAGCCTAGAATACCAATCTGATCCAAATACCAATCAATATTTCGTTTCGTTTTTTTATACTTTTGATCGTCTACACTACATGAAGCTCGCGAAAGGTGTCATATGAGCGACTTTTGACCTTATGATACCAGACATTGATTAATCAATCAACGTTGACATTTCTAGTGGTTCATGCCAAAAACTTGCCTTAACAGGCAGTTTCATTGGCTAATCCCTCACATCATCCAGAATATATAACAACTCTTCCAGATCCTAGTGTAGTAAAGACAAGTAAAACGAAAGTTTGAGCTATAAAAAACGAAACGAAATAAGGTCTGTGTTTTAATCAGATTGCCTAGAATACAATCCTTTAGACCATTTCGAGGCATTTAGTAAGTGAACATAAGCCACACATAATAACACACACTTAACTTATGGAAGAACAATTACTGATTTTTACTAATTCATATGAGTGACGTTCCAGTGCATATTCACTCATATGTTTTAAAGCATGTCACTCAAATTAGTAACTGTTCTTCTAGAAGTGTAGCAATAAAGTGTATTAATCCTTTAGCAGTTGGTACATGAAAATATTGACTACCGTAGTTCCTGGAAGAAAATCAGAGAGTCAATTTTAGACAGTCCAAGAGCTAAAGGCTTAACCTAGAATCAGTTTTTTTCTGAAGCAGAACTGATCAGATTAGATTGTTAATTATACCAACCTTTCTAACAGCTTTGGCTATTCTTTCATCTTGAAGAAATAATAAAATTCTTTGTTGACCCTCTAGATATGAAACCCAGTATATGACCATTTTATCTGTTCGAGTTCGCCCAGCTAATGATTTCTCCATCTTTCGACCAAACAGGCCATCTGTTTCGTCACTTTCATCTATAAAAATAAACCAAACCATCTGATTTTAGTTTTAAGCAATTTTAAATAAATTTAGCACAGAATATCTACATTTTCAACAACAGAAATATTGTAAAAATACCAAACAAATATTTCTTTGACAGTTGTGATCCTAGCTTCATAATCTAAATCTTACATAATGCATCTTTAAAAAATATATCCAAATAAGAGAAATACATTTGTAAGCGAAAAACACATTTGTAAGCAAAAAACACATTTGTAAGCGAAAAACAAGTAAAAATATTTTTTATGCAAGACATATGTGAGAGTGTACCCATTCTTTCACTCTGTTTTAAATGGACAAATTTTTAAAAAATAAATGTTATTAAACTGATACGATGATAAAGCAGTGGTTGTAAGAATATGACAGTTATCACCTTCTGGACTGCTTTCCATTGTATTCTCCCTACCAGAATCAGGTATATCTACAGAACCAGATTTCTTCATTGATTGTACCTCAAGCCTAACTTCACCAAAACCATCCTACAAAAAACCCAAACACATATAATGACAGATTTTAGATAGTTCTCCGAACAATCACAGCAAATGGTCTGTAACTCATTGATCTTTTTTTTTTTTTTTTCTCGCATATTCAAAATAACATTATTAATCCGCACTGAAACACTATGGCTCCTTAAAACTAAGTCTTGATTGCTAAGATAATATGATTTACATACCTTTAAATTACATTTCATAACTTCATTAAAATATAATTGAATTGATTGTGGGGGAATGTTTAAAATTGATGAAAGTAATACTTGATGGGGTTGTCAAATAACTATCTTGCATCACCCTTAGAAAAATCACTGTGAATTATGACATACTCTATTAATAAAGGCTGGATAACTGGGTCTCTTTCTTCCATAAACATTCCACATCAATGTTCTTTCTGCCACTGGTTCATCCCATGTATATAACACACTTTGATTGGCTGATAATAATGTCACCTGACTTTGATTTCTAGGATTAAAACAAGTTTAAATTAATGAATCTCACAATAATAATCAAATATAAAAAATTAACTAACTTCAACAAGCCAACAGTGAGGCTGATGTCCCCCGCCGAAATCCTCAAATAAATAGATGACACATATTAAAGATACATTATGGGAGATTTTAATAGAGAGTTGGCCATTCTTGCTATAACAGTTCAAAAATAGATGATGAAAGAAGAATATATTGAAAATTTCAGTCAAATTACTTTATTCTGAACAAAGTTATCACTATTGTAATTTTTGACTAGAAATAGGAGTCAAATCTCTCTTCACCATCTCCGAGAATGGACGATCGTGTGATTGACAGGCATTAACTCCACCTACATAATCTCGATTATTAAGTAACGTTTTCAATGGTTGTGGTTTGAGACGGGGTTGCAATTCAATTCCTATCACATTTATTTTTACTACAAATTAAAAATAAGACTTTTAATATATAGATAAGAAGCGAAAGTTTGAAAGGAATGGACCAAATCAATGAGGCATAATTATAGCCGACTTCTTGTTAGCCTGCGTGCACTCTTGTACTGTAACTGGTAGGTCTACGTAACTCCCAAACAGTGATCCAATGGAGCTGCAATTAAACTGGGGTGATGTTAGCTGCGATGTTTATCAATTTCTATAATTTTTCTGTAAACGCAAGTGACATCCAAACTCTCATTTTAACCACAACTAAACATAATATCAAGGCCGTATCTATTGAACTTTCAATCAAATTGACCGACATGCGGACTCGCTCAACAGCGGCCTCGCTTCGTACAATCTATCATTTAGCCTCAATCTAAAATTATTTCCGGGAGTATGATGTCAACGTTATGGTTAATTTCCGCTTACAACGCCATTTAAAAATTTAATCAATCAACGAAATCCTGTTTAAATCCAGTCGAATCCAAGCCATCCGTGGGTCTACAGAGTTGATTTTGTTCTTGTTGCGTAAATAAAGATCTAATTTATAATTTCTATGACATCTGAAGCCCAAATAAAGACTTGCAATAATCAGATTTAGCTCTTGCATAATGTATGTTAAATTAATCGCACTCTATTTTTTTTTTTCAAAAGTATCAAGCAATCAAACTGATTATCAATTTACACTAAGTTTCATCACTCTCTATCAGATAGAATCAAAGTTATCTTGTCCCAAGGCATCGACTAAGGAAATTGCTTATCTCTGCTTAGCTTTAGCTCGATATGTTAATCATTGAACTCAGTCAAGACGTACATCTACATCAAGTTTAAACATACTACCTCAATTAGAAGCAGAGTTGTTATGTTCCAAAGTCTTGACCAAGTTTCATCACTGTCATTTAATTGGAACTAAAGTTATCGTGTTCCAAAGCATCAACCAATCTAATTGCTTATCTCTACTTACTCTAAGCAGAAAATGCTCATCTTCACACTCCATCAAGGCATTGACCTCTAATAAACACCTACCCCAAGTTTGAACATTCTAGCTCAATTAGAAGGAGAGTTATTGTGTTCCAAAGTCTCGGCCAATCAAATTGCTTATCGCTCTGCTTACCCTAAGCAGAAAATGCTCATTATCGAACTTAGTCAAGGTATTGATGTAATGAAACTATACACCAAGTTTCATCACTCTCACTTAATTAGAACTAAAGTTATCGTGTCCCAAAGCATCAACCAATCAAATTGCTTATCCCTGCTTACCCATAAGCAGAAAATGCTCATCTTCGAACTCCCACATGGCATTGACCTAATAAACACCTACACCAAGTTTGAACATTCTAGGTCAATAAGAAGGAGAATTATTGTGTCCCAAAAAGTGTGACGGACAGACAGACGGACGGACAGACAGACGGACAGACAGACAGACGGACAAACCCATTTTAATAGTCCCCTGCTTTCTTCGAAAGGCGGGGGACAAATATCATCCATCAGGCAAAATCTCATTAAGATAAATAATATTTCTATCTCTGTTAATACTTTTCTTAATTCAATCCTATTGATCGAAACCATGCTACTTGACTCAATGAAAGACCTTATGATCTAAAGCCGTTGTTTTATACACTCGACCACCCAACAGTCTTATATCACACATCTGAAATTGTGCATATAGTAGTGGATGTATACGGTTGACCACTTCTGTTATACTGTGTGTGTTTAAATAGAGCATTAAAATAATAAAAGAAACATACTTTTGATGAACTTTAATAAAGACGTCTTCGCATAAATTATGAATAGAAACTGGAGCATCACCACGCTCGTAATCACGGAATGTAATCGATATCGGTGAATCAGTTCCTCCCACAACTTCTACACATATCGCCGACTGAAAAATATAAACAATTATTTTTTCAGCATAGAATTTAAATGAAATTAGTTCAAATGGATCCGAGTGGACAAAAATTGAACCAGTGAATATTTAATCAGACCAGTGAAAAACTATTTCAGCCAAAGTAAATAAGCCCAGAATTCAATTCACCCTGGGTCATAAGTACTTTTCAAATCAATCTATTTCACATAAAAATTTCTCTTTATCAAAATTTATAAACTCCAATACACATAATACACAGGACTGTGCTTTAAAGGTGAAATCACAGATATACTTTAATAAATAAAACTAATTTATTCTTGCAAAACTTAATCATAGTCCTGTACAAATATATACTGTTCTATGGTACTCTTTTGAAGACAAAACTTTTAGTTGACGTGTACTATTAGCCACATCTCACGTGCACATCTCTAGATAAACATATTTATCTAGATAAAGTTATAGAAGTAAGTGATTCTCGCGACTCCACCATTTCCGAATAGCTCAATGTTTTCATTTCACATTATCTGAAAGGTAAATAGGCTGTATCGTCTCATGTTGGCATTAGATTTATCTACTTAAACACCCTTTTATTTACGATGTTCTGTGGAATCTGTGACTGCCCCTTTAAATTTATGGCTGAAATAATTTTAAGGTTTGCAAAATACAAGGAGTATTTAGGACTCACCCCCTGGTCCATACGTAGTACGGTATTATGAGGTTTTTTAATTGGGAAATGCTGTGACGTCACTGTACTGTTCTCATATTTAACAAACATTGTATATGAATCAGTTACTGGCCAAAATGGTAGGTACTGAAAAAAACAACAACACATATTTAAACATGAAATGAATTATGATGCTGTTCAGGCAATATTCTCCACCTTGACCCTAGAAAACAAATTAAATAGCCATATGTTAGTGTCACTCGCCTACTCATGCCTTTAAACATTAGATCACTCTGCCACCATCCCTTCACGTTTTAGATCACACGGCCACAACCCCTACATGCATTAGATCTTGCATACCTTCATGGATTAAATCACTCGGCCACCCATCCCTTATGTATTAGATCACTCATTCCTTCATACATTAGACCACTTGGTCACCCAATGCAACTCAAAACCTACAAATGTACCTGAGTCGTGTTAATGTCAAACCATAAATCAGCTGCTTCATTTTCCTCCATAAAACGTAATTTTCTACTGCTACAATTGACTACGAGAAAGAATGGTAATATTGTAACTATCTTCGTTAGTTGTAACTGTGACATCTGACTTTGTACCATAAACTGAAATATAAACAAGAAGATTCAGTCATTAACATCCTGTAACCTTCTATACCAAAAACTAAGCCAAATTTCTAATTAGCAAATGACCCATTACGGACAGAGAGAAGGTTGGATGGAACCTATTTTAATATACCTCCCTTAACTTCATTTGACACAGGATAATAATCTATTATTTCTCAAGTCTGTTGTACATGGCTCTGGATTAGTAAAATATCATTATTTATATAGCACTTAATTTCCAGAGAATTCTTACACATCCAGATATTACAAGTCATGATTAAATAAGGATGTTTTCAGATTGGATTTAAAAAATGATGTAGAATTTGCTTGGTATTGGTAGTTTATTCTAGAGTATAGGTGCACAGACTGGAACAGAGAGATAGAGAGAAATAGAGTTTAACTTCCACTCAACACAAACTAGGTCATTTCGGGACTAACATATGGTTCAATTTTTTTTCAATAATTCCCTTGCACATAGGGGTCTTTAGCATTGGGAGGAAACCGGAAGACCCGGAGAAAAACCATGAGGCACAGACTGGAACAGATATCTGGTCTGTGGTATTTCAGAAAAAGGTTTATCATAAGTTCTTATAATCCGCTGCGACTGCTTTTAAGGAGATCTTTTATTATCGCATAACCTTGCTGCAAAAAGAAAAGTTTTAAAACATGTAAACATACCATGTGTTTTCTGCCTCGTTCTTTATCATGACAAACAATAACACCACAACTACCAACTGTATCCATGGAGAATGATTGGGACCAACGTGAATCGTACAGTCTTAGTTTTGCCTAAAATCAAAATTCAGAAATCCAAAAATGTTTAAATTCAACAAGGTACATCATAATATTAGTACACATAGAAAATTTAAAGAATATTTTCTACATCTTGAGTCCGGAACAGAACTGTGAGATAGAATATGATAGAAATGGATGTCTCGTCCACACAATACTTAAGTTATTTTGAGACTAACATGTTATTTCTATCTATGTGGTGCAATGCCAAGGAGGAGTATTTTGCCAGTACAGCAATATGTTATCTACTGTTCATCGAATGCTCAGGCACAAGCACTTTAATTTTAAATAATCAGTCTAGGGTTGTTTTGAATATGATATTATGTAAAATTAATTTTAGTGATGAAAGTGATATATAAGGAAAGGCCTGTGGACCTTATTAACAATAACCCTGTTTCTCTAACCACCTTTATTTTGAATGGACAGTTCCTATTTTCAGTGCATATAATATCTACAATAACAGTTGATAGGATAGGAATATCAAGTTTAACATCTTATCAACACAATATACAATTCCTAAAACCAAGAATTCTTTAACTAGCACAACAATTTGTTCCAATCTGTAACTAGACTTACTTTCATTATCAATCCTGCACATGCGACCCCCTGATGGAAAATCCAATGAATCTTCTCCATCCATGCTAAGATTTGAACCCTGGGATATTCTAGAGATCCGTCCAGTGCCCTAACCATTCGACTAACAACAAACCCCTAGTAATCATTGAAGTTCTTACACAACAGTCAATATAGATACAAATACATATATAAATTATAAGTAAAATTGGATAGTAAAAGAATAAATAAACAAATAAAAAAAGAGTAGATTCTTTACCTTCTTACGCGTATGTTTTTTAAATCTGAATAGCATCGGATGAGGCACAGGTCCAATATCTAAAACCACTTCGGAATTAGAACCCTGAAATATATAAATCTTAAAAGGTCAAAAAGCATCCTTTCAAAGCAGTAATATAGCAATGGTGATCAATTTGATTGTTATCAAAATATCCTTGACAACAAACATGTCACAACGATGTCACAATCACATAAATGACAGAAATTAATACCACTTTGTTAACAACAGCCATTAAGAAAAAAAAATCCTACTAGGTGCCCATAATTATGGCACCATATTCGTAACAAGCCTTTCAATTAGTTGCCCTCATTTATCATCTCTAAATAAACAGTTGAATTTACTAATTATTTAACCTTGACCACCACATAGTTACTTGCAGTTAGTTTGAAATTATTTGTGCTAAAGAAGTCTACTGTTTTCCAGTTGAATAACAGCTTATTTCTGTGTGGAGCACCAGACCACAGTTGGTTGCAGTAACTTCCATATGTCAACCATTACAATAACTTACTCTGAGATGTAGTGGTAGTTCTGTTTTATTGATAATCCAGTACGGACAATATATATATACATCTAATGAATGAGTCAAATCTGAGTGAATACTTAAACTAAGATGTTTATTCACAGTCTCTTCATCGACATCTGTCTCCATAGAGATGGCCTTGAACTGTTCCATTTCACCAGTAATGTCAAGGTTACCTGTCCACTCCGAGCCCAGATAGTCTGAGATCTGAAAACAACATAATACACAAAATAATAATTGTAAATCTTCTCCCTGTCTGGAATAACTGCCAGAAATATATGGCTCCATCTTCACATTATCTAGGTAACTGGACTGGATTTGCAGACTTTGTCATACAGGAGCTATCAAAATTAAGAGAAAGAGAACATAAAAACATCCTGGATCAACAGCCTCTGTTGCCTCAATGCAAAAATTTGTAAAATAACAACTAGACACTTTTCTTGCCTGATCTCCCTCCTCTACCAGTAACAAAAGGAGAAAACAAGCTGGAAACTTTCAAGACCAATACTGGCAGCCCAGGACCCCTTGGTTAGTGAGGCAGCACCCCACTCAGCATATGGCTCCCACAAGGTTTGCCAAATGATACTTACATGTAAAAAGAGTTTAGAAGTTTTGTTAAGATCTACTGTATATAATGGTGTTTGGTCTCCATGTGTTAAACTACTCATACTGGCTCCCTATAATAACAAAACATTTTATAAAACATCTAACTCTTAACTAACTGGCTCTCTATATTAAAACATCACTCATCAGGGAATCTAATTCTAATTTATCAAACGTGATGCATTATACAGGGTATATGGTGCCCCATATAGTAAACAATTCAAAATGTAAACAATCGGTCAAGCATATGGTTAAAGTTTTTCTGAGGTTTTATACACGTCATTATACTGAGACAAAGAAAAGACAAAAATCAATGAAAAACTTAATTTTTCAATTAAATATTTTGAATTCATCATATAAAAAAGCAGAAATTCTGTGGTGCCCTCCTTCCCATGATGTCCTAAGCAGATGCTTATTTTGTTTCATGGTTAATCCAGCCCTGCATATACCTCTATTAAGAAGTTGATATATAGAAATACCTCTAGTGAGAAGTTGATATATAGAAATACCTCTAGTGAGAAGTTGATATATAGACATACCTCTAGTGAGAAGTTGATATATAGAAATACCTCTAGTAAGAAGTTGATATATAAAAATACCTCTAGTAAGAAGTTGATATATAGAAATACCTCTAGTAAGAAGTTGATATATAGAAATACCTCTAGTAAGAAGTTGATATATAGACATACCTCTAGTGAGAAGTTGATATCATATGGTAGATAATTATGTAGAGTAACAGGAGGATATAGACAGATATTATAATACGGTACATTTCTTGGTATTTTAACCACAGGTTTTAACGCATCCCCTTCTTCACAAGTAACCTGTCAAGTAAATATTAACCATTCACATAAAAATATCAATCATAATGGACTCTTAACATACCCTATTAGAAGTCCAATTTCCCCAAAAACACAGTATTTTATGCTTTTTTTTTGTATCAGGAATGTTTTGTTGATTAAGTGGACATATTATTTATAACTATCGTTTGCATACATCAACGTGACTACTATCAATAGATGATATACACAATGCCAGTTTAGCAAGTTGTAACACCTCTATTTGTTGTATATAATTAATTTTATGATGTTTAAAGTCTACATAATCAAAACATCAATCAAGTTGAATAGGGATGTGCAAACAGCCATTTTAACCAGAAAGTTAATACCTCTTTACTTCTAGGATAACTCAAATGAAACCAAGTAAACAACTTGACAGAATTTTTCTTACCTTCATATTAAAATTCTTTTTTTCTGAATCTTCTGATTGACAGATAAAATATTTATGTTTTTCTTTTTCCTGGATTAAATCTTTCCACCAGATGGAATTATATGTTTGCTCATATCTTTAAAAAAAATTCAGAAATTGTCTCAAATTTTCAGTCCACGGATAGAGCTTATGTTGAGATATAACTGATTTTGTTGAAGCTAAAACTAAAACTGAAACCGGTTAACAGCTGACTTTTGGTTGATCTAACAGTTGATCTAACATAAGACTAATGATGTCAATCAGACAATTGTTTAATTTCTTCTAAAATGTTAACAGTAGCATACGATATATCAAAGTATTAATACTGATTTGTCACAGATGTTAAAAATATTGATAGCCTGACATTAGATAGCTACATTTAAATCTGAAAATCTATTAGTAATTTTCGGGATACCAAATGGTTAATATAGTAGCTTGTGTATTGAATTGATAATTTTGTACATAGTCATTTCAGACCCCTTCTCACATTTAAATAACATATAACACCACAAACATACCCTAGATCTGATGGTGTAACAAAGACTGGACAGTTGTAGGCTACAAACAAAGGGAGATAATAAACATCATCTGGCTCTATTGTTGCTAGTTTTGTATATTCTCCAGTCTTTGCTAGATCACTTGTTAATGTCCATTGTTTCAAATCTTCTGTTTTACACGAAATATCAACTGATATTGTCAGGTAATTCTGTACCTGGTAAATAATTATAACAAGTATTATTCATAATCTATACATCAACAATATGGATTACCTACCCTAAATGAGAGAGAGGGGATGCTCGATTCACAGTCCAGAACGTCACGAATTGACAGAATTGCAATCAAGTAACGCGGAATTCAGTTCTGTCACAGTTCTGTCAGTCCCGACAACGGAGGTGGTGTGAGTAGAATCGTGACGTAATTAAACACAACGAATATGTTTCGGCTGCATGGTTGGTTGAGATATTTACTTATTCAGTCGACGCATGTGTTGTAGTTCGAAATCCACCTTTTCACTCGATTGTCACTATTTTTGTGATTGAGAGAATTTAATTCCGGAACGTTCAATCGAGTACCCCAACGGAGAAATGAGGTTTATCGTTCGTTCGACACAAACTAGTTCATTGCGGGACTAAATTATGGTTCAATTTTATTTCAATAATTCCCTTGCGCGTAGGGGTCTTTAACATATGGAGGAAACCAGAGGACCTGGAAAAAACCCACGAGGTTGGACACAGGCGACCCTGCTCCTTGTCATGCACAACCGTGGAATCTTAACCACTCAATGACAGACCTTATGATACGCGCACACGCTAACCATTCAGCCATCCAATCCCCCCGCTCCTAAATGAACATGTACTGCATTATAATATCGAAATTATATTATTGTTTAATACCAACCTTGAGTGGTGAGAGGTAACTGATAACTTTACGACCATGTGTCATATCTACATTCATTATAGTACAATATCTTATACCATTCTGAAAAATATAACAATTATCATACAATTTATAGTTTAATCTCCGATACCATGGACCTTATGATGTCATAACCGTGTCAGCCTTCATTAAAGAAAGCTTTTCTTTACGGAGTGATAGATGCAGAAAACAATACCTGTATATACCCAAAAGAGAGGGAACTCTATGTACTATATTCTCAAACATCATGGTCAGTTCCTGGTCCATTGCACGCTCGTACTTGTTATGTTGGTTATTGCCAGGATAGAATGTTAAATATTTTACAAATTATGGTTGCATCATCCACAGTTGGTTGCAAACATGATTTATCTGTCCAGTTTTGGAAAATCACTCCTCCAAAACACAATAATAACAGTATTGTGAATAAGGTGCACAAAATACATGAACTAAGTTAACATAAAATGAATAAAGATTATATTATAATATATTTAATAGAGTATGTATTAAAGTATTAAAATACACCTGACGTAATGTTCAAGTAATAATTTAATAATGTTTCAGAATAATTTTTTTCATGCACTTAATTGTAAATATACAATTACCCCAATATACAGGCTGTGCAACTCCTCAACTTTCTGTTAGTATTACTCCGATTTTCTGCCAGGAAGAGTAATATATATATCAGACAATTGTATTCCATGTATATATAACCCCTAAACCACTTACAATCATTCTGTATATACATGCCATTGGCAAGGTGACCGCTAGACCACATATCGGTTGACCGGTTCCAGGGGGGTAAATAAACAGAATGAAATTGTACAACACATTTATCCAAATAGAATATATTTCCTATATGATATACTCAAATACAAAAGAAATCATTCTGTAAAATGATTATCAATTCTATAATATCAACTGAAGAACAAATGACATTCGCCTAAAAATAGCATGAACTGGTCTTGATCATTCCAGCCTAAATTGTCTTCAGTTCAACCTCCAAAATGATTCTGAACAAATTAGTCCTAGTTTTGGTGTCCAATATTGAGTTGTAGTAAGTCTTAAAGATACATTGTCCCAAAAGTATTTATCGGGTGGTTATTTTCAATAAAATTATGGCAATTTTGGTAAATATGGAAAGTATATAGACACCCAATCTTACTAGAAAAATACTGGATTACCCGAAAACCACCCATGGGCAACACTGGGTAAAAATATCAGGGTATCACTAACTGGCAACCTGACTGTTGTCTGCCAGCTTATTGTGTGCTAGCTTGACCGAGGGATCGGTTGTTATTTCTTGATCAAATGGTAGGCAGTTTTGAGAACATTCATGGATGTTAACAGACAAAAGACTCTGCAATTAAACGGCAGAAAAAGAAGTTCACAGAAAATAACTAAGAATTTACTAAGTCCTCAATATGTATGATAAATGGGCAGTAAGAAATGAAAAGTACATTCTGAAAAATGGACCCTCCCAAAATGAATTGAGGTGACAGACATGACATCTAACAACAGTTTATTTATAGCTTGAGGTATCTCCCAGCAAAAACAAAATTTTGAGAGGGATTTGAAACAAATTTTTGATTGATTAATTAGTTTGAATATGTTTTTAGTCCAAATATATAATCAAATTACACAGTTTATACTACAAGGGAAAGTATCTTTAAGAGAGAGAGAGAAATGTGGTTTAACATCCACAAACTAGACAATTTCAGGACTCACACACGGCTCAAGTTTATGACTATAATTTGATTGTGCAAAGGGATCTTTAGCAGTAGGACTAGATCGGAGGACCCGGAGAAAACGCATGAGGTTGGACAGGCAACCCCACTCCTTAATACGTACAAGTGGGGAAGTAAGTCTTAAAAGGAAAAAACGGCTTTCCCCATATATATTTAAAATATACAGAATGCATTATTAAACAGTGGACTGAAAAATATCCCATAATTTGTTGTGTGAAATGTATATGTGAATAGTCAGACAGCCAGTTAACATTTACATATTCACTATTTTGATCAGACTATTGAAGTCATGTCAAAATAGCCTAGAATGATCAAGACACTGGTTTACAGAGTTTCTTGAAGGCAAAATTTGAAGGATATGAATATGTATATGTTTCCTGGCTTTCTTGTTAAAAGATAGGATGCCAGGCAACGAAACATACGTCCACAGCAGCTAAGTTGTTTGATCAGTTAACAAGGGTTGTTGCATATTGGTAATAAAAAAATTAACAACACACTAAAATCTAATTACGCCGGACTCCGGACTGATAAACAAGTGAAGGAAGCAATTATGCAAGATGCCAGGCCTTCCTGAAAAAATGAGTTGAAGGAAGGGATTATGTCTGTCTCCAGGTCTCTTTTAAGGAACAGTTGAAGGAAAGAACCATGCAAAGTATAAATGATGGAATGTTACATAAATATTTTACAACCAATAAAGAAACACATCCTCTATCATTAGTCACAGACAGAATATACATTAAGAGAAAATACACACAGCATACTAAATATACACATAGCATACGAAATATACACACAACATAGCATACAAGTCACAAGATATACAAATAACATACTAATATACACATGACTTTCTACATTTAAAACCTTAAGAGTGAAACTGTATGTGAAACAGGTTGATTTTAATTTCCATATCACTCATTTCCCTTACATTTACACTGTAATAGGCACCAGTCTATGGTATAAACAGTTGATCTTCTACACTAGAGCATGCACAATTTATGAGGACTTCTAACATGGATGTTTTTATATTAAAACCAAACTAGCAATAGCAGGTATGTAATATCTAAATAGGAAACTGCATGGTTGTCATAACTAACACTACTCTTTCTGTATTTAACCATAGGCTGATTCAGGCATTATCATATAGTAGTGGTGCGTTGGCATACTATTGACATATCCACCATTGTCATGGGAGGCTGAGAAAGTTCATTGTGATTTTCCGGCGTGGAATCCCAATGTCAGTGGTGAAGGATGGAATGCCTGATAAGGACAGCTGTCTAGTCGTTCGGATGGTACCAAAAACAGAGAACCCATGTATACATTGGCCTGCACGTAAAAGATCTCATGGCAGTTGTAATTAGATATAGGAGTAGGCCATAGTGCCTTTGCCCAGACAAAATTCCCCTAAAAGCACAATGTATGCAGAGCCCAATGGGAGCAGAATGGTAGACTTTAAACCCCATTTCATTTCTTGTCATGGGAGAGAGAGAGAGAGAGAGAGAGTTTAACGTTCACCCGAACAAACAAGGTCATTTCGAGACTAAAATATGGTTCAATTTTATTTCCATAATTTCGCTTGCGCGTAGGGGTCTTTAGCAGTGGGAGGAAACCGGAGGAGCCTGAGAAAACCCACGAGGTTGGACAGGCAACCCTACTCCTTGTCACGTACAACCGGGGAATGGAAACCACGCCAGTTGACTCAATGACACACTTTATGATAAAGCGCGCACATGCTAACCATTCAGCCACCCAACCTCCCCTAGAAATGGGAATGTCAGTTATTTCACCTGATACTATTTGTAATGGGAATGTCAGTTATTTCACCTGATACTATTTGTAATGGGAATGTCAGTTACTTCACCTGATACTATTTGTCATAGGAATGTCAGTTATTTCACCTGATACTCTTTTGTCATGAAATATAGACTACATGAAATATAGACTGACAAAACACATGCAAAGTGACACACAGAAACATTTATTGCTTTACCTCCATTTCAATCATCTCCTCAGTCTGACAGAAGTTTAATAACAAAATAATATCGATAAATATATATATTTATATAATTGACTTGTGCTGCTAATGTACATATTATAACATATCTTCACATTAGTAGATTTTGGAATATACTGAGTCATTTGGTGCATAACATAACTCTATATTTATGTTAAAGTAGTAATTCATTGAGCCAATGTTTTGAAACAAATGAAGGGTAACAGCTTAAAGACAATTGTCAAATAGTTTAAATCTAAAATATTTACTCTCCTGACACATTTCTTCAGAGGATATATTGGTATCACACATCAATTATTTCTTACAGCTGATGTGTAATTAAGATATTTGCATAATTCTTAAATTGTTGCTGTTTTGATTTTAGTTTATCAGATTTAAAGATATATACATTTCTATTTACCTTCCTAGGAGTAAGGGGAAACAATTTACGACAAGCTCTCTTGTGTAGTAAGGTAGGTAATGGTTCAAATCCCTCCACCTGAAAGCAAAAACAATTTCCCTGTAAAACTAGGTGAACCAGTGGGATTCATCGTCATCTACTGTAATGTATGTAAAGTTATTAGATTTATATCAAATTTTTCTTCTGTCAACCTAGACTTTATGCCAGTGTCTGTTTGTTTAAGGCATCACAATGCTTTAATCGACCAGGTTATAATTAACCCCTTAAATTGTAAAAGTTTCCACAATAAAATCCATGTAAAATGTAATAAAATTAACATTTAATTAAGAAATCAAATCAAAATATCCACAGTAGACAATCAGATTAAAAAGAGCAACCATCAAAAGAGTCATCAAAACTCATAGGTGGCACTGACTTATGTTTACTATATCCAACATATCATCTGCAGTAGACCCCAAATTCATTGTAAACAGAACTGGACCATTTTAATAGATCAATTTTTAAGGATCTACAAACTAAAGATGCGAACGGTCGTTGAAACGTCGCCAAATAAATCTTCCAAGTAACTTCATATATTGTGTCATGTATTTAACTATGTGGGATTTTAGATAAGCATCTATAATTTTAAGAATAACACACACCTGTAATCTCAAACGTTGCTGATCCACATTTTCACCTGACAAATAATCATCATCATCATCAAACACAAATGCCCCAGCACTAATCAGATTATGTCCCATACTAGCTAGAGCACTACCAACCAAACCATCTGTTTCACTGTAAATATATCATATGTAAGGATTATTATTTCAACAATGTATATATAAGAAGCCATTTTTTTACCAATGTAATTATATCACATGTACATGCAAGTAAATATAAGAAGCCATTTTTTTACCAATGTAATTATATCACATGTACATGCAAGTACCAATATTTCAACACTGTAAAATATATCACATGTTTAAAGTGTAATTTTTCAACACTGTAAATATATCACATATAAGGACTAAAGGAGTAATTTTTCAACACTGTAAATATATAACATGTAAGGAGTAATATTTCAACACTGTAAATGTATCACATGTAAGGAGTAATATTTCAACACTGTAAATGTATCCACATGTGAGTAGAAATATTTCAACACTGTAAATATATCACATGTGTAAAGAGTAATATTTCAACACTGTAAATGTATCAAATGTGTAAAGAGTAATATTTCAACACTGTAAATGTATCATACGAAACGAATAATATTTCAACACTGAAGCTTTTTAAATGGCCATCCTTACCAATGTCATTTAAGACATTTATTTAGACATTTTTATTTTACTGAACTGAATCACAAGCCCTTCGAAACTTTCTATCATTACTGAAATGAAATGAAATGGGGTTTAACGTCCTAGTATATATGGAAGGCCACAATTTTAGTCTATTTGACACAATCCCCTTTGATAACATGGCCCCCGCAGAATTATAGATAAACTGATTGGTCAAAGGGTTCATGTTAAAAGTAGAACATCAGTCACAAGCAAGGTTTTTATTTTTCGATATGAACAAAAATGTCAAAATTGGCTAAAAAATATCATTTTTAATAATGATATAACTTGAAAGCTAAAAGCTCAAGTTATTAAAACTAACTAAACATAAAAAGATATTTTTGGCCAACTTAAAACATTTTTATTCATATTGTAAATCAATGATGTACGTCTTCCGACTCATTTTGCAGTCACAGGTCAAATATAACAAAAAAGAACAGACATCTGATAGTAATCAGTATGATTTTGTATAATGGAGACTCCTTACTCTGCGTCATCACAAGTTAGATCAGTATCAGCTTCAGGAACAGGTTGTCTATTATCTTTTCCTACACCACCTCTAAATACTGTTACTTTATCCCACATGTCTTCATGTACCTGGTAAAAACAGTCAATATATTATTTATTATTAGCAATATCATTCTAAAGTCCACAGGTTTGAATCACAAGCACTTGTAAACTGGAAAACAAACTTTAAAAATAACATTAATCTGAAAATTGAATAACCACATATTAACTCGGTCATGAAATCACATAGTGAAGAAACTGGAAGATAAAATTATAAACTCACCTTTAGTTCTGGATGTAGTGTCACAAAACAATGAACTCCCAACTGTAAAAGTAATTACCATTATAATGTTACAATAATAACAATAATACACTTTGACAATAATAAACTTTGACGACAGAGTAGAAAACAAAAAGAATGTGCAATTACCAAAAACTAAGTGAGATTTGTTTAAGACACAACTACTATAATAGATTGAGGTGTGTACAAAGTTCCATAATGATATCTTGAACGTTTTATATAAGGAGATATATATCTTTCATAAAGACAACAGGGACAGAAGGACGAATGGGGTATATCCAATCAAAAAGGTGCAGACATGAATAAGATAAGGATGGAGTTTGAAATGCAACAAATAAGTCATTTCCTTATTTCTGGAATGGAATGGAATGAAGTGTGCTTCAATATCTCGTCAGCAGAATACTTTTGTCAATTGGTGACAAAAATATGGTAATTTCTATTTCTATGGTGTACAATGAGAGTAAAGAGAAAGGACAGTGATCGCTGCATTTTTGTGATTCTGCCAGACAAAGGAAATTAAAATTACATGAAGGGGAATAACAAAACCTACCTTATTATCTATTTGGAATGCTGGTAAATGTCGAACTGAGGCAAGTGATGAAGAATTGGGTTTTGTTAAAGCCTACAAAATATAAATAACAATTAAAAATATTTATACTATAAAAGTACTTCTGAAAAAAAAAAACCCAGTTCATCAAACATTCTAATATTGGCCAAATTCAAATGTGAAATATTAGACAGTCATTTGTGCTCATTTTAGTGTATGGAAATATCTGAAAATTTGATGGATAGTAGTGCACAAAGTGATTCATGATTTAGAAATGAAATGGGGTTTAACATCCTAACTTTCCTGCATCAACCATTCAATCTATTAGGTAAATGTCCCTGGACAGTGATGTTTCTGTCTACTCTTTGTCACATTCCATCTGCCAAGTGTTATTTTATGCACATGCCAACCTGTAAACAGGATCTTATTTTTTTGTCCCCTTCGAATGACTTCACACTGTTTCTTGGGATACCCAGCATCATGCATGCACCACTACTAACAGCGGGAAACCATGCTGTACAATCGTTTCTCATCCAACCAGTGGTGAGTGACATAGTACCTTACTCACTGAGCTATTGCGACTACTCATGATTTAAAACATGAATTTATCATTTTTTTGAGATAAAATATTACCCTCATAGAGGGTTGATATATGAGATAACCTAAGGCTGAAGGCCGTGGGGTATTTTACATATTGACCGGGGGTATTAGGGTAATATTTGTCTTATATATCGACATCATTGTTAAATCTATCCTAATTGATTTCGCCTATAAGACAATGGGTCCTGCGACAGATATGACAAAATTAAGAAAACACAAAGTAAGTTGTATGTGCATTACATTTAAGTAACCACTGGCATTCATTTTGTACAATGTCGTCAAATGATTCGGACAACGAACTGATCCGAGCAAATATGGTTAAAAAAACCGCAGATTCTGACAAAGAATTATTTTAAGATAATCAAAGTGCAGAATTTATGCAGAAAATATTCAACAAGGATTTAATGTACTCAAATATTTCAGATTGTGAGGAAGATAAAAATGATAATGCTTTTCAATGTCGAGTGACAAAAAGACGTCAGTTAATCTGCCAACAATGCCATGCCCATAAATACTTTATGCAGAAATTAGTGGGCTGTGAACTTGTTTAACAGTTGGTCAGTGTGGCGGAACAATAAACACGATAGTGAGCGGAAAATCCTGTGTGTGCTGGAAGATATGTATATCAGATCTTATTTTTTTGATGTCTAGATTTGTCTTAGAAGTAAGCAAAATAAAATGGTGAATTTGTTACCCGTATTTAGTTATGGGAATAGTTTCACTTTTATGGATTACGAATAAAACTGATGTGGATACACTACACAATCCAGAATTTAAGAGTTTTAGACAATTTCTTGAAAATCAGACGAAAAAACTAAGTAACATGGGCCTAGCAAAGTTTCGTCGTCCGAAACGTTTGACAAACATTGTACAAAAAAGTGAAAAAAATGTTAAAAGAAAAAATTTGTGTCCTTTTTCATTGCAGAGTGATATAAACCTGTTGTGACGTCATCAGAGATTGATATCAGATATCACCCTCTGATGACGTCACAACAGGTTGATACGTTTCATAACATGCATGGAGATCAAAGGAAATAACATCCCAAGGTGTGTAACTCTAAATAAATAACCCAGTTAGCCGAATGTTTATAAATCATACCTCTATGACATCACTAATAACTCCGATAGCATTATTGGTAACATTTAGTTGTAGAGTATCTTGTGAGTCCATTATAATATATGTACAAAGCATGGATTTATCTAGATCATCATCATCACCATTTATACCATCAACAGTATCATAATTATTTACATCTGAAATAATATCATCACATACATCTGTCCAAACAATCAAAAGTAATTCACAGAAAATTCTTTAAATATTTTGACAATGGTATTCCAGCCATTATGATTATATTTTTTAAATAAAAAATCAAGTAAGCTATATCCATATTTACAAATGTTGACATGCATTTGGAATAGTGTGTAAGTTTTTCTTTTCAGTTTCAGAAGGCATGAGTCTTGAAAGTAGACAAATCACTTTTTTTTGTCAAATTGTGCAATTTTACGACACATATACCATGCTTAACAAAATATTTTTTCAAAACATCAAAAGTACCAGACAAAAAAGTTGTCATTTCTGGAAAAGGTGGGGGGGATATTTTTAAAAATAAAAAAACTTGGTTTAAATAGTCAAGCTTTTTTTTCTTTTATTGTTTGTGAGAAATATTTTTTGTTTCTTTTTCCCTTTTTATATGACAGAAGCAAAGTAAATACAGGGAGCTGGAAAAATTCGCCCAAATAAATGAAAATGTTTAAATATTGTGTTGAAGCTAATAATAAACAATGGGTGCTGTGTAAAAACCATAAGAAGCACTTTCATATAAGCAGAAAATATCTTTGGAGTGAGCAGTGATCAAAACTATTATTTAATAAAAAATACTGGTTTGGTGAAAAATATTATTTAATAAAAAAATACTTGATTGATCAAAAACATCATTTAATAAAAATTATTATTTAATAAAAAAAATACTGGTTTGGCCAAAAATATTATAATTTAATCAAAAATTCTGGTTTGATAAAAACATTATTTAAGAAAAAATCTTGGTTTTTTTCAATAAAATTATTTATTTAATAAAAATAAATACTGAAAGTAGAGAAATTTCCTCCAACTGTTGAAATAGTGTTCTAGAATTCACTTTTTATTCCTCTCTAAAATTCAGATTAACATCCTAAATCCCATAATATTCCGTATTAGTAAACTATTATGTCCCTTAAAGGGTTGTACTCGATTTCACAGAAAAGCGCACAAACACCAAAATATCCAGAAAAAATAGCACAATTACCATGTGTGAAAGTTTCAAATCAAAATATTGAATCATTCTGAAATGAGGTCTATGTTTTCTTTCACTGTTTTATTGTATAAGTGACATATAATCCTGACGTTCAGTAACCATTATAACTTTGGCAAGAATAACGTCCAGGTTATCCAAGCACTTACACGGTGAAGAATTTGAGTATTTATCGCCAACCCTATGTGGAAACAAAAAGTTGGTATTTCATTGAATACATATCATAGAGCATTAGAATTTGGATTGAGTTTTTCACGCAGAATTAACCAATTTTATTAACTGAGATATGTCCTAGACAATTCTGTTAAATCTACACTCATTTAAATTTAAGTGAAACAACACATGTTTAATGATAACTTATGCTGAAGATTCATTCTTTAGAAATCAAAATCTAAAATGTGGAGGTGAAATTTTGTTATTATTTTTTTTAAAATTTAGCAATATTTAGTGAGAGCAGTCATGTAAAAAATATTCCAAGATTCACATCAATTTATTGCCCTGACTGTTCATAAATATACCAAACCAAATGTGTAATACAAAATTAATCTTATAAAACAGAGAGAGAGAGAGAAATGGGGTTTAACCTCCACTCGACACAAACTAGGTCATTTCTGGACTAACATATATTCAATTTTATTTCAATAATTTGCTTGCGCGTAGGGTGTTTAGCAGTAGGAGGAAACTGGAGGACCCAGACAAAACCCACGAGATTGGACAGGCGACCCTACTACTTGTCACGCACAACCAAGGAATTGAAACCACACCAGTTGTAATCTTATAAAGTTCTAATAAACAGTGAAAATTACTATTACTACAATCTATAATTATAACCTTTGACACCAAAATACATTCTAAAAAAAAATACAACACCAGACAACATTCAGATTTTAGAAAATTCCCAAACCAGCGGAAGCAGTTATTGGACCCCGTGATGTCATAAATACAGGCTTATCAAGTGACGAGTCAAATATGTCATCATTATCCTCCAATTCACTGACATCAGCGTCACTACTGTCAGTGGAGAAAATACTGCCAAGTTTGTTAGTAATATTATGGATAAATCCCTCTGGTTCTGAGTCTGATTCACCCTGGATAGAATTATGCTTATTCAAAGAATCTGAAAGAAATGACACAAAATTTACCAAACAGTTTTCGCTTTAACATTTATTTATTTGATGAGTGGCGCAGAGGTTTGGATCTCCTAAGTACATGTATTATCAAATGGAATTTAATAAGCCACTTTTCTGTATCAACAAGTGTGCTTTGAAGGCAATTTTGCAGCTGCCTTTTTTGCCCACTCTCCATCAAATACATCAGTCATTGTTCCTGCTCAATCGACAAGGGGAATCCAGGTCGGAAAATCAAGAGTAACTTCCTCAACCAACACTGGGATGAAGCGCAGACCTCCTAGCTAGTGAACCAGTGCCATAGTCAATACTAAAATTATAAGTTACAGATATATTCCTTTCATAGTAAGGACTGTTATTATGTTACACATTTGATAGATGATGAATAATTATGCTTTAATTATGTTACTTAATCATACATCTGATACATGTATTTGATGAATAATGATGATTTAACTATATCTGGCCCCAAGTTCACAAAGCATTCTCAGGCTTAAGTTAAGAATTTACTCAAAATTGTTTGTTTTATTCTAACTACATATATAGCCCTATTTAAAACTTTTGTTGTTTTAATGTATCAAATACATTAATAAGAAACTATGTGCAAAGTGTTGTGTTTCTGGATCAAAGATATTTCTCATAAACAGTGATTGAAAGTTGAGTAAATTCTTAACTTAAGTCTGAGAATGCTTTGTGAACATGGGGCCTGATACTTGTAGTTATGGAATAATGATGATTTAATTATGTAACTTAATCATACTTCTAATAGTTGATGAATAATGATGATTTAATTATGTTACTTAATTAATCATACATCTGATGTTTAAATGTAGAAGCCCTGGTTACCGCAATTGTTGCTACACATTATTTCACAGCTAGCAACTGCTATATCAATCTAATTAAAATATAGATCTATATTTCGTTTCGTTTTTTATACTTTCGATGCCCTACACTACATGTAGATCTAACAAGTTATAGTGGGAGTTCACATTCTATGACGTCAGGTACCAAGCAAGCGACATTTGACCCGATTACGTCAGTCATTCAATTAACCAATTAGCGACCACCATGTATTTGTTATCTACTTTTGCTTTGTTTTGATTTCTATTGCCGCTAATGTCTACCCACAGTTCCGCGCAAAATAAGGTCAAACATTCGATTCGACAGACCATTTGATTGGCTGACCCCTCATTTCAAGCAAAACACGAGTTAAATAACAACGCTTCCAGATCCAAGTGTAGTAAACACAAGTAAAATCGAAATTTTGAACTATAAAAACGAAACGAAATTGGATCTGTGTTTTAATCAGATCACTGCGCTATTTAATGAAAGTCACTGTGTTCAAATTGCTGGCTATAGTTGAGGTTCCCAAATTAGAATACATTACAATAATAACAAGCCAATTAAACTCTTTTGCCAATTTTTATTAAATTGTAAATTAGAAGTACTTTTTTTTTTTCAAAATATAAAGTTTAAGGGATGGAATAATTAATCTGAATCAGAATTTGGGGTGTGCAAATAAAAAAAAATATAATAAAAAATATAAAATTAATAAGTAGTAATAATAGTAAAGTCTGCACAGAGCCCAGATATGTTTAGACCAGATAAGGTGCAATTATTTGATACAATCCATAATAAACAATAATTTGAACATTAATAATGAATAATTACTATTAATAATTACTTTCCTTGTAATAAATGAAATGGGGTTTAACATCCTACTGTTCTGCTCTGACTGGGCTAATAATGACGGTCATATTGAATTCCAAATGACAAGGGATCTTTTATGTGCATGCTTATGCGTACACTGGACCTCAGTTTTTTGTCCGATCCAATTAACGACTATACATTGTCCCTTGCAAGGCCCTCTGTCTTGCACCATTGACAGGAGGAACCATGCGGACACAGGACCTCCAGGCTAGCAAACCATCATCTACCCACTGAGCCATCTTGGCTCCCTCCCCTTGTAATTAAAACAAAAATTAGAAAACTAGACTTTACAGAATTGACAGCAAGAAAGCCCCGAAAAAAATATTATCTACAACCTTCCCCTTGGATCACCAAACTAAATACTGGTATATAATACTTACCAGTAGAACCACCTGAGATACCAGAATTCATTGAACACATTAACATTGAACTTTAGAATTTTTAAAAAAAATTATGAAATCTTTTTAATAGGATGAACCCTATTGATTTAAATCACATTTCAATTTCACATAGTAGAGTAGCGGCCCTTAACTACAAAACTATATAAACATTCTGGAAGTCACAGTTTTTTAAACGCTGCTCAGTGGACAGGCTTGTAATGTTTCTTTCTTAAGCATAGAAATGAAATGGTGTTTAACGTCCTACTATTCTGCTCCAACCTGGACTAATGAAGACGGGATCTTAAGAGATGGGGATCTAATATTTATTTTCAACAATGGTCATTTCATATATTTTTATTTCAACAGTTCGCTTGCCCTTAGGAGTTTTTCAGAAGCGGGAGGAGAAAATGGCAATCAGAGTGGAAATCAGAGAAAACCTTGAGGTTAGTTTGTCGACCCTATTCTTTGTTCTGTACAAACCTGGAATCGAACTCAGGATGCATATATGCATATATAACAGGCCTTCTGATCTACAATGCACGAGTTAGATAATTTGGCCATCCAAACACTTTGTTAAAGAATATTAGTATCTGGTTTTGTAGAAAATCACACAACAACAAGTTGAAATAAATAAATCCTCAACAAAATGTACATACCATAGTTTCTGTTGCTGCCATTACGTAATCTACGAATTGATTTATGTCGAATTACTGTCATATCAGTTGATGAATCTGTGTCAGTTTCTGAACTACTCGATTTCATACGAGATCGATGCATCATCTGTTGGACCTCATTCTGTAAACCATCTGGAACATCCAGATCATTATCCTCGTACGTACAGGCCATTGGAAAACTTGGTGCTTTGATTAACTGCAAGATTCGTAAGACATTTTCAACTATAAAATACCCAAACACTATTAGAGAAAAATGAAATGGGGTTTTCTGTACCAATGAAGAAAGGTATGAGAAAAATTTTGTCCAGACAGCGGCGTTTCACTTTATTGAATTCCAATGTAAATTTTTTTTTTTAACGGAAATACAAATTTGTCACCAGCAGCTTGTTTTTTCCCATCGCAAAATTACTCAACACAATTTAATTGTCAGTCAACAGATCTAACTCCTAATAACAAAGTATAATAGTTTAAAAAATGTTGTCGGTTCTCCTAGATCCATGTCTAGTCGTAATTCAAGAACTCGTAACTACTTGACTAAACTACTATCAGAACTCAACTTGAATCATTAACTATCTGTGGTTTAAATATATACGCCTGCAATGATAAAAAAAATAATCATATTTTACCTTGACAAGAACTTCCCATGGTCGATAAATTCCTTCATGTTCAAATACAGGTTCTACAAGAGGTTCCCACACACCTAACTTCTCATTAAAAAATAACATCTCTAAATGACATTCAGATTCTAAATGTAGCTGTAAATAAAATGAATTCCATCAATAAACAGATTTTCATTACATTAATTACACAGTTTTTATCTCATCTTCTTTCAATCCCAACTGCTTACAGATACTTGTTGCATTTTTTGGACACTTAAAGGTAAGAAAACAAAATCATATCAATGGTAGATAATGTCTCGGCTTGGATTCAATCAGATTAAAAATACGCCCATCAAAAGATTTTACGCAACTCTTACAGGAGGCACATGTCAAATGTTCTAAATTTGTTCATTTATCATATCTTTGTAAATACTGAACAGATATTTTTGGACCGATGTTCCTTTTAGAGAGTTGACTCTCACAATACTGTAATTGGCAAGGGATCCAAAATGCTTCAAATGATGATCAGCAGCTTATAGTTTAAAAGATATAATATATTAACCTTGATTGAAAGTTTTAGCAAAAATAGTAAATGTTTCTCAGACATTTTCAATGTAACATGTCATACCATAATGATTTAACACTTTTCGCTACTGGTCATTATAGTCACCAGCTTACTAATGACAATCCACGGCTTTAAATTTTGGCCACTTTAAATTAACTCAATAAGAGAAATAAAGAGAAGTTCCACAAACCTTCAGAGTCCAGTCACATATTTTAACATCTACTGATGATTTAATCCATAATAATGGGACATGCAAATCTAAATTCTCAACTTCAAACAGAACATTAACATCTGATATTTCAACTTTCAACATCTCAATCGGCTTCTCTGCTGGTCGAAATACATTCTTAGGACCATCTGAATCAACTGCAAGTTTTACAAGTTAAAAGTATACCTTTCATCAGGGGAATGTACAGTACGTCATTGCATTTTTGCAATTGAGAAAATAAAATCACAATATCAACGGTAAACTATCTCCCAGCTTGGATTCAATCAGTTTAAAAAGAGACCCATCAAAATTAAAGATGTTGGCAAATATTTAAGATGACACCCAGCTTGTTTATAAGGGTTATAGACGTAACATAGCCACTTTTTATCGCCTGTCAAATGTTGCGAAAACTTATTTTATCATATCTCTGTAAATACTAAACACATATTTTTGGACCAAGATTCAACTTCCAAAATATTGTGGTTGACAAGAGTTAACAGTAATGCCTCATATGACTTCTGAGACTTTCAATGCAAAACACAATACATTTATACACCATTTGCACAAAATGGGATAAACAGGCAGCGAGATCAAATTTAACAATGTATACCATCCATAACACAGCAATACCAATAAAATATGGCTTCCAAATCAAGAACATATCATAAAAGTCCAATATAAGCCAAACATTACATAAAATCCAATAGAAAGCCATGATTTGGACATTACATACTATGGTGCTGGTGTAGCAGCATGGCTTTCTAGGAAATTAAATGCAATGATCTGAATACAGATATTTAAAATATTACTCACTGCTTGTATTTTTAACATCACTCCATTTCCTGCCATCAATAGGAATAATATTCCACAGGTTGTTCTGTACTGAGCTGCTCGGCTCTGGTTCTACAGTTGGCACCTAATGATAGAAAATTACTTATTGTTTATAATGCACAGTAGGACATGTACATGTAGAATACAACTAAGAAATGAGCTCCTACTCATACTCTCCCTTTAGGTCAACCTCAAAACATCTTTTAACCTGTGGTGCTAGTGTGACAAAGTACTCCATAACTTTCATCAAAGATAGACTATATTCTCTCATATAAAATATTAACAGATATTTAGATGCAATGAACTTATTGAACCCCATATGTTATTGATCTACAATATAAATATTCTGTTCACAACATACCTACATGTCCTCAACATATATGTAAATATTTAGATTTAATCAATCCCACATGTATTGATAATGATGTTTTATTAAATATAATTCACACAGTCAGCTATACGAAGGTTAGAAGGGAAGTTGGTTAAGAGATCTAGACAAGTTTATGGGCTATATCAAGTTCAGCCGCTGCCGTGTTGATGTTATTGTTTATACTAATGATGTAATTAAGTTCCTGTTTGCTATATATCATTCCTGTGTATTTATGTTCCTGTTCCCGATGTAAATAAATACAATATTTACTACATTGATCTTCTGTTATTACTAAATAGTGTTACACTAGTATCATACAGAATAGTCAGTTAGCATTCTTCTCTCTTTGTTTTTTGTGGACAATTCGTTTGTGACTGTAATCAAACCTTCATGAATACAATTTGACAAAACTCACCATCTCTAGTGTTCAAATTTTCAAGAGATTTGGTAGACTACATGCTGGACTAAAGTTTCAGCCACCGAAGTCCAGGCCACACAGATTAAATAGGTGCTAAGTTATATTTATAGCACAACTTTGGCCGTAGGCCGAGATGTTAAACCTGTTAACGAATGAAGCGTGCTATAAATGATTTGTAACATTGAAACCTGCTCAACATGTTTGTTGTTATTGCACAGAAAACCAACCCCACTTCTCTATATGATTTCTACTAAAACTAGTGTAAACCAGCGAACGAGTGCAATAACATTGAACATGTCTAGTTATTGCACGGTTAAGCTGCACCCAATCTACTAGAGGGAAAACAATCTGCTTATTCAACGAAAAGAACAAAGGAACTTTTTCCCGTCCATGTTACAACACGTTAGAATTGGGGTAAAAATAAACTGTGGTCGAAAGGTTCATTTCTTGATACATGTCTGTTTTGCACGAACATTCAGATTTCATTTTTCCCCAGCTGGTTGCCCACTTACCGTATCTGTCGGCCATTGCACCATCTGATAAACATCCCAGACAAGTTGCATCGTTACAGCCGATAAAATAACATCTATCTTCGATATTTTCAGATTCATAATCTTTTCACCCTTATCATTCTCTATTGTCTGAGAAAACTCCAGAGAGCATGGCGCTACAATCTACAATAAACAAGAAGACTCAGTCATCTACATCTCATGCCCTTGTATGTTAAAAAATATGTCAAATTTGTTTCCATGGAAACACAAAAATCATTAAATCCAAGAAATTTCTAATTGGCAACAGGCAGAACTACTATAATAGTTTGACGTGTGCACAGAGTTCCATAAAGATATATTGAACTGTTTATAGGAGATACTCTTCAGCTACCGACGACAGAACCAAGTTCAATATTCCTCCCTTAACACTGTTTGGCACAGGATAATAAATGGATAGTTAACAAAAAAACAATATCTGACTGATTGGTCATATTTATTTGATTTCCATTCTTTTTATGTGATAGTGTGAATGCTGAATCAAGTATTGACAGTGACTACGCATAATGGAAATACTTTATACATCAAAAATTAGGAGACAATACTTATTGGATAGGGCCATCTTGCTCATCAACCAAATCTCCTGCTATGTTGTTGTCATGCCTACAATACAGGCAACCAGATGGGAACTTGGCAGTCAAATGGTTAAATCCACATACACATGTACAGTGTACACAGCAGAGCTCTTGTTTCAATGACAACTGTCACTCTTAAAGCAAAATGTTAGATATTACAATTTTTGTTTCTCGTAGAGACAGAACGAAGTTGTCTTGTAAGACCCAGGTTGTTATCTACCTGACTCTGTGGTTGTTGATGTAGATGCAATTTCGATATAATTTGTAGATTTGAAATCTTTGACCACATGTTCTGTTTCTCTGCATCTGTCCGATATTCAAAAGCTACATCAGCCTGGAAAATAAATGGATTAAATGGAACTGAATGTTTATCGTTCAACACAATAGACCTATAATGCCTGGTAAATGAAGGCAAAAACAAACCCAAAACCAACAAAATAACTGAAATGATACTTACATTCATAATAATAACTCGACTATCTTCACTTGTTGGGTCAGTAAATAACACAATACGGGGTTGTTTTAATGTTCCGTAGAAATTCAGTGACGAGGTTTGTGTTGTAGGGTCAGATGTTGGAGAGACTGATTGATATTGTGAATCTGTAGTCTGGATTGTACTCGGGGATTGTAGGGCACTAAGTAAGAAGTCAATGAGAACTAATTGATACTGTATGTGAACATTTAACTGTAGTTTCTCTACCATTAAATCAGCTAAAATAAATACATATAATCATGTTAAATTATTTTAGGCAAGAGGCCATAATAAACTAAAAACAATTTGTGTAAATAAGGGACAAACATATCACTAGAAACCATTATTGAACCTGGTCCAATTATTATTAGAGAAGCTTAGAATAGAAATGACCAGAACGACCAGTAGCAAAGCTATTAAACCAATTAAGGTTAATCTAGTCTTGTCAAATAAAACTGCCTTCATTTCACTAAAACTGAACATGGCTGTGAAAAATGTTTCCAATTGGGCTTCGTAGCTCCTAATTCCAATCCTGACATGTCTGAAGCTTTTTATGACTTCACAAAATTTAAAGACCATAACAAATTGTTTTAAACTCTTTTTTTACAGTTGAATATTTGAACACCGTACCTTTTTGATGTCCATCACTACTGATTTTATATATCAATGAAACAAGCGGAAAACCTGATGTTGCATCACTTTTCTCAGCACAATATAAAATCCTGAAATATGAAAATAAGATCTTATAGATAAGTTGCCAGGCAATGAAACATATGTCAACAGCAACTAAGTCATTCAAGCAGTCCATAAAGGCTGTCATATTTATATTCTTTTGTAGGTAATAGGAGCATTTATAAGACACTAAAAACTGATCAAGAATCACAACCCATGAAGTAATTATTAGAAATAATGAAAATTTGATGAGCTTCTAGTTCTTCCAAACATTAACATAAACGGTTACCAGGTGGTATCATGAGTTGTTATAGTTATCTGAAACTGTTGAAAACTAATGGACCAATAAGCAACAGAAGGAGGTGATAACAATGTTATACAGTCACATTTCAAAACAGGTGAATAAAGATTCAAAAATCTTAGCAAAAGTCTGAAATTTAATACATGTGCATTATTCCTTTTAAACAGCAAACAAAAGTCCATACCAAACTTGCTGATTACAAGAACTCAAACAATTAGAAAGTGGTATCAGATGTTCTAGAAAAATTATGCATCCCTGCCTCATGCATGAAACCCATCATATTACTACTAACCTTTTATTGGCTAGCTTACTATCTGGTCTTGTGTCATTAACAGCAATAGACTGGAGGTTAAAGGTCAACTTCAGATCACCATCGTTATGATAAACACCGTTTAAACTGATATTATCCATTTCTAGTCCACATAGATTACGCTTCACTGTCATCTGTAATATACAAATGCATTAATTGGTTTGAACCTTTCTTGGGTTTGATTAACATCTAATCAAAGTACCTGTCACAAATATAACATTGTATCCCTTAAAGCCGTTGATCAAATTTTTTCCTAATTTAAGGGCATTGAGCAGTCTAAAATGCATATTTTAAAGCTAGCACTTTAATTTTTGTTGATAATATATATGACATTTTTTGTTATTTGGGGTGATAAACTACATAATAATAACCAAAAATATGTCAATTTTATGTACTAATTATTTTCAAAACTTGGCCTAAATTCATGATAATAAAGGATGTTGATGACAATAAAAGTCAAATTTTCTCAGTGATGCCTACAAGGATTTTCATTAAATTTGGCATGGACAATGGTAATTTCAATCCAAAAAAGCTACATGACAGTTTTTGGCTATAGGCTATGGTTTGTTTGGTATCCATGAAAACACAAAAAAATGAGTTTTCTTGGAAATTCTATTAGTACATTCTAAAATTTTTACCATTATAATGTTGTATGATTAATTTGTCAATATAAAAGATGTAGTTATACATTCCTCTGACATTTTCAATGTAACAGGGCACATCATATGATTTAAAAATACCAGAATATACTTGGTATTAATACAATCAGTGAATAGCTAAATGTCTTTAACAATTGTATTAGGCATCAATATGGAAATATGGCAGTAGTAGTTATATTCTAGTATTATCAGTCATTTTCTAAATATCTCTCAAGAATACACCTCAGTGTATTCATCCAATAATGAAATGTGGTTTTACGTCCTACTGTTCTGCGAATGAAGACGGGCATATGCCATACAGTGTTCTAAGAGGGAAATATTGCTCAGACAGCTGCACTACGGCCTACTCTCATCCAAATTCCAACTGCCAAGGGATTTTTTTACATGCACGCCAATGTGTACACGGAAGCTCGGTTTTTCGAACCATCCAAACGACTATACGTTGTCCCTTGGAAGGATCTCGGCCCTACACCACTGATCATATGTTTAATTATGTTCTCCTGATTTTGATTGTTTCTGTGTGTTTGAAGTATATGTTTGTGATTTGCGCTTAGAAACACTTCACGTGTAATGAAGCGCTATATAAATCGAACAATAATAATGATAATACCTGATCTTTGTTAGTCTCCTCTAGTAACGTAGCCGTTATGCCATCTAATCTAAAGAACATGTTCGTTGATGATTTACTGATAGACGTTGATGATGTCAGGTCTCGTAATTCTACAGACGGTGACGCGTTTGTATCCATGCTAACTTGTGGTATATTCTGCATTGTGGGGGATTCATATATTCCTAAAACAAAAAAAAATTAAAAATGAAATTTTCTCCAAGCGGAGAGAGAGAGGAACAGAAGATAGGTTTAATGTCCATTCAACATTAACCGGAAAGGAGATGTTCCCGTCTTTCTTAAATAACTACAATATTTAGTTCCTAAACAATATACTTAAAACTGAACACTCTAAAAACACACCATAACTAAATAACTGTTTAAAAAAAAAGGTAGCCATAAAAACCACAAATTTTAGTTAATTATATACATTAGTATATATTTTAGTTAAAACTATATACACAGCAGTTAGCTAGATTCTAGACCAGAAATCCATGGGTTTGTTCTCTCATGACCCTAATGCTTCACACCAAATCTGTAAAAACTGTAACTTTAACAAGCCACTTATGGATGGACTGATGGACAGACATGGGTGACAGAAAAAGATGTAATATACACTTGCCACCTGATTAGATTCATACCTTGTTTAGTTGTTTGTGGTGCCCCTTCTATAAAATTCTCTCGTAATATGGCCATCATCAGTTGTAGATCTTTCTTTAAGACTTTAATCTGTAAAACATAAATTCAAAGTTAAATTGCCAACTTTTGAGTCTGTTTTATTCATTGAGGTGTTGCCCACTAGGATCTTGCTATAGTGAGAATTGATATAGTGTGTTTCAGTTTATGAGAGTTTTATTGGGTAGCCAAAATTATAAGCGTCTTTTAATAATGAGGATTTTGAATCGGACCACAACATAAGCTTCATAGTGAAGTAGTTGATTGTGGTAGACGAGTAATCAGCTGCATTCTTGACATGAAGATATGCAAAGGTGACTAGCCCAACACTGTGATGGAACTCGGGACCTCCTAGTTAGTTAGCTGCTGCCTTACTCATCGAGCCGCCATGGCTCATACCAACTAATAAACAAAGATGTCAACAAGTAAAACAAACCTTGACTTTATCAATATGTCCTGATATATCAATTCTAACGTCTGATACAACTGGTTTCATAGCAACCCGGACGTCTGCCTTTAAACTAACTGGTTCTATAACTGTATGTAAAACATTACAAACATCGTCTGCTAAACATAGCTGTACTCTATAAAAACAAATTTATTAAAGATGCAGGTCTTTATTTTGGCTTCAAATGTTCTATAAATTATTATTTAGACATTTATTCACATGACAAGCCCATGAGATTTAAAAATCTAACTATAAAATGGATAATCAAGACTTAAAGACTCGATTGTCTGGTACTGTTGCTACGATAATGAACAATCTATGCTAGATCTTGTCAAACCTTCCACCATTCAGAAATTTGCTTAGAATAAAGTAATTTGAATGAAATTTTCAATGTATTCATTTTTCCATTATCTATTTTTGAACTATTATAGTAAGAACAACCATCTCTTTATCTAAATATTACATAATACATCTTTAATTGTCAAAAGTATAAATTATTGAACCAGCTCAATCTGGAACCTGGTGATCATTGGAGAGGGAGAGAGAAATGAGGTTTAACGTCCACTCAACACAAACTAGGTCATTTCGGGACTAACATATGGTTTAATTTTATTTCAATAATTTGCTTGCGCGTAGGGGTCTTTAGCAGTGGGAGGAAACCGGAGGACCCGGAGAAAACCCATGAGGTTGGACAGGCGACCCTACTCCTTGTCACGTACAACTGGGGATTCGAAACCACGTCAGTTGACTCATTGACAGGCCTTATGATTCAGCGCGAGCGTGCTAACCATTCGGCCACCCAACCCCCCGGTAAGGAGTTGGAGCAACAGTTAGAGAGTAGAATCTACAATCAAACAGCTGCTTTTTGAAAACTCAAATTGAGTATTGAGGCCTTGTGTTCTTGAATAAGACACATCATTTCTATGTTCCAGTCTGCCCAGCAGTAAATGGATACAGGTAGAACTGTATTCTTTGTATGGTATGTATAATTTGTGGATCTTTCTAAGATTAAAAGAACTCAGGGGTAAAAGGGAGGTAATCAGACTTTACCCATAGCCTCTGGACCAGGATAATAACCATGTCTCAATTACAAAACGTATACAGTTTTATTAAATTGTTCATGTACTGTTCCGTCAACAGTTTTACCTTTCTGCTTGCATGGAACTAAGATTTAAATAGATGTGATTCCATTCTTGTTTAATATCAGGTGTAACCACGGTAAAATCATAATAATTCTTGATACTTAAATCACCCAGATTTAATAAAAACATCTCTGTAGATTTAGCATGCTGTGGTAACAGAATGGTTGGAGCTTTTAAATCAACTCGTAAAGTTATCCGTAAATTCTGTTCTTCTATTTCTCCAACCTGTCAAAACAAAAAATACAGAAATAAGGGGAAGTAATCACTGTTCTAAGTCCTTACAAACTTTTTCTACTCTATCATGCATGGAAATACTTCACCTGTCACACACATAGTAAGGCACCATCCCTCTCTTGCCTGTCATTTTTTCTGGCACTGACGTGTCATTTTTCTGTGTTTTTATTTATATTACATGTCCTGCAAAATATGTCTGGTACTAGTTTGGCAGTATACCTGACATTTTCTCCGGTACAAATAAAACCTTTATTTCCGGTTCCATACTACAAAGGCAAGTCATGTTTTCTTGATCATATCTTTTATTTGTAATATTATTACTATTTCAGGGATCTATGTTTCATTAGAAAATGCCCACTTACAATTCGACAGTCTCATATACTCTAGCGTTGAATAGACAGTAAATCCTGTCTATTAGTAAATATATTATCATTCTGTCCAATTTTCATGTTTCTACTATCAATACAATTTCAACAGCAGCAATTATAGTTCTCAACATACACTATGGTCGAACATACCTGTTTTGAGAGTGGTAGCTAGTGAATCTAATGACCTAAAAAAGCTTAATAGTGGGTAGACATCAATGGTTATCAATCTATATCATGCTAAAACCCATGTGCTGTTTTAATTTTTAATTAAAGATAATATAATCACTATACCTGTCTGGCAACAGTTTCTACTGCTGCTGTTCTAGCTGCCTCTGTCATTTCACGATTTATGAATGGCTCAAAAAATCGCTGAAAACAAAATAATAACAGAGTTTATCAGTTCAGTCAAATACATGTAGAGGGTGTGAAAAATAAACAGAAAAACAATATTTGAATTTGTATATAAATCTTTGAAATATATTGGGATACTTGACTGAAGGTTCTGGAATTATATTCTCTCAATCCCTCGAAAGGTGGCAATCAAGTAAACACCAGGAATTCTGGCAATAAGGCATGGGCAAACTGAATATGATACAATCTCGACAAATAACCAAAGCTGAAATATTTGATTGTCCCAATGCAGCTCACACCACATTTGTTTTTTGGACTGGCAGAACTATGACAGGGCTCAATTCTGTTTCATTTAAATGCAATTCAGTCAATTCGGAACATTTTGGACTGGTAATTGTGTACCCCCCCCCCCCCTATATAAATAACACTAATAAGGTCACATATTGGGTGAGTGACCTTCCACAACAGTCCTATAGATACAGATCTGACTGCAATTCCACCTCTGACAATTTGACATTACTTTTGTTATTTATTTTTAGCAATGTCTGTGTGTTGTCCACAGGTTTTTACTTCAGGGTTTCTATTTGTTTATGTGTGGTGTAGTTCTCCTGCTCATACTGCGTCAGGGGTCACATCCAACATAGCAATCAAGTCTACATGGCATTCCAGTCTCAGGTTTGAGATGGGTAAGCATGTCTGTTGTTCCCCCAGAGGTTACCACCTCTGCTGTACACAGACAGCATGTGGCTTTATCATTTTCTTTTGATAAAACATGAAGCCAAACCGTTGACTTATTTTTGCCAGACATCGTAGCACACGATAACAGTATAGCACGCACGGCTGAACCCAGATCAAGGTTGCGTAGCTATAGTTAACCAGTTATCAAGAAGCTGACTTCAAATCACATGGTGAAGAAAATAAACTGTGAAACCAATATCATTTTTTTTGTAGTTATTACAAGAAATAATTAATTTGCGTTGTGATAAATTAATAGTTTTCTTGGATTAATTAAGTAAAACTACGAAGTACAGTAAGTGATTACTGAACAGTTACATGTAACAGAAGTAGAAGCACTCCCAATTTGGCCAGTTTGTTTACATCACGTCACAATACTTACAGCTAATTCCCAGTAGAATTTACCCAGTAAAACTGTCTGGAAATGTCCAACACGAACACGTATACTGTAATCTATTCCTTCATTTTTATGTTTATTATCTGACCTCAGTTCTTCAGATTTATTGTACATTATTAACTGAAATTAAACCACAATTTTATTGTGTAATTTGGCTTGAACAGCAGCATTTCCATCTACTCTACTTCACATTTCAACAGCAAAAGGTTCTTTTATACCAGTGCCCCACAGTTCTTTTTACCACACTTGCCATCCAGACACCACCACATGGATTTGGATGGGTCTTCTTAGGGTTTTAACGTCCTACTTTCTGCTCCAACTGGGCTAATTAAGTCTGCCATATGCCATGCAGTGTTCTTTGAAGGAAATATTACCCAGCCAGCGACACTACGTCAACCATCAGGGGATCTTTACCATGCTGAAATGGTAGACACATGATCTCCCCTTCCCTTGCTAGGATCGCCATCCTTGAAACTCCCAATGATTTTTTTGGCCTAATACCAAGATCAAACCATGGATCTATGATATAAATATAAAATAAGTTCACCTTTAAATCAAATACACTATTATCATCTTCTAACATTAAAATCTGAAACAAATATAGAAATAAGAATAAGAAATTTATTATATTGAAAATAAGAATATGCTGGGTTTCTTTCAGCACTATTGAAAAAGAATGATTTAAAAAATAATTGGAACTTTTGTTATCGTACCGAGATGGACGCATTTTTTAGAGCAGATTGGTAGTGATCTTAGCCAATCTGGTTAAAACACAAATCCTATTTCGTTTCTTTTTTATAGTTCAAAATTTCGTTTTACTTGTCTTTACTACACTAGGGTCTGGAAGAGTTGTTATTTAACTCGTGTTCTGAATGGTGTCAGGGATAAGCCAATGAAACGGTCTGTTACGGCGAGCTTTAGGCGTGTTAGTTCAAATTTTTGTTTTACTTGTCTTTACTACACTAGGATCTGGAAGAGTTGTTATTTAACTGGTGTTCTGAATGGTGTCAGGGATAAGCCAATGAAACGGTCTGTTACGGCGAGCTTTAGGCGTGTTTTGCACGGAACTGTGGGTATTCCACTAGTAACATCAATGCTGATTGGTTAATCAAATGTCTGATGTCATAGGGTCATAAGTCGGTCTTTTGACTCCTGAAGTGACCTATGGCTATAACTTTTCAGATCTTCATGTAGTGTGGGCCATCGAAAGTATAAAAAAACGAAACAAAATATAGATCTGTATTTTAATCAGATTGTGATCTTAGCTATTCTTGTGTGTGATGTGCAGTTAACACAACAAAAAAATACATGACAGACAACAGTGGGAATTCTGTAAAACAAAAAGCTATATACATTCATTACCTTAGGAAATATAGCACCAACAGAAGTATCTAATATAGACATATCTTTTAAACGGCACCGTAAAGTTGTTCTTGTGGTCTTTGATACCACATGCCCCTGAAAGTCTTCAACATATAATAATTGTATTATAGCAGGACATTAAACTCATTTCATTTTACATATTTTTCACGCCTCCCATATTAAGCATTTTATATAACAAATCATATTTTTTCAGAATTTTACACAAGAGTGTAATAATGAAGAATCTCATTAACTTAATTTAATCATTTCAAAAATATTTTTATATAGAATTTACTGCCACAAAAACAAGAAAATATTTTAACTGGTTTACCTGATATATTGAGTTCTGCAAAGCTACTTTCACAATCAGAGAATTTAATACACAGACTATTTAGCTGGGCAACAAAATTAACTTTGATGCCTTTAGATGGGAGATTATCAACTGTAAAATAAAGATAAATACACTGTTTTTAAATAAGTCATCAGTATTGTTTTTAAATAAGTGATATCATTTCTATTGTTTTTAAATAAGTCATCAGATATATTGTTTTTAAGTAAGTGACATCAGTTATATTGTTTTTAAACATCAGTTATATTGTTTTCAAACATCATTTATATTGTTTTTAAACATTAAAACATCACTTATATTGTTTTTAAACATCAGTTATATTATTTCAAAAAAGTGACATCAGTTATATTGTTTTTAAATAAGTGACATAAGTTTTAAATATTGTTTTTATATTAGTGAATAAAGTTTGTAATTTCTACATAAAACCCTTTTTGAAACTTTTACTCAAGCACTGTATAGATTCAACAAGCATATTGTCCGGGTGATGATGACTTTCTTTTACAATAATATTTTATTCACAGAAAAATGATTGTGGAACAGGCTAGGCCTATATTACCTCTATCCTGGTGAACATTTTATCCAGAGTTGAAAACATGTGACATCATCCTTTGATGTTGACATGACTATTTCAAACAATCATACAGGTACTTGGAATCGTACATTATTTATAGCAAATGATGGTCAAATAATGATTTCATAGAAATTCATTCATGTGCATAACAGTGTAAACTTGTTTAAAGGTCTTGATAAATATATTGTGTAATCTTTTGATACAACACTCAGCCTACCACCCCCTGTGCATATCAATATTATACTTGCCATTCTTTTAGTAGTAGCATTAACTTTGACTGGTCTATAATTGAGTTTTGAAAACTGATAGAATCAGGAAATGGGATTTAATAAATCCAATAATATATCAATGTTGAATCAATACTAATGAATTTGGGATATGATGAAAGAAAATTTGGAAAATTCTATCTCAAAATTAGCAAACACCCTATCTCAAGAAATTTTGTAAAATCCGGTTATCAAAATTTGGAACATCTATCTCAAAATTGGAAAAATCTATCTCAAGGAATTTGGGAAACTCTATTTCAAAATCCAAAAAACTTGGAAAACCCTGCTATCTCAAGATATTTGGTAAAAACTATCTTATGGAATTTGCACGCCCCTATCTTAGAAAACAGAGTATATATTGCAAACCTTCATCTCCTGTTATGGAAGATAATCTCTGAGTAAAGGAAGCACGATCTTTATTAGCGAAGTCTGAGGTCACAGTACTAGTACTTGTCTTCATGTCCATATTATGTACACTGAAAATTAATATATCATCTTGTCACTATTTATAATGCTTAATTCTAAATAATCACACTAAATCAGTCAATATTTATAATGCTCAATTCTAAATAATCACACTAAATCAGTCAATATTTATAATGCTCAATTCTAAATAATCACACTAAATCAGTCAATATTTATAATGCTCAATTCTAAATAATCACACTAAATCAGTCAATATTTATAATGCTCAATTCTAAATGTTCACACTAAATCAGCCAAGATTCATAATGCTCAATTCCATAGATCATAAAAAGTCCTAATACTCCATTCTAGATGATCATTATGGCATTTATCCTGATTTATAATGCTGGCATGACATATAACTTGGTTCATAATTTTCCATTCTAGATGATCAGATGAAATCAATTAAGATTCATAATGCTCCATTCTAAATGATTAGATCAATCATGCTTTATTACAGATGATCACATGACATCAATCATGATTCATAATGTTTGATTAGTGATGATCACATGACGTCAATCATGATCCATAATGCTCCATTCTAGATGATCACATTAATTTATCATTTGGTAAATGAGTGAGAATATATTGAACATACCCAGATATAAGTCCTTTTATAAAGATGTTTAGATAAATCATACTAGCTTGATCAAAGAGGGCTGACATGGCCTTAAACTTTACTAATATAGAATGTTCTACACTACCATATAAACTATCAAAATCAGGACAAGTTGGTTTTACCTGAAAAATATTTACATGCACAAAGTAGTAACATAGAACAATAATCATGTCTGACATCAGAATTACCAATAAAGCTCTGATTAAATTTACCATTCTATAAGTTAAAGCTCTGAGATATGAGTAACTTAGCATTGCAAATGTTAAAGCTCTGATATTTGAGTAAGTTAAAGCTATGATCACTGAGTAAATTCACCATTCTATTAGTCAAAGCTACTACATCTGAGTAAAAGTTTCATTCTTTAAGTTAAAGCTATGAGATCTGAGTAAAGTTACCATTCTATAAGTTAAAGATACAAGATTTGAGTAAACTTACCATTCTGTAAGTTAAATCTACAAGATCTGAATTGGACTGAGTGTTTAATACTTCCATATATTCCCCGGATGATCCTATAAATATCAATAAAACAACTCAGAATTAACTGTCAGCAAAAATAAATAAAATCATAGCCCATCTTGGTTGGGTTTTGTTTTTCCAATATCTCTCAGAATTATGCGCATTGACTCCACATAATAAATCAAATGTTTCAAGTGATAAATATTAGACAAAAGCATTGGCGAAGGAGTAAATATTTTATTACTAACCAACATGGACCTTATCCACCATTTGTATACCACCAAGTGTAGCATGGACAGCGTAACCACACTCTGTTAACGCTGTATCCACCCGCATTCTGTCCAATCGAAACATTAGATATGGGGTGTCCGTGGTATCAAGCACCCTAGAGAGATTGATAACAAATTCTCCAAGTGTCATTCTTATCAACACTTTAATAGGATTATGTTGTGAACTGTTATCATCTACAGGTTTGATCTTTATAGTACTGAAAACAGAAAAAACGGATAAATCAAAAATATTGTCAACAATTGTTTACAAAAAATAAAATAAGATGAAAACTGAAAACAGACAAATGAGATTAATCAAATGTCTTATAATGAGATGAAATGAACAGAATAGGGTTTAATACAGAGCTGTGATTTGAGCTATTATTGCTATTCAATATCCAGTGTTGCATCTTGGCATTACAATAATCAACTTTGATTATCTCCGTTTATAATAGTATTTATTAAACATACATTATGCAGGTCTAAATCTGCCTATTGCAGGTCTTTCTTTAGGCCTGAAATGTTTTCTAAATTATTAATTAGACATAAATTAACTTATCCAGGCCATAATCAACTCTCGATGGCATCAGATTTTTCCGATATTAAATAGATTAGAACAGTTCAGCCATATTTTGATTTAAGCTAAAAATGGAGGAGCGAGACTTAGCTTCGAACAACCAGTACGGTGGTTGAAATTATTGCACACGTCTTGTCAATCCTCCAAAGGCTAATATCTTCGCTCGCAATAGAGTAATTTGAATGGAATTATCAAATTATTCATTTTACAAATTATCTATTTTCGAACTATTATAGCAAGAATGGCTAGCTCTTTATCTAAATCCATACTTACTCTGCCCATTCCTCAATTTCTTCATCAGAATTATCTGAAGCTGAATAAAAATTCTCATCCTCTGAAAAAGACAACAGGATTATATTACAGGTATCAAGCTTGAACTTCATTTAATAGTCACACGATTAAATATTTTTTTTTAAAACTCCACTGAATATCCAGAATACTACGGCTACACAGGGACAACTAATTACATGGTTATATGTTATCTTTTCAGATGAGCTTGTCACTGCCTATTTGCACTTTTATCTTTTCAGACAAACTTGTCACTATCTATTTGCACTTGTATCTTTTCACACAAGCTTGTCACTGTCTATTTGCACTTTTATCTTTACAGACAAACTTGTCACTGCCTATTTGCACTTTAATCTTTTCACACAAACTTGTCACTATTTGCACTGTCTGTGTGTTTTGTTGTGCAGTTGTCGTGCAATGATTGACAGGGTCTGAAAACAATTGTCTCTAGAAAAGCAGACGTCAAAGGCAAGTGGTTTCGAAGGACACAGACTGCCATTAAAGGTTATATTTCACTTAGGTCAATAAAATATACCTGATGATATTCTAAGTACAGGAATATCTTGAGATTGACGACCTGTAACCTTGGAATTTCTTCTCTTGATTGGTTCCATGACAATACGACCCAACACAGACCTTCTGATACGGCGTAAATATGAAACATCTGGTTCCATTTGTGCATTAGACAGATCCTACAGATAAATGTATAGGTTGTAATAATCTATTTGAATAACATGATACAGTAATAGGATTTTCTCAAGATATAAAGCATTAGAAGTAAAAAGGAGGTGGAGAGATAGCATCGGATTGCTTTATTGTGCATCTGGAAATGAAATGAAATGAGGTTTAACATCCCACTTTTCTGCACCAACCTAGCAGACAGGGTTCTAAGCCAGTAAATATGGCAGGCTAGAGATTCCATCAAGAGTTGATTATGGTCTGGCTAAGTTAATTCATGTCTAATTAATAATTTATGTAACATTTCAGGCCTAAAGAAAGACCTGCAATTGTCAAATTTAGCTCTTGCATAATGTATGTTTAACCAATCTTTTACCTATTGTAGAATGGTCTACAACCTGTAAAACACACAATTATTTAATTCAATAATAATATTACGTTACCACAGAAACAACAGACGGAACCATATTCATCATTCCATCAACAAGATCATCCCCTAGTGTAGCCATACTTGTACTGGTTGGCATAGGAAAATTACGGAAAAATGACATCAGCAGTAGTAATCTTTTGTCAGAGATATTGACTTTTAGAGTAGGTATACTTGCTATCATCTTCTGTCTGTAATGGAAAAATAAAACTAAATTAGAGGATCATATTCGGACTAACTAGATATTTGGACTAGCTAGACCATAATTGGACTAACTCGATCATATCATAGCTAGTCATGTGACTTAAATATATTTCAGTTAGCAGATGACCTGTACAAATTATAATAAATTCATTATTTAGCAGTGGAAGAGATAAGCAATTTTGCATAATTTTCTTTGACTTCCATCTGTCAAGTTTTCTTTTATGTGCATGATGTGTACACAGGAGGGCCTCAGGTTTTATTGTAAGATCGACTAGCTACTCCACCCATTAACCTCATGCACATAAAAGAAAACTTGACAGATGGAAGTCAAAGAAAATTATGCAAAATTGCTTATCCTAAACCCCATTACATTCAACCTCAGTCCTCCTGCAGATACTATAATATACAGTTTAAAATTATTCTATGGTCAACTTACTTGCGGGGAGACAGAGAGAGAGAGAGAGAGAGAGAGGTTTTAACATCCACTTGACACATACTAGGTCATTTCAGGACTAACATATGATTCAACCTTATTTCAATAATTCGCTTGTGCATAGGGGTCTTTAGCAGTGGGAGGAAATTGGAGGCCCATACCCCTATCATGTACAAGCAAGGAATCCAAAGCATGCCACTTTACTTAATGACAGACGTTATGATGCAACCTGCACGCATTAACCATTCGACCACCCAACCCAACTTACTTGGGTAGTTGTGTGTAATCTTGTTTAACAGCATTAAAGAAAGCGACTGTGAGTCGTATACTGGGTAAAATATGATACTCTGAATCAGCCTGGGTCTGTGCAGTATGCCAATCATCTCCTGGAAAAATAAAAACAAACTGTTATCATAATTAAAGTGTAAAAGTCCTACTTTGAAGAATTTTATCCAGACGTTCCAATTGTCAACGTTTCTTTAATAAGCATTCCGATGAGTACACTGGTACAAATAACTAGGTACTCTTTCCTTGTGGATCTTGCCAGGCCCATCCTTGACAAGTGAAAACTTGACTTGGAAAATTCCCCAGAACGAATTAGAACATTGGATTGAAATTCTCAACATTAGTGTGTTCACTGTTCTAAAGTTTCTCTATTCAATCATCTGTAACAAAATTATTATTATTATTATTATTATTTTTCCACGACTAAGTGTCAGGCACAAATAAAACAAATGGACTAAAATACAAATAAGACATGCATAAGGAAGAGTAGTTACTAATCTAAGTCAATAGAAGAGAAAGCATGTACTGTATTGTATATTACAATCACCATTCATATAATTATTAAAAAAATCAGAAACAAAATACAAAAGTATCTAATTTAATTTAACTGACCTGAGTCAGCCAGTAGTACTTTAACATCTGTAACATTCACGTTAAACTGATCATATAATCTGGATTCTATCTCAGACATCGTAGCATCCTGGTTAAAATATAACATAAACATTGTAATTATTATCATTTAATTCTTATCTTCTATCTATCCATAAATATTTTCCACAATAGTGCATCATACTAGTCCTCATTGTGTCTCATAAAATGTTTAATTTCTGAATTCCAAATGCAAAGTGTTCCTTTATGTGCACTCCAATGAGTAAACAGGATCTCAGTTTTCCAATCATCAAAATGACTAGATGATGTTTCTTGCTAGATTCTCTGACAAGGGAAAACAAGACAACAATTTTCTCATCCAACACTGGGATCAAATCGGTGATCTCAAAATAAAGTAGGTCATTTCGGGACAAACTTATGGTTCAATTTTATTTCAATAATTTGATTGTGTGTAGAGGTCTTTAGCAGTGGAAGGAAACCAGAGGATCCAGAGAAAACCCACGAAGTTGGACAGACAACCCTATACTCCTTGTCACATACAACTGGGGAATCAAAACTACACCAGTTGATTCAATGACAGACCTTATGATACAACACGCACACACTAACCAATCGGCCATACACCCCCTCCAACTTTAATGAGCTGTCAATGGTATGTATACACACACATGTATAATATTGGACCTTTGTTTTTTGTACCATTCAAATGACATTACAGTTATTCTTCACTGCTATATTATACATTACCTCTAATGAAACATCTTTAGGTTGGAGTTCACTTTCTATTTGTAATTTACCAAAATCAGCAATTAACACATTACCTCCCCTGAAATAAATATAATAACAACACTGACTAATATTAATCAACCAAAGCATGTACAAAAGTTTATCTGAATCTTATCAAACCATTCCTATGCCTAAAACAGCAATTTTAGCTAGCTACAACAGATGAAGTTACTCTGTGAACTCTTGCTCAACAGTAAAAGAACTAATACAAACCTATGAAGTGTACCAAATTCAGGAACTACAATATACGGTGATCTCATATTAACCACTAAATGGACAGTCTGAAAATTAACATAAATATAATTAATATCCACTTAACACAAAATAATCAGTTACAGATTAAGTGTATCCTTATTTTACTCAAGTACTGATATGAATGTTGGTGGTTATTGTTTGCTATTTGCTTTGTATTGTGGATTTGCTAACCAAGTCATGGTCACCAAGGCATCTGTTTGAAACATAACATTACTCTCAGATGTCTAGCTGACCTGGACTATGCCAACCAGTGAAGTATGTATAGCAGTAAAATGAAATTGGAAAACACCTACAATCATGCAGCTGAACTTTCAGCTTGGACTGATGATAGACCAACATGCACAATACTATATACACACCAATTGGACATGAAATTAATTACTATTATTAATTAATCAGATAATAAACATGTCACAGTGGAGGAAATCCAGCAAAAACCTACAAGGTTTAGATAGGCCACACTAGTATTTCTATCCACAAACAAACATATTGAACTCACATCTGCATTGATGACTTACCAGCATGCAGGATTCATAACAGATCCTTTTGACTAGTTTTCTATCTAAGCTGTGTGCCTGTCTGTGCTCACACACATTTTGTAATAAGCATAGTTTATTTAAAATAATCTCTTAGCTAATCAAGGATTTCACAGTACCGGTCTCTTAAGATTGCTTTCAACTAATTGGACCCACGATTTAAAAGAATGATTATTAATTAGTTAACATATATAAATTTCTAACATTTTAAGAACAAACCCCAAGACATTACCTTGTGTTGCTCTATAGCATACTGGAGGCCAAGTCGACTGTACTGCCCTAAATTCTGTAGAGTTTCCATGGCAGCAGACTTCATATCTATCACACCATGTGGAACTTGAAAAAATGCTGCAACTTCCGATATGGAATGCTGTAAAAACAGTTATACATGGTGAAAAAGAAACAATCTAGTCATGTTCTAAAATTGGTTTAAACAATATTTCTTGATTCAAGATAATCATAAAAGATTAACAGATAGGACAACGAGCAAAGGCTTATGAATCCTAAACTACAATACTACAGTGAAGTGGAAGATGGTCATAGTGTGGCTTCATACTGCTTTTTAGACAACAAATTATTCTGGGAACTTACATGTTGTTTCTTTTCATGACAGAATGCATTATTTTATTATTCCTTCTGTGGCATAGTACTGTTAGTATGACTACTACTATATTATGTAACATCGTCAAATAGTCAAAGTGAAAGTGATAATTCAGAAGATCTGCAGTGCATATGTCTCTACTAGTCGCCTGCTACGACAAAGACTCTTTTTCAAGGTATTATACACAGGACTGTGTTACCTTGATTCCAGGAATGTCAAACTAGCATTTGCTTCTAATTAACAGACTTGTATTTTTTTTTTAACTTCAAATAAATTAGAAAAGATTATAAGACCTTAATGATTATCACTAAAAACAACTTGGGAATTTTAACACTGAAAAAATCCTACATATAATTTAAGAACTAAAATATTGTACCTCATCATAGACTATCTCTACAGGTTGAACATTTAAATTGAGAGAATAATCAGCATCTATATAGACAGGCCGTGTTTGAAAATCTAATGTAAAAACTTGATTTACTGCTGGTGCTACAAGAAAAATGACGAAGTTGTATCAATTTATGGTCATTCATCAAAATCAAAAAAAATTTCCACTAAAGGTTAAACCAGTTTGGGTGTTTTAAACAATGATGGTCCTCATTACCAATTTCAATCTAATACTGGGATCTTAGTCACAAAAACTAAAGGAGCTAAATCTCTTTCATGCAAAAGACTGGAATGGTTGGTTTTTGTAAATTAATAACAATATATTGCTACTTTAAGATTTCAGCTAGATCTATTTATTTAAAAAATATTTCTAGAATGTATTACTTGTGAAAAACCTGAACTCACCATAAACACCTATATCTGACGTTAATATAGGGATCAGTTCATGTTCAATAGATGCTCCCTCTATAGAAAAGCTCTCTGTGTTAGTTGATATTCTGTCAAAGAAAAAATATGATACTGCATATATATATATATAGAGCACACAGATTTCAACAAAATATGTTCCAAGATTTCATATTTTTAATTCACAAGTTCTAAAATAGAGGAAGCTAATCTACACATAAAAATATTGTATAACAACTTAAAATTCATCAATAATTATTCTTAAAATACAGATATGACGTCATCCTTTGATGTTGGCGTACCATTACTTCAAATGATGGCAAGGGCAATGTGCCAATCGTACAGTATTTATACTATTTGAAATTTTGGACCCATGTCCCAAGTTGTTGTTTCAAAATATTACTTAATGTCTTGCTCTCGACCATTAAACCACACTTAATTATACGCTAGTCGATTACCCAGAGTAGCATGGGTAGAACCCTGAACAGGAAGTAGTATAGAATGAATACCGGTAAGACATCAAAATGAAGGATTTTCTCGAAATCCAGCAAAGTGAATCTTTGTTATGTTAACATAAGGTACGAGGGATGCCGGTAAGGAAGAAATTTTCTTGGCAACCCCTAAAACAGTCATTTACAGCTGACATGACGTCATCATTACAAGGAAAATGACGACCGGCTAGTGCCTTTTTCATTTTTGGAAACAAGCCTCATCCATGGTTACAAATCTGGCCAAAAAATTATCCGGAACTGATTCAAAACAGTGCAGATTGTCATGGGTTATCAGGAACCTGACACCTTTCTGATCTGTAATCAAGAGCTTTGGCACCCATCTTGCAGCAACTTTTGTCATTCCTAACTCGTTGGCGATAATGTGCTCAACCCTCTCATGAGAGATGCCCACAACACTGGCAATATGTCGAGTGGTCAATCCTCAATCAGCCATCACCATGTCATGCACCCAGGTAATGGCTGCTGTTGATGGCCTTCCAGGACTTGGGTCATCGTCAAGGTTCTCTCTGCCATACCTAAACTCTGCAGCCCACTTCTTTACTGTGGAAAAGGAAGGGGCATCATCCCCTAAATTGGAGACCATGTCGGCATGTATCTGTGTCCTTTCAGTTGCAGGTATGAAGACAATAAATAACTCTACAGGTTGCAGTTCTTATGTCTATGATTCATTCAATGATTGTACTTGTTGGTGGCAAAAGTTTGTTTCAACCCAATTGATCTATTCTTCTCAGGCTTAGAACTTGTCAGCCAGCCCTCATATTTATTCATATGTTTCAGTCCTTAGTGGACCTTCATGAGGTATATAGGGGTGATGATTTTCCGTGATCGCGGAAAAAACGCGGAAATCGCGGAATTGTCCACTCAAAACGGAATTTGAAATCTCACACGGAAAAAGACGGAAAAGCCGATATTTGCTGATACTAAACACAAACTCAAAATAATTTTGCAGTTATCCAAGTATTTCATCTTTTTATTCATAAAAATCGGAAATATTGAATGATATCGCGTGGTTTTGTTACTGTCTATTTTAGTATTTCACTACTTTCATTTCATCATTTAGGAATCATAATTTTAATCGAAACGAAAACCCGTCTTTCATGTATCCCATTATAAAATTACTCTGTAGTTTAACTTGAATTAAACATTGTAATGTATATACATGTCTTAAAAAAACCTTCTGTCACTTCATAAAAGTAAAAATCGTTTCATTTACTTCTTATTTTACTGCCGGGCTCGTGACTCGTGTTTATTCGCATTAACCACGTGACATCAGAAATATACCGTAGCCTTGTGAATCCAGCCCTTATTCTCGAAGAAACTACGAAGATGTCTGGATAAATCGCGACTACACCTAGCAGCTGAGAAAAATGGCTTCGTCTGCTAAAAAGATGAAACGAGCTCACAAGATGTAATTTTCTGTTATTTAATTCGGGAAACAGGTTTAAAGAATAACTAGTCATTGAACATTACAAGTCATTCACAATTCAACATTTGTTGTCATTGGTTTAAAATGATCCGTTTTGTAATAAAAGGCATTTTAAGATGTTTTATTTATTTATTCATAAAATAACATTTTATCTCGAAAAAACGGAATATGGTCAGCTCTGAAACGGAAAATAACGGAATTAAAAATACTTAAAACGGAATTTGCTATTTTCTGAAACGGAAAATCATCACCCCTAGGTATATAAATGATTAAACAATTGCCTTATATAGACATTTTTGTTCCACACAGCAAGCTCAAAATATTACCTTGTGAAAGAGAATAAAATGATTTTTACCTGATAGCCTCCGCACCCGGCCTGTTTTCTAGAGATGTTAATAAATTAGTGACCGACATCTGTAGAATCTTTTTACTATAATTTACTAATGACACACAGCAGCTTTTTAATACTATCTGTACTTTATGGGCCACATACTGAAATCAAACAGAATGTAAATTTCTTGGCAATACCCTATTTCTGTCAGATATTTCGCATACATAGGATATAGGTAGAAGTTACCGGTATAAGTTGGCAATGTACTTAAGAGATTTACCCAGACCTAGATTTAATCTGTTACTGTTTGAGATCTAGAAAATGGCAGGAATCATTATAGTTCCTGACATTTATAACTTTGTAAATGACATTCGGTAAATCTATAAATAAATGACATTCAGTAACAGTAAATAAAAACACGAGGCGAGGCATAATCTGTTCATAAACTGGAGGAATTGAACCATGACAAAATGTGGAGTGACTGAATTAAAAATTAATCTATAATAGTAATTTATTGCTGAACACATCAAATACATTACAAGTACCCTGCCCTATACTTTGGCTTCCACCATTAATCAAGAGGAAGAATGCAACAGACACCCACCTCAGATGCATTTATAGTTGATATCTATTCACGAGAAAGAAAGTTACATTGTTTCACAGGACCAAGCATCATTAAATATGGACAGAGGGCACCAATGTTAGATTCTAGGTGAGAACCATAATATTGGAAGCATATTCCAAGTTCGATCCAAATCCATTCACTCAAAGTGAATGACAGGATACAGGATACACGGAAGGGAAGAAAGACAAAATGAAGTAAACAAACCTCTTTTGGTGCAGACAAAACATTAGCGTTTACATCGTAACCGATTCCATTATATAATTTAGCTTTTTCTTCTTCTGTTAACTGGGCCAGCCAGTCTGTTAATATAAATATATATTGTATCAAAATCAACATATATTACATGTATCTATTACTATCTAAAAACAGCATAGCATGTTACATATCGAGCAAAATATATCCACTTTATTACATCAAATATATGTTTTATCCCACATTAATTACCCGGTACGACTACCGTATATCAAGTTGCCAGCCTCTTGTACACATCAAGGCACAGGTTGAAGAATTTTGTCCAGGCTTGAAATCAATAAAAATAGACATGACCCAGAAGCTTGCACCAACACTACTGAGAAGACAAGACAATTCTAGGTTTGGGAAATTTTTTTTAAAAAGAAGCTGTAATAGTAATCAACTGTTTCAATTGCAATTTGGAATCGAATTGGAAACTGATAGATGTGCAGTTAAAACTCAGGAAATTTGTTTTAAAAATAGAAGGTAAATATCAAATATGTAACAATTAGCCATTCTTAAACTAAGCATTCATTTTACATGTATATAATTTAACAATCAGTCATTCTTGAACTAAGCATTGTTTTTACTTGTACATTATGCTAAATCATACCTTATATACACTGTATTATCAATGCTTGATACAAACTAATGAAGTTTGGTTGAAACATTGACAGTACAGTAATAAACAGTAATTGCATCCTGTGTACTGTGATTGTTACCTCGATCCCTTATTGCATGTACACTGGTTCTGGACAAGCTATCCATGAGGATGCTTCACTAAACGTTTCAGTATTGATCTCGTAATCCCTTGAAAAGTGCCAATCAAGTGAGCACAAGAAGTTACAATCACAAGGTATAAAATATTACAATCACTCAGCTGAAATGTTTGATAATGTCACGATTCATCTCACACGAAATCTCCGTTTTCAGGATATCAGTGCTGTGACAATACTCAATTCTGTGTCACTTGATTGCTATTTCATCAATTCAGAATGTTCAGGACTAAAAATCGAGTACCCACCAATGTGAATGCCTCCACAAACTCATGGATAACTCTCTATGAAGTATACAAACCTTTATCTTTATTATCTATTTCTACTTCTATTTCTTCTTCATCTCCACCAAACCATGAACTCCACCAACTCTTCTCCTTCTTCTTTTTACGAGCTCTCTCTGGTGCCTTGTATGTAAACTACATAAATATAAAATCAAACTATATAAAAACATAAAACAAGCAATGTAGTAAAACAGTTAGTACTGGTATCAGATTTAGCAGAGTAAATCAAATAGGGTTTAATGTCCTATTTTTATGTACCAATCGAACTAATGAAGACTGGGGTGTATAGGCATTGCAATGTGCTATGATGAGGGGATTTTTGCGAGGACAGCTGCGTTTCCTCCTAGCTTTGATCAAGTTCCAGCTGTCAAACGCTTTTTTTGGTGCATGTTTGGCTCTCTGTTCTGCAAAACTGACAAGGGGAAAACAGACTGGAAAATCGTGAGGAACTTTCTCTGCCATCACCAGGATCAAACCCAGACCTATATTCAAACAGACCTTATTTCTTACCTCTACTTTAGCTTGTTCTCGGGCAATCAGAATGTTTGTGACATCCAGTCCTTCTTCTAATTCCAACAGTTTACTCTTTATAGACTCATGGTCTGGTTGTTCTAGACTCTTCTTATACATATCTTTATATTTCTTATATTTGGCTCTAAAAACACAAAACCGATAAATTACTGGGATATTTATGAAACTTTGAAAATCTTTAAATGGCGCTCAATTTTCAGGACTTTATACATTGATTTATTTTGTGGTATAACAATATGTCTTTGTTGAAAATTTCTATAGACAAATCCAATGTTGAGATATAGCTGATTTTATGTTCCACTGACAACATGCGGGTAAGCTAAAAACAAAACTAAAATTAATAAAGAAGCCCACATGCTCTTAATGTTTTGAACAATAATGTAACAGTATAAAGCTTTAAGCTTTTTTCATCAACATCACTCATCGAAACAAATCATGGGATCTACCTGATTCAATAGTTTACTTTGATTTAAATTTAAATAAATATGTTTAGCTTCTTTAAGCTGCTTATTTGTAAATAAGCTTTCATCAAACTTTAACTCCATATATCAAGATAATGGAAGTGTCCATTTATCTGCCAGATCAGTATCAATGTGGTTTTTGCAACTGTTATAACATCACAAGCCTAATGTGTTTGAATCTCTCTCAAATGTTTACCTTACCCTAAGCACTAGGACTCCATGATCTGCCATTAACAAGTGCACCTTAAACCACTTCAAATCCCTGAAAAGCGTCACGTTAACTAGCATACAGTTCATTATGGAGAGCTATTCACATGACTCAGTCTGTCGGTTTGAGGCGGTCTTGTAGTTTTAGACATTTTTGGACTGTCTAGTATGGAATACATCACTCTTCTCTAATGTTCTTAAAACATACATTATGCAAGAGGTCTTTCTTTAGGTCTCAAATGTTATCTAAATTATTAATTAGTCAACAATTAACTTATCCAGACCATAATCAACTCTCAATGACATTGCTAGCCTGCGATATTTACTTGATTGGAATCCGATCTGCTGCTCATGCTCATTGATGATTAAATCAAAAAAATGGATAATCGAGACTATGTTTTTATCGTACCGACTTTAGTAATGATGATCGAGGCTAGGCCTAAGATTCAATTGCTAAATTCTCGGTTCAGAGTGGATCAATTTGACTGAAATTTTCTGCTAATTCCCTTTACATTATCTAGTTTTAACTATTATAGTGAGAAAGGTCAGCTCTTTATCAAATCTCCAATAACGCATCTTTAAGGAACCCCTGGGTAGTCAATTTTTACATCTAGTTCTAGTATATGACTGAAAAAGGGATAATCAGAGTTCTCTTTAGAATTTCAAATCCTAACATCTAAAATGTCTAACTCTTTCTGCAGCCCTTTTTATGGCCATTGTGATGGTTGATGGATAGGGTAGAGGTAAAATGACAAGGCCTTGTTCTTTGTAGACATTTCATAGTTTTTGAGAATTCTTCCACGGATCCTGTCCTGAAACACATCACTGATCCAGAGTTTAATTCTTACCTTTTCCAAAGACGTATCTTATAAATAAATAATAAGTCAAATAATTGTAGGCACGCACTTTATACAAATTTCCGATAAATATGTTATATTTAAGTCAAATATTTTACAAAAGAAATGGTGTGAGTAGAAAATATAAAATGGAACATACCTTAAGTTACACATATGCAACACATACATAACCTGTTACAGTATATATATATATCAGTAATAGTTGGCATAAAGAAATGGTAAATGCCTATGGTATGATAATTATACATTTATTTTCTTATATTTGGAAAACCACAGGGCGCACATGGACATCTTCTAAGGTGCACCAGTGTGCCCGGACACACTTTGAGAAACACTTTCTGAAAGAAAACATCGCTCACAAGAACTTGAAGAAACTAAATTAGTTTGGCCCAAGCAATAAAAAAAGATTAATGTACAAACCTATGTTCTTTAATCCTTTCCCAGGAAAACGGACGAATAACTTCTTCTAGAATAGATGTGTAGGCGTAACTCCACCACGACCTCGGATTAACTCTGAGAGGGACGTTAGGATGATATTTACGATATCGTTGATTAATGGACATCATTTGGAAGGAATCGCTTAAACTGAGCAGATTCAAAAACTAGAATAGAAAGAAAACCATAATTTGGTAAAATACTTGATTGGTCACAATAGAGGTCAAATTTAATCAGGTCAATAATTGACATGCACACACTGGAAGTGTTGGGAGGCTTAAAGTTAGGGGGAGGGGGAGAAGGAAGAATCCTTAAAGGACAAAGGACGTAACTAATGGATTAGGATGCGTCTTATTATGAGAATGTGTCACATATTTGAATATAGTAAACAATCCAAACAATGAAAAGTTGCCAACTAATTTGAATTAAGACAACAAATTACACAATCTAAGACATATTCTCTACGTTGCAAGTTTCACAATAAATTTTATTGTTGAATCTAACAGTAATAAATAGTTTCATTGTGTATTACTGTTTTTCTTGCATGCAAAATGCAAATATGCATGGAATTTATTATCGCAAATAATGATATTATGTCACGTACAAAAAGTCAATATCCAAAATAAGAATTATGTAGATGAAAGATGAAATGAAGTAAAATGAAATGGGGTTTAACGTCCTACTGTTCTGCTCCTAAACTGGGCTAATGAAGACGGGCATACGCCATACAGTGTGCAATGAGGGAAATTTTGCCCGGGCAGCGGCAATACGGCCTACTCTTATATCGAATTCCAACTACCAAGGGATCTTTTAAGCGCATGCCAATGTGTACACGGGACCTCGGTTTTTCGGCCCATCCGCACGACTATACAACTGTCCTTGTCAGGCTAGATGAAAGATAATTGCACCGTGGTTTGTATACATATATAATCTTACTTGTTGTCTTGATAGCAGAACTTCTAATTCTTCCAGCATAAAATCAACAAAAACTTTAGGTAAAGAAAAATTATTTTCTGTACTTAAAATTAATCGAGCTTGAGCTGTGACTGGTTCTATAACTATAAAATACCAAACAAAATGTTTAAATATTATAAAGAGTTGGATAATAGCAACACAACATTAGTTGAAGAAAGCAACATAGTTTAACATAAACTTCCCGTGTCATTTTAATGGTTAACAAATGATAAATCTTCATTTCATTATTTTGTTAGAGTTTAGGGCTTTCTTACAATGTGAAGGGGAAACAGTGAAGGCTACTTGCAAAAAGGTTTAAGCACACAGTAAAGAGCAATGATTAGGTTGCAGCAGGGAGACCGTTTCACCCAAGTAACAGGACCAGCCACAAGAGGTACGGGGCAGGCCCAATTGAAAATATTTTTGGTGGGTCCCCTTGTTCACAGCCAAGGTTGGTTTTAGTGACATGATTTAGTGAAATGAATCCTTTTTTTTTAACAAGGGAATTAACTCTGGCAGTAATTATTGGGAATCAAAAGGCTTCTTCGTCTCATGAACATAAATACTGTGTATAAAACTAAAGTCAATCAGATGGTAACTTTTAGCTTCTAGAGAGGCCACAAGATTTTTCAAAGTGATCATGGTCCATAACTGTGGCAATATTTATTGGAAATCGCTGAAAATAAATAGGATTCTTCATTATCAAGACCATACACTATGTGTCAACGTTTTATGTCAATAGAATAATAACTTTGGCCCCTAGACCGTCCACATGATTTTTCAATGTGATCAAGGGCCATTAGCCTAGCAGTAATTATCGAAGATTGCTGAAAATCAACAGGCTTTTTCGTCTCATGACCATAAACAATATATATAAGTTTTAAGTCAACCAGATATTGACTTTAGCCTCTAGAGCATCCACAAGCAATTGCAGATGCCGTATCAATAGTGGTGACAATATAATGATCACATTTCAACGTGAGCGTATAAAAAGCATACACATGTAATTGGCTTAACCCACCATGCAAGTCATCCTCTCACATGAACCCTGCTGCCAGGAAATACTTTATTTGGAATCATTAACCCCCAAACTCTAGCTGTCTTAATAAAATAAAGAGAATCTTAAAAAAATGAACTTACTAAAATCAAAATCCTCTTCAAATATACTGTGTGAATCTATAGAAATTCGTAACAAATTCTGAAGTAATAAAACAAATTAAATTACACATTGAGCTCTACCTTAAAAATAAAAAAGTTCTGTTTTAAAATCCAAACATAATAATTACACTATATTATATTCTACAAGAATTTTACTTTGATTTATTGCATTTGGTTTTTTCATTTGAATTTTTAATCCACTGGCAGTGAAGTTGACTGTCTGAAGAATTTACACATTCCATTTTATTTTCTATATCGAATGACCGAGACATTTACAACTAGACTGGAGGCTCAGCGCGGGGGGGTGTCCATCAAATAGCATTCGTTGTTAAACTAATTCGGGAAGGTTTTGATTTGACAGTTTTTACGTATTTTTGAAACAGGCTACGAAGCGTTTTGGTTCTGTTATGCAAGATCATTTTCGACGTTCCAAAGTAAAAGTTTGGTGCTAAGACCACCTAAAGATAAATTTTAAATGTTCCTATTATTAATTAGAACAGGTTTCGCTTTAGTTTTTATATTTTACGCGGACATTTATTACTTTAAATCTTCCTAGTGCTAAAACGGAAAATGTGACCTTTCGACCTCTGGGGTCACAAAGAACAAAGGTGAATTTAGCAAGTTTACATTTTTATTGAAAGTGTGATTACTTTCGATCATTTTCAGCTTATTTTCATGATACAAGAATGACCGCGCATTCACTTTCAGTGCAAATGAACCCATTTGACCTTTGATTGACCCAGAATATCTCGAAAACGCCCCAACGGCGGACTGATTACCACTCGGCATCGTATTCTACGCAAAATTTTACTCTAGAAAAGTTGGGTCTGGTTTTGTGCCCATTTGATGGATACCCCCCGCGCTGAGCCTCCAGACTAAACTGATATATTATTGTATTTTAAAGGTGGTGTTAAAATTTCGTGATCTTATTGACTTGGTATACAGGGTCCATGCTGTGGTGAATTATAGTAATATTTGAACCCAAGCTTATATAAGAGTGATTCTGATTGGTTTGGGGTTCTGGTCTGTGATATCATGAACAATGTGTGAAACTTACCCTCCATCCATCTGTATTAAGTCGTGATCTCAGTAAATGATGTTCTGGTATATATGGATTCCAATAAACAGATAGATCTTCTAATCTCATTAACTACAATTATATACAAAATACAATTCATCAGTCATCAATCCTTAAATGGGTAGAGAGAGAGAGAGAGAATGAGGTTTCATATCCACAAACTAGGTAATTTTGGGACTAACATATAGGTTCAGATTTATTTTAAATTTCGCTTGTACACTCTTTGACTGTGGGAGTAAACCTGAGAAATGAGAGAAAACCCACAAGGTTGGACAGGTGACCTAACCCACCGTTCTTATTTATAGTATTATAGTGCTTTGTAAAATTATTTTCTGCCTCTCAATTACCAAGCATTTATACAAATTATAATGGAATGGGGCTGAAGGTCTTATCAAAACAATACATTGGTAATTTTGAGACTAACATGCAGTAAATGGCTTTCTATGGTAGGGTGACCCACCATAAATAAATATCTCCATATATCTCGACAATTACGCCACAATATTTATATATATGCCAAGCCTCAAATCAGTTTCACACAATAATAGTCACTAAATAAACGATCATGTTGTACTTAATAAGCTATAACCATTAATCATGTATAAATAATAGACTGAAAACTGGTTCCAAGAGTCGTCCATAACATCCAGACACTTTTGAGTAAAAGATAGGTTACGTGCCCTTGTTTTGAAATTAGTCTCGCTTAACCAGTCTATCGACCATTGACAGGTCGGGATAATCAAGACTACTTTTTTACGAAACATAACAGAAAGCTAGAACAAGAAATTGAATTTAGAAATAAGCACGTTAGGTAGCTCAACAATCGTTTTAAGAAGCTTGTAAAAGTAAAATGAAACTACTGCTAGTATCATGTTCCTGTCTAACCCGAGTGATTCAGAGATATTATTTGTACTAAAGCAAAAGATGCCGCTCTTAACGGTACAGTTAATGATAAAGCGATTTAAAAAATGAAACGAACGTAATTTCTAAATCTGCTGTAATAACCAAGAAGCTAAATTTTACTGCTATTCAAAATCGTCAACAATAAATTTTTTACGGCTGTAATAGTTGATAGATTTGTAGAGAATTGCACGTGCCATGGCTATTTATAGTATCATACTGTCAGAAAGTTGGTCTCGGCACGGCGAATGTGCACGCTTCAGTGGTAGTCTCGAATTATCAGCGGTGGACTGTATTTCTGTGAGTACATGGGTCACCCTATCTATGGTCATGTTTTATTTATGATTGTGGGGGGGGGGGGGGTGGATGGCCGAATGGTTAGCACGTGCGCGCTGTATCATAAAGCCTGTCATTGAGTCAACTGGCGTGGTTTCGAATCCCCAGTTGTACGTGACTAGGAGTAGGGTCACCTGTCCAACCTTGTGGGTTTTCTCCGGGTCCTCTGGTTTCCTCCCACTGCTAAAGACCCTACGCGCAAGCGAATTATTGAAATAAAAGTAAACCATATGTTAGTCCCGAAATAACCTAGTTTGTGTCGAGTGGACGTTAAACACCATTTTTCTCTCTCTCTCTATGATTGTGTTTCATTGTGGTAGTGTTATATCTATGTTCATGTTTCATCTTGATATGATCATGTTTCTATATTGTTGCATGTACATCTACATCCATGATCATGAATTTAGGACTTGGTCTTTCATACATTAACAAAACAATTCAATATCTCATATTACCATTCATCTTTTAAAATCATTTATCTAATTTTCAATAACGTTATCATTTCTAAAATTTACTTTTATGTAAAGTGAATAAGAGTATGTACATGTACTTGAGTGACGAGAGCGCTATAAAAATGTTTTTGTAATAATAATACACATGGGATCATAAAATTCCTCCCCAATATTTCAACGCAAGTCAGAAAATTAGAGCTTTCAAATAAACATGTATTAAAGTCACAGGAGACTTGTTGTCAGCCTCTATCTACTGATGGTTCTTAAGTGGCTTCACTAAGAAGACATTTCACTTGTGTCAGTATCTTAAAATGTCAAACACTGGTTAAAGTGAGTTTCTTCCAAATCAATAGATGTCTCCCACTAGTTCATCTATTTCTAGTAAATTGGTTTTACGACCGCCACAAAAATCATTTACACTTCAAGATGGCAGACAAATACAAGATTTTGACAATGTAAGTAGATTACTTGATATCGCAAACACGAAAGAAATTTGGCACATCTATTTATATATTCAATTTACCTAATAGTTTGTTACTGACAGTTGATTGAAAATCTAGAAAAAAACGGTCAATGTAAAAGGGATAATAAGCAGAAAATGAAGTCATAAACTTATAGAAAGAGCACTTTTATAAATGGAGATACGCTCATAAATGCCATTTCGGGATTAAAAACCTGGGAGTGTTTGTGCCTGTATTAACAGGCTAGAGCTAAACTTACTAGTACTAGTTCATCTAGAAATATCTTCCAAGACACATTCAGAAAAATGGAACAATAATTGGTCTTCAAAAAGCATTATTGAAAGCTCATCTTTTTGCCAAATATCTTGAGTGGGACGCTGGCTCTCTGGCTTGGAGGTCGAGTGTTCGGCCGGGAAGGTTCATTTAGATTTTCCACCGTGGTTCCCACTTGTCAGTGATGCAGGCAAGAGGGCCTGACAGAGACAGCTGTTTAGTCATTCAGATGGGACGAAAAACTGCACGTAAAAGATCCCTTGACAGTTGGAATTCGATATAAGAGTAAGCGGTAGTGCCGCTGTTCGGCCAAAATTTCCCTCATAGCACACCGTATGGCGTATGCCAGTCTTCATTAGTCCAGTTCGGAGCAGAACAGTAGGACATTAAACCCATATTTCATTTCATTTCATTTTATAAATGACCTAGACATAACATAGCACCTGCATGCTGTATATTCCATTGACAGCACACTAAAATCCCATGACAGTTGGATATCAAAATAAAGAGTAGAACACTGCTGTTTTGACACAATCTCCCTTGTACCCATCTTCTTTAGACTGATTGGTGGAGAAAAGTAAGATGTTACACCCAATTTCGTTTCATAATAGGAACATTAATCATGTTCTAGACCAATAGTTGACTTCAGACAGGATTTTTAGGGTCATTAGGTCCTATCTTATGTCAGTTTACTTTAAATTATTGATTAATTTTCAGATTTCATGAACAGCAAGATCGTATTAGTCCACTGGTTTATGAATCATTTTAAATACCGATGAAGATTTTTCACGTACTCAGTGTCAGTTTAATGGCAATAAAAAACGTCACCATTGTAATTGGGTAAATATATTTAGTATTTATTAATCATTGACTGTTTATGAACCGATCGAATTTGAAAACACAAATAACCCTACTCATACTATGTATAAGTCAATCATTTACTATTACGGGAAATCCTATTTCTAATTCTATCATCACATGGGCATTTGCCTGTAAAGTCATATTACACAATGTGAACCACAATTTTTCATACAATCTACACCACAAGATACAGTTCCTTATGGTGCCACGTCCAATCGGATACCATTTCAAACCCTGACAATTAGTTGTAAGAAGCCCTGTGCCCTAAACACTCATCTACTGTTGTTACGTATCATAGTAATCATATATAATACGCATATAAGAAGTGACATCACATCACTATAATAACTCCTTTTAGATTGTATATATCTCATTGCCTATCTCATTATTCTCCTGTATGAAGCCTAGTAATAAACACCTGATTACCGTAGATCAACTACTGTCTTGATATCACTGTGACACGTTTTTATTTATGTAAGCATAGATTACCTTGTGTAACATATTAGAAGTATTATCTGCTTGCGTTGGCTTCCATTTAGCATCAGTTGTTTTAATATAGATCTGTTTTAACATGATACCAAAAGCGAATGGATGGTCTACATTGGTCACTGTATCTTCGTAACGAATATGTATATTACGTATTGAAACCTGAAAAACAAAAAATCTAATCTTGAAGTAAAATGATTTTGCCCGAACGGGTAAAAATAATTGAGAAGGTAAGCGGTAATATGGGACAGAGAAGACAGCATTGGTCGTCAACATTTGTCAGTCTTTCCCACAGGCATCATGTATGTCATAAATTGTTAACAACTTATCTGTTCATCAGATGTTTGTTCTTCATAATAAACTTTCTCATGGATGACTATGTTTTTTTGTTTTTTTTCAAAGAGATATTTTATTCACTAAAATGAATGGGAGATTGGGAACAGGCAAAATACCTATCAGATTATTGATAGTTATTGAAATAAAATTGAACAATATGTCAGTCTCAAAATGACCTAGTTTGTGTTGAGTAGACATTAAAACCCATCTCTTTCTCGCTCTCTCTCTTTAGCAGTGGGAGAAAACCGGAGGACTCGGAGAAAACCCATGAGGCTGGACGGGTGACCCTACACCTTGTCAAGTAAACCCTTGTCGGTGCATGTGGGGTCTCCGTGGACCCCATGCACATGTTTTATTGTGTTTTGCAATAACTACTGGGCACTGCTTTCTGAAATTTAGTGACTTTGTCTCCTATACATTTTACACGTAGCGAAGAGTTCGGTATCCATCTGCTTCCCACATGCAAATTATGTTACATGCAAATCAGGCCCAACGCTTAAAGGGAAGAAGGGGTCCAATGTTTTATTGTGTTTTGCAATAACTACTGGGCACTGCTTTCTGAAATTTAGTGACTTTGTCTCCTATACATTTTACACGTAGCGAAGAGTTCGGTATCCATCTGCTTCCCACATGCAAATTATGTTACATGCAAATCAGGCCCAACGCTTAAAGGGAAGAAGGGGTCCAATCGGACCCCTAACTTACAACTCACAGTAGGGATTTTGCTAATGTGTTTTCTGCCTGATACGATATTGGGCATGCCAGAGTATTCTCTCTTTTAACATCTGCATGTTACAAATACCAAAAATTAAATGATGAATTCCAAGTATTCAATGGTTTGTGTATCCAGCGTGAATTGCCATTTAACCTCTTTATCACATAGTACACAAAGTATCAATTTTGTTAGAATTAGTAAATCTTTTCCAAATGTCACTAAAATGTTTTTGTAAAATAATTTATTGTTTTTCAGTTGTCCAATATGAATGCAAATAAAAACTAAACCACTGCCTTTTAATGCAAATATATCTGTACGTAAAAACTTTGATTTATAACTGGGGTCCATATGGACCCCTTGATACCTGCTATGTGATTCTCACAACGTGAACCCACAAGGGTAAAAGCAGGGATTCAAAACCACGTCACTTGACTCAACGACAGACCTTATGATTTCATATGCACATGTTACAGCTAGACCACACAACAACCCAACCCCCCAAAACTTATCAGCCTTATCCCATGTTGTTGATGTCATTTGTTCAGGGAAAACCCTATACCATGCCATTCAAATATTAGATTCAATTTAAATAATTATGTTTGGGGTGAAAATGTGAATCTATAAAATCAATCTATTTTCTATGTTTGTTTATTTTTGACTTTTAGATGATAGCAGGCGCTGGCTCGCTAGCCCGGAGGTCGGGTGTTCAATCCCTGCATTGGCCGAGAAAGTACATCTCGATTTTCCGGCGTGGTTTTCCCTTGTCAGTGATGCAGAACGGAGGGCCTGACAAGGACAGCTGCCTAGTCGTTCGGATGGGACGAAAAACCGAGGTCCCGTGTACACATTGGGGTGCACGTAAAAGATCCCTTGGCAGTTGGAATTCAATATAAGAGTAGGCCGTAGCGCCGCTGCCCGGGCAAAATTTCCCTCATAGCACACTGTATGGCGTATGCACGTCTTCAATTAGCCCAGGTTAGGTGCAGAAGAGTAGGACGTTAAACCCCATTTCATTTCATTTAGATGATAGCAATGATGAACATTACTAAAGTAAATATCCCATACAGGAGACAAAACAAATAACCAAGCTTTAATAGTTTTAATTGACATTGTATAATAAAATACCAAAATATTAATCAAATGTAAAAAATATTTGAATATTTGTTTGAGGACAGGTGCATTTATTAAAGTTCTTTCGGTTTTCTGATAAAAAAAAAAGTAAGATATATTTTCTCTGGGAATATGTAACTATACATCAAGCTATGCTATTGGTACATTTATTTTATCTGCATCTTGGGGGTTACAGTGGATAAGTGAGTAAGAAGCCGGCTCGCTAGCCTGGAGGTCAGGTGATCTATCCCTGCATTAGCCGAGAAAGTTCATCCAGATTTCCCATGTGGTTCCCCCTTGTCAGTAATGCAGGACGGAGGGCCTGACAAGGACAGCTGTTTAGTCGTTCGGATGGGACGAAAACCAATGTCCTGTGTACACATTGGCATGCACGTAAAAAAATCCCTTGAAACTTAGAATTCGATATAGAGTCGGCCGTAGGGCCACTGTCCAGGCAAAATTTCCCTCATAGCAGGCTGTATGGCGTACGCCTGTCTTCCTTAGCCCAGTTCAGAGCAGAACAGTAGGATGTTACCCTATTTCATTTCATTTCATTTTATCTGCATCTTGATGTGCAGTTCTCCTAAACTGTCTATTATTAAACTGGTTACAGTTTGACAATATTCAACATGTTCTACACAGTCCCACACACAAATGAGGTTATGGCAAAATCTAGTCATTAATAATTACTGGATTCCAACATTTAACTACAAGATATATATATATAATACCATGTCTCACTCTTTTGTTTTCAACTTTGGGACCTTATCAAAGAAAGGCTGATTCTATTAATGTGTTATAAGATAATGGCTACACTAGGCTAGGTAGAACCCATGGATTGACAGCAATCTGATTATATTTCAGACTATGGATATCACTGTACAGAAGATCAGACAACTAAAACAACAGTAATAAACATGGTTGACATTTTAGAAGGAAATGAATTAAGACCTAACTGGACAAAAGCCATTAAGACAATTTAGCACAGTGTGTGAATTTGTCAACTGTAAGTCCTGGTACATGGATATGGAATGGAATAGGTTTGTTTGGTGAATAGAAAACAACTTCGCCATGGTTATGATGCAATGCGAGTTAGGAGATTTTGCTTGAACAAACAGCAGACTTTCGGACTACTCTTCTTGACTTCCAATTGTCAAGGGTCTTTTCCGTGCACACTAATGTCTACACAGATGGACCTCTTTCTTTGCAATTCTTCCTGGACCAATCTGGGATTTGTATCTGGGACATTCTAGTCGGGAGTCCAGTGCCCTGATAGCTTCACTATTACACTCCCTCAATGATTCCACGATGTCACTAATAATTGCATACAACACATGGTTATAAAAGAGTTTTTAAATTGGTTTTGTAAGTATATGGGTGGAAATATAAATACAATACCTGAATATGATTGATAAAATGTGTTGATAATTTTTCATAAAATCCTGGTTCTTGTTCTGCTTTATCAGCTGAAAATAAAAACAAAAATACTTTTACAAAAATTAATAAGAAAACAAGAAATTGATGCATTGTGAAACATTTGAATGATCAGACTGTGCACTGACTGAATGATTAGTGTCTAGCATCTGCTTTCAGAACAATAATTTGCTCCAGATTTTATAATTAATCTTTTATAATTAATTAATCTTAATACTCTGAAAAAATTTAATATATCTGATCTACAGTTCAAGATATAAAACAAGAAATTAAACATGCGCTGATTTTCTTTTAAAAATCTTCAAAAAAAAAAAATATAACTTAGTAATGTTATATTAAACAATTATGCACTATTATAAAGTAATTAATTCAAAATTGAAAAAGAACACTGGGTACAAAAAATAATTCAATAATTAACTAGTCTTAAAATGCAACTGGTTAGTTAAAATAAGAATGATCACTTTGACAATTTGTTAGAAAAAATATTAAACGAGGCATGATCACTTTAGCAACTGTCACTGATCAAAAATCTTTCGACCCATTGCTATGATACAGACATTAAAACTACAAAATACATTATCGTGAAAGCTCAATCAATAATAGATAGAGAGAGAAATTGGGTTTAACGTCCACTCGACACAAACTAGGTCATTCCGGGACTAACATATGGTTTAATTTTTTATTTCAATAATTTGCTTGCGCGTAGGGGTCTTTCGCAGTGGGAGGAAACCGGAGCACCCGGAGAAAACCCACGAGGTTGAACAGGTGACCCTACTCCTTGTCATGTACAAGCGGGGATTAGAAACCATGCCACTTAACTCAATGACAGACCTCATGATGCAACATGTATGCGTTAACCATTCGGCCACACAACCCAGCTCCACTAATAGAAATATCAGACCAAAAAGGGATCTATTCTATTTAGTATATACAAAGATATGATGAATTAAAATTAGCCAGAACTGTCTTTCAATGTTGGGTAAAATCTCTTGATGGGCATCTTTTTAATCCAATTTGAATTCCAAGAGATTACCTAACACTGATTTTTGGGCTTTTTTTTAAAATTAAATGTTAAAAATTTGTGACATGAAAAATTATACATATTCTGAAAAAAATGTAATTGACAATCAGCTGCTGTAACAATAAATAAACCAGACATATAATCTAAAAAAAATATTTAAAAAAGTGCAAAATGGTTTTAATTGTTAATAATAAAACTTCAAATATTTGAAATAACAGCTGAGAACATGTTCTAATTTACCCACAAACCTGTTTGTTCGTGCATTAAACACACTGTTGAAAAAAAGTGAAAAAAACAACTTAATTCAACTTGTACACATGGACTTACACTGCTATGGTTTTAAATTGCTGGTAATTAGCATGGTAAATCTTCAGTTGACGTGGCTTGCTGCTTCTGGTTTTTACAACATTTATTCAATTCATGATATATCCCTATTGTCCTTGGGATTTTCCAGTACAAGCTGACGTAACATAACCCTTGGCAGCTGGTACTGGATGAAGAGTATGAGGAAACGCTGCTTTTCGGCCAAATATTCCTCATTAAACACTGTGTGTGTGTGTGTCCCAAATGGTGCACAATTAATTAGGACATTAAACCCCATTTCATTTCATGTATGCATATAAATCATATACACATGGAATAACTAAGAGACATTAATAAATCGTTACTGAACTAATTGCGTAATGCCCAACAGCTTTTAAGCAAATAATTGAGAAATGTAAAGAAAATAAATGAAGCAATCTATTTAGCAGGTTTATTGAACAATTGAAGAGATACTCTAATCATATCTGAATAAAATTTTAAATAAAATTGGATGAATTTAATATTGAATGAAGAGGCAATTTAGCAATTTAAGGATTAAATGTAAAACATGTAAATAAATGAATGGAAGCTACAGATTTATCAAATTGAAACATTTATTGGTTTATTGGTTTTTATCCACAACAAAATCAATACCGTGGGAAATGGCAGGAAATGAATGCAGACACAATCAAAGGCTTGTTTCACATTAATTTAACTCAAGGCAAATTACTTGAACCAAATACATGTCAATCTAGCTAACTTTCTATAGAATTAAAATTCCTGTAGCAAATGAAATGTTTTAATATTTTGGTACAGAAGACTGGGCATACAAACATTCTGAATTCATTGAATCAATGATATTGAGGTTCTCTAGCTGATGCACTTGCATTCAAGATTAAAGAGAGTCCTGCATCAATGATATCGGGGCTTATTGATTGCACCTAAGTAAGAGTTCCATATAAATTATACCAAAGGACTTCACTATACCAATCATCATACCAATTGGGGTTCACAGATTGCACCAGCATTACTGAGAACTGGGAAGGACTATATATAGGTCCCAGTGTATGTGGCTGCTAGTATGGAATGAGGTTTAATATTATAACATATGTTTATTTTGTTGACTACATAATACTAATAAAATATTAAAATAACCACTTAAGACATATTAATATGAATAAAAATATTAGACAAAGTATGGGTGTGCAAATGGTAAAGGTTAATTATTCAAAAGAAACCACCCTTAATCTAATAAATCATACCAGTCTTGATTTTTTTGCTTTTTTTAGATTTAGTATTGTCTTCAGGTTTAATAGTTCCTGTCAATTTAACAAAACAAAATTCAAAGAATAATATCTTCAGTGATGACTGCATCAACCCCAGGTTACCACTAAAACATATAGTAAATAAATAAGCAGTGCCAGATATATAAAAGTGAATATAACTGGTTAATAATGAGTGATCAACTCCTGAAAACCTTTATCCAAGTATATTGATCCTTTTAAAAGAAATCAAAACTAATGTCCATAGCAGGTGGTTTTAAGTCCCAGAATTCGACACTGTGTAATGTGCATAGATAACATATTTATAGCAGTCTTCATGGTTATCAGGTTACTCCTGCAACTGATGAATGAAATTAGATTCCAACATGCATTATGTAAGATTTAGCTAAAGAGCTGATAGTTCTCACTAAAATAGTTTAAAAAAAGATAATTAAAATGGAATACATATGTATATCGAAAATTTCAGTTAAATTGCTTTATTCTGAGCGAAGTTATCAGTGTTTTAACAGGAATAGTGCTGTCTTGTTACGATAATAAACAAAGTCTCGATTATCCATTAAATTATTAAATGGCGATCATTCAATCCATTTTAAAAATTTACGACTATCCGATGGTCTTAAGAGTTGAGTATGCACTTTTATGTGAATAAATGTCTAATTAATGATTAATATAACATTTGAAGCCAAAAGAAAGACTTGTAATAGGTAGTTTTAGCTCTTACATAATGTATCCTTCCTTAATTGAGTTATTTTGACGTTTGATTACATAATTAAGTTTAAACCCCTGCACTTACTATTTAAAGAATACATGTAACTTCAAAAGATGTTACGTGTAGCTTACATCATAAATTATCACTTCAGAAAAATAGATTCTCGAGTTTGAAAGAAATCAACCAAGAAAAAATAAGAGTTGAGTATGCACTTTTATGTGAATAAATGTCTAATTAATGATTAATATAACATTTGAAGCCAAAAGAAAGACTTGTAATAGGTAGTTTTAGCTCTTACATAATGTATCCTTCCTTAATTGAGTTATTTTGACGTTTGATTACATAATTAAGTTTAAACCCCTGCACTTACTATTTAAAGAATACATGTAACTTCAAAAGATGTTACGTGTAGCTTACATCATAAATTATCACTTCAGAAAAATAGATTCTCGAGTTTGAAAGAAATCAACCAAGAAAAAATAAAGTTGTTCATTGGACGGTGGATGCCAAATCTAAAAGGATATCAAACCTGGAAGGATATCTTATACAGAAGTTTCTGACTAGATGCTCAGATTGCTTACATCCTTTTGGACTTGGACAACATAACACGCATTAAAGCCATTCATGAAAATATAGTTTTCCTCATTAATTCAGGAATTAAAAGCACAGACAGTTAAACTATATTTAGAATTTACAACAAGAGTAATAAAATGGTAATAGACTTGTTAATGGACAACCCATATCCTTCCATTTAAATCTACATTATAAATATAGTAATTAATATCTTGCATCAGGCAGGGTATTAGCTTACTATTTTTATATATACCACTTCTTGCTTATAGGGTGTAATGGTTGCTCAGGGAGTAAGACATTTGCACCCTAACCTGAAGGTCCCGTGTTCTGTCCCGGTGTTGGCCGAGAAAGTCCATCAGGATTATTTGGTGTGGTTCCCCCCTTGCCAACAGCGGGTCTCGCAAGGGACGGGATGGGATGAAAAACTGACGTCCTGTGTACACATTGATGTGCATGTAAAAAAAAACACTTATCAGTTGGAATTCAATAAATGAGTAGGTCGTAGTGCTGCTGTCTTGGAAAAAATTCCCTCATAGCACACCGTATGCATATACATATCTTCATTTAGCCCAGTCAGAGCAGAGCAGTTGGAAGTTAAATGCCAATTCATTGTATTTCATTTGTCTAAGAGATATCACTCTAAATATGGTTTAATTCTGTTTGGTATTTACAAAATTGATAAAATCAAAATCTAATAATAAGTCAGAGCCACCTAAAATTTTAGCTGAAATCTTCTGAAGCACCTCTTTTCAATCCGACTAAATCTAAAGCCAAGAGATTATCCACTGTTGATATTTTGATTGTGCTTTAATATAATTAAACCTTTAAACAGAGACTTTAGGAACTTTGATTACATTATCGCTTGATAGAACTGGATCTGTGCCACTGTTCAAAGGTTACCTTTTGAAATCAAACTTATTGCTCTAATTAATAAAGTGACAGCCAACATATTTTTATACAGAGCTGCTCATTTGGTTCGGATATATATATCAAAATTCCATCTCTCTGGGGCCCCGATGGGTGAGTAAGTAAGGCCTGACAAAAGATTCAAGAACATGGTTTACTCATTTGGATGGGACAAAAACATTAAAAGTTGGAATAAACTGAAGAGGTAATGCATCTGGAAATGCCGCTGTCCGGGCA